TTCTGTAACGAAGGCATAATTCCGCGGATCGGAACAAGATCGGGTATCCGTGACACCTCTAATTGTCATATTGTAGATGATGCTAAGTTGTCTGTTCAGAAATAAGTTAAGGAAAGTGAATTACTATATTGATGCATTTTATTGGGTACTACTAACTAGGTAGCTGGTAAAGTACTATCCCAAACTTAACTATTGCTATTTATTACATGACATCATGTATTGAAAATTAAAAACAATGCAGCCCAGTTGATGAGTTTACCATGTGTTGCACTTGATAAAAAACAATAAAAAATTAATCTGAAAGAACGCTTGAACTTATAATAGAGCACATTTGACTCTATTCAGTATTAAAAATAGATTTCAATGAATAGCCTAGTTCTATTTTTAGATTGAATCATTGAAAAGCTAATTTAGTTTTATTTAATCAAAATTCTTCGTAAACAAAATGAGTACATTTAACCCTATTCAGTTCTTTTAATAGATTTCAATGTTCTATTTTTATTAGATTATTTAGTCTAAATGTTTCATGAACATTTTTTTAGCTTTATTCAATCAAAATTCTGCGTAAACAAGTTTTATGCAACTATTGTTTCTTACATATATTTTGATCTGAATGATGATATTAAGAAGGGTGATATAAAACAAAAAAGCTATACTGAACAACATGGAACAGAAAGGAACTCTGACAGGATTTTTTGTGACTATGATTCCCATCTCGATTCACAAGGTTTCAGTTGCTCCAACACACCTTTGAAGCCACCAATATGAAGATTCACCCTCAATTAAAATTAAGTTGTGCTGTACTATCTATTACCACAGGCTGGTATCGAAATATTTGTCCGCTGTGACGGAGCATGCTATTTTTCATAAAAACACTAAGAATACTTCACGATTTATTTTTTAACTCATATGTTTCGTTATACCATACAAAATTACTTACTCCATGCAATGGATATATCATTTGCGGGTAACTTTCACTTCTGTTTGAAGTCAAATTACGCTGGGAAGAAAAGCTATTGAAAATGGCGCCGGAGTATCATACTTCAAAATGTACCATTTCTTGTTTAAACCTGCACATCGCTCCAAAACGCAATATGTTGACATATATTGTTTTTACATTTTCAAGCTCTAATTTAAAATTTATGTAAATAAAAATTGTTTTTTTCTGCGTAATATCAAAGAACAATCATTTAGTTAAAAAAATAAAAAGGCTAATGCGGGATTCGAACCCGGGCCTCCCGCGTGCTCAGCGAGGATTCTACCCGCTACACCACCGTATTATTATGAAAGGAGGAAGTAATTAAACGCTACTTATTTTGAATGCTATGATTCGGAAGTGACGTCACGTTCTTCATTTAGAAACCTTTCCAAAATCATATTGCCGGCACCGATCGAAGCAAATTCAATGAAAAATCTTTGAAATGACACATTTATCGTAAGTATTTCTACACAAGATTTGCCCCATTTGTTCATCATTCTATAATCTTTCATTAAGCTCAAAATGATAAAGTTCACCCCCGAAACAACCCAAGATTGCGTTTCGGAGCGTAGTCCAGCTTTAACTTTGTAATGGCACGATATAGTGACACGATAATATTTACACATGGTTTCAGCATAACTATGTATGAATGTATGAATGAGATGTTGATGTATTTGGTCTTTTTAATTCTTTTATAAAAAATAATGTTTAATTTTTTTGTCCGCTGTGACGGAGCAGTTGCAAATGTGAACTGTGAAAATGCTCCGTCACAGTGGACAAAAAATATTAACATTATTTTTTATAGAAAAAATTAAAAAGACCCAATGCATTAATATCTCATTAATACATTCAGAGTTATGCTGAAAACATATGTTAATATTATCGTGTCACTATATCATGCCATTAAAAAGTTAAAACGGAAATGATACATTTTAGAGTTTGATACTCTGGCGCCGTTTTCAATAGATTTTACTCCTAGCGTTATTGGACTTCAAACAGAAGTGAAGGTTACACGCAAATGATATATCCATTGCATGGAGTAAGTAATTATCTTTGATATAACGAAACATATGAGTTAAAAAATAAATCGTGAAGCATTCTTAGTGTTTTTATGAAAAATAGCATGCTCCGTCACAGCGGACAAATCTTTCGATACCAGCCTGTGATTACTGTACAGTATAATCAATTTTATTTTCTTGTATTGATACATATATTCATTCACATTGTGTCTATGAAGGAGTATAAATCTCCATCTCCATAGTATATTGCTTCAGTTGAAGTACTCTAGCTATTGGAACAATCTATTGTCATCCATCATCAGCTTCTGAAGAATCAGAAATGTGGTTGCCATGGTAACTAAAATTATACTGATAAGCATGAAACATAAGCAATAATTGTCAATCCTCTGTTCATTCATTAAATTATATTGTATCAACTGAATTTTAATAATGTGTTGCATGATAATTAATCACATGTTATACACAGATAGTGATTAAGTTAAATGTATGAAATGTACATAATTGTATTTCTTCCATGTTTAAACAATTATGTATAAGACATGTATTTACAATGAAATGATTGATATGTAAGATGATATATCATATCAAATTATGAACTCTGAGCAAGAGCAGACTGAATAACAACTTTCTGTATGAAAGATGATTTATGAATGGCACTCTTGCTCAAGCAATGTAGTGGAATGTCTTTCAATCAATAATATCACAGCTGATTAGTGTGTCATCCTTTATACCTGTATTAGCAGTATGCCAGTTAAAAGGACCATCTTCTTGGAAAAACAGTAATTTCGATATTACATTTTCAGTTGGTTTAGGATAATATTTCATCTCACGTTCACCCATTCTTAAATATTTATCTGAAAAGGAATGTTCCTGTTACAATTAGACTTGAATTATACTGTTTTATATTGACAGAATTCAATCAATTGTTGACCAGTTCATGTGTAGGTCACTTGGCCTATGTATGATTTCAATCAGATTCTGGTTGTTCTGTTACTGTATTATCCCATCGAACAAAGTTGGGAGGGATATAGGGAATGTCTCTGTCCGTATAATACCTACATAAAGCTCAATATGCAACTCTGATGATATGGCCACCATTTTTACGTGTGTTATTTTACATTATTTACTATAACTCAAAAAGTAATAGAGCAATTTTGTTCATATTCGATTTGTGAATACTCATAAGCATGGCACACTGTCTTATGACTTTTTAGCTAGTGTGTGCGATTTTGTTGAAATTCTATTTGTGCCTACTTAGAAGCATATTACACTTTCTGATGACAATTTGGCTAGTTAGTTTACCATTTTGAAAATGGTGGCCATTTTTGTGTATTTTTCGATTTTTACTATACTTGTTTGTAAAAATGCCAGCCATGGCTGTTCGATGAGATTTGCTACGCTTTGGCGTTGCTGTTGTCTAGTTTTACCTCTAAATACTATGTGTGAAATGTTGCCTCACGTTGCATGAACTATATTGCATGCTAAATATATCATTTTTCATCAAGGCATACGCAATGGCAAAAAGGGACCTATTCCTTGTAAGTAATTCTACCTAGATTCAGGATTCCTTGAATCGTTGTCACATTATTGTCTGAAAATATGAGCAAATTTAACCTCATATTATAAAAAATATTGTAAATTTTACAAAGGAATCCCTGATCCTCTTTTCTTCTGTATCTTTCCTTTCAATGTACTTTTCTTCACTCTCACACCGAAATAGCCTGACAATGGTAAAGTCAGATACTGTTGTCACAAATGGTGGACATAACCGTCGCTTCAATTAGAGTTTTGTGAACTGAATATTTATAGAGCACCCAGACTAAATTCCCTTGGAACAACAATCAATCAAAGGTCTTTATACTCATTGTACAGATAATAATGTTCTACCATCGAATCAGTCTTTAATTTAACTGATCAAAATGAGATACGGGACAACGGACACTGAATTACCATATGCCGTTGTCTTTGTAAATTATTTCAAATTCAGATTCCATGTCATTGATGATATCGAAGATGCTATATTATAGCGATTCACAACCCAATTTGCTCGAAATTGGGATTTCATATGATACATCAACACAAGAGCTTAATGCATGCACAGAATTAGCAACGATAAAATCCCATAATATGAGAACCAAATGATTAAAGCGTTGATTGAAGCGACGGTTATGTCTGCCATTTGTGACAACGGTATCTGACTTTACCGTTGTCAGGCTATTCCGGTGTGACTCTGTTGTATTTGTGTCTCACCCTGACATCTGATGACTTTTATTCACTCTCATTTTCTATGAACTTGCATCTGCCTGATGAGAAATGATAAATACAGTTGGGTAGTATCACAAATGGTGTTTCTACATTTTTGTATGTAGATTTCACAATGTTTTGATTCAATCTGGCTTGATAGATTCATGTTTTCAGGTATCATCAGAAGCTAATGTCAATCCATATTTTAAACAAATAGATGTGTTCGTCATTGTAACCGTGTTACGTAGAGAGAGCTCTGTCTCCGTATAGGGTAAAATTCATTTAATTTGAAAAATTGAGTAGAGAAACATTTCTAATATCTTGAATTCTCTTCAATGCAACAAGTAGAAAAAATTGTTTAAATAAATTTGTAATTTGACCCTGGAGAATAACTGTAATAGTATATCTACATCAACTTAGAAAAATATGTTTTTATTATAAACTGGAATAGCAGAGAATTATAATACAGATTTATCGGAAAAGTTGCACTATTCTCAAAGAATAACATTATTTTAAGTTCAATACAGGACTCTTAAAAACACTTAAGCATAATCATATTTTTATCTTGTTATTTTGATATTGCACTTTATTTTCTAAACATTCTAAGCCATAGGGGTTAACATTGACACTCTAAAACACTAAGCATATATTTTTGTCTTGTTAAATTTATAGTGAACAAAATATTAACAATGTTTGCAATGAGAAATATTTACTTGTATTTCTTATTTCTATCATAATGTTTTGTTTTGTGTTTTCAGTTAAAGAATTCCTTGCCCAAGCCAAACAAGAGTTCCAAGAGAAATGGGACAAACCAGCACAGGTACAGACTTAACACATTCTTCATAAATATAAATAAAGTCCTAGTCCTTTGGGGGTTTCAAACTGTGTCATAACCTGAAGTGAAGAGCAAGCCATAAGATACAAGTTCTTGTGATATATGCTCATTTGAAATTCAGTAAATAACAAGCAGTGACCTGTGCCTATCAATAAACCAATTGGGTGCAGCATATTGTTTCATTGAAATTTGAAAATCTGTTTGCACCAGCTAGACTATAACATGTTAGGACATTGACACCAGTTTTTATGTGGCTACATAGATTAACGTCCCTGGTGACCCCATTGTTTTCTTTAAGTAAATCTATTTTAAGTATATTATTTTCTTTAAATGTAAATATGATAACTGGCACTATTCAGAACACTTGTTTGCAATTTGTATGTAAAATATACAGAACTACATTGAGCAAACACTTATCAACTTATAGCAGCACAGTACATTTATTATAGCTTTATTTGGCTATGTTGACTCCAAGGAGGATTGGCTCCCAGAATGCAACACCGATATTCTGCAAAACAATCACCTAGCGATAGCTTTGTTGGAGAGTATCGGGTCATTCTCCATGCAGTCGTACAAATTATACAGACACGAATAGCAAATGACGCATGCGTGGAGATTAAAGAATATCGAGTTGGAACCCTGGCTTCCAATCCTCCTTGGTTGACTCCAACAATTTGTCACCATTTATCTCCACCTGTGTCAAATATAGAGGACATGTTGAATGTTCTTCATAACCATGTGAAAGTTATCTCGGATACATATGTGTTAAAAACTTATAATCTACAAGAACTTTGTCATCAATGTTCTATTTTTTCATTTCTTTTTTTTGGTTGCAATCACAAAGTAACAATTTTACATGATTTAATAGCTTAAACCAATCCCATCTCAGATCATTTGGTAATCATAGGTATTAGGTTATTCCGTTGAATTATGTTGATAATATGAGGGTTATAATAACATTTAATATACAGCTGTATGTTGTGCAAATATGGTAAGTTGGTCAGAGCACTGGTATTTTGCACCTTGAATCACCAGCACAATTGACATATCCTAAGTAGGCTAGATTTAAATACAATTAATCATCTCTTATTTAAAGAGTTAAGATGTAGTCAAGATCTTGAGCAGGGTATGAATTTTGTTGCTAATGACAATTATGTGTACCTAGCTAGTGTTCACACTTGCTCACCCTTGAACTTGTTTTTCTTTTGGGAAACAAACACACCAACAGTATTACATGGGATCCTTTATGGTTAAAGTTAAATCAATATTGTTGGCAAGTGCTAGGTATTGTGCATTATATAGGAGATGTACTGAGCCAGTATAAGCAAAATGTATGCACAGCTCAGCTCTGGGAACATCAATAAAGTCAGCTATATATAGCCACATAGGCTTAGACTCACTAGCAAGGCAAACATAAGCTGATAACACTTTATGACAGTGTTCATAATGATGAGAGTCCCATTGAAGCTTTTTATAGCCTATGTGCCAACCAGGTACATTCAGAACACTTATCCGATGCTTTGATTTGAAATCAAAATTTTATTATGGTACTTAAGGTACTTAATCCAATTTTGAAAAACCATCCCAGCATCCCAAGTACATATTAACTCACTAAACATATGGAAGTTAACATAATCAAAGTAGCATATTGAGCTTTGGATTCATGAAACAAAACATGGAATCAGTTATTGTTAAGTCTGGTAAAAGAGCTCTAATTGTGAAGTCTTCACAACATAATAACCATCAACATATGTTCTATCCAGTTATGGGTTCAACAGCCTCTATAATATCTCCAGAAGAAAGCTAACAGGATTCAGATTAAGGGGAACTCTGAAAAATCAGTATGCTTCAATACCCTCTACAAGCAATAATACAAATTATAAAGGTTTGACAAAAGAACATTTTTGTCAAACTAAAGAATATTCAACTTTCGTTATTTCTGCTGGCTGGTGTTATATCATTGGGTATGTTATAACACTGACTGAAGAATACACCTTTCTATTATGCAAATACACACTGTACTGTATTTGCAATTAATTAGCAGCTCTCTTCCTGATAAGTTATTATTCCCTGTTATATGATATCTGAATATATGCCATGAACCACTAATGGATGTTGATCATATTGACATGGTGTATTCACATTTTACTGTTTGGCCAAAATTCAGTATTCAGTAGACATCAATTAAAACAATCCAATGAATAATAAAATATGTTTATGTGTTTTTTTTCACATTTGTTAGCAACATGTCAACATTGTTCATATAACATGGAAATGGCCTTCATTAGATGGAATCTTTGAACAAGTATGGGCTAAACATCCATCACCTCTGCCAGGTAATTTATTCAACAAAACACAACATCCCAATTTTACCTATTTTGGCAAAATATCTCAATATTTTGTATTGACAACCTTGTTATCTTCAAATTTTCAACAGTGTTCAGTTGCTTTATGCTTGGGAGAATGCTGTCAATTCAGTTACATCTTGTAATATTCCAACAATATTGAAATTATCATGGATGAATGTTCCTTCAAAAACTGATATATTGAATGATGAAATCATGATCAATTAGAAACTATAAAAACACCCATAATTTGATATTGAATCTTCCTTCATATAAGAACATAAATTACAACGTGTATGCAGAATTGTTTTTTTTCATTATCATCAACTTTGGATGATATACAGGTATTATGTTGGAATGTTTGGGTTATTGCCATGTTACAGATTTGAACTTCCATACTTTCAAAAATTGTATAATAGAGCTATTCTAATGCTTATCATGATTATCACATCTTCACTTATTCAAGATGAGATGTTCTTTCCCCATGTTAACCATCTTGAACCATCAAGGTATTACTATATGCGTAAATGAATGTCAAATTCATTGGTTTAACAGTGTCAGTTAGTCACACTGCCCTGTCACAGATGATTTTATAGTTTTAATGCTGGTTAGATCTAACAGTCTCACATGTAGCCTTATGATATTTAAAGGTATTTATAGGTATTTTCTGATTAGATATAGTCTGAACTGAATTGTCTCTAATATTGACAAAGTCAAGCTCTTGGAAAGGATATTGATGATGATGACATATAGAATCCTGAAGGATTAGGATGATCAAAATGTTCAGCTGCCCATATTTTTCAAATTTTACCTTTGCTGCCTTGGTTTTAATATGTAAATAAAATCATTGTTATTGAATACTTTACTAAGATTATAACATCGGCCAACATTGTTGCTGTTGCTAATATGTGAGGTTATCTAAGGCCTCAGTATCACCTTAATCTATATTATGCTATAAGGCTTCTCACATTTAACAGTATAACACATTATGAACATAAAGATATCTGCATGTAGTTCAAAAGAATATGACTCATTTGAGTAGTTTTGAAGTTATTAGCAACAAAAATTCTTCTTTGTAACAATATTTTCTTTTTATATCTTTTTATAAAAGAGAGGTGAAATAATGAAATGATGTTATTGCCACTATGGTGACTGTCTGATTGGTCAGTGTTACCAATTGTAATAATGGTTACACTTTTATAACCATTTATATGTTGCTGCATTAGTCATGTGTTAACACCTCATTTTAACATTTTTTTCTGTCTGTATATTCCAGAATACTGCCTCATTAGATGACTTCGACAGAATCAAAACTTTAGGAACAGGTTCATTTGGTAGAGTAATGCTAGTACAACATAAAGCCACAAAAGAATATTATGCTATGAAAATATTGGATAAACAAAAGGTAAACTTTCCTTCTCTCTTTTATAACAGTACAAATAAGAGACAGATTCAAAGCTCAGCTATTACTCTCAAAATCATTTCCATCACATGTTCTTAAGTTGATTACAGGGATGTCACTGTTTCTTGATATTTTCTCATCCCTCTTAGAGTTTTCTTTCTGGATGGGACGGGATTGGACATAACATCCATAACATTGAGAACCTCACATAGGCATAACCAGTCCCTGAAGTGATAAAAACAAAATTCTTAGCATGTCAACGTTGAACAGTGTGTAATAGAAAACTATGGATTGAAGCATTTTGGGCATCTCGGTGTATCAGGGGATAACAGAGAAAGAGAAAACTGCATTCATGCGAGATGGTTATGCCTAAATCTAAACGTAAAGATTGAAACAATTTGAATTCATTTTTAGTAGAACCTCTAGCCTTAAATTTTCTCATGTTTAATTTTCACAATTCTTTTATTTTGATTTGAAAGCAATAATTTACCCTTTCCTTGAAATTAAAAGAGGAGTTGATTATGTCTCATCCCCTCCCATTCCAAAATTTGTTTGTCGAGTTGTAACTGTTTCTTCCTATTTATCACAGGAAGCCTAATGCAAAATGTTTATGTTAATTACATGAGAAAAATCAATAGTAATTTCAGTATTTGTTCATGAACTAACAGTTCAAAGCATCATCACCTTCTGAAGTACACAGGCTGAAATAACTGAAACCTGTGAATCAATTAATACAGTCACATACTATTATGAGGACAGTCACATCATAAAGAATACATAGAGACATAACGCAATAACAAATTTGTGACATTGTTGTGAATCAAGAGTTTAGTTAAGCCTGCTATTACAATTGTATCATATCAGAAATTGAAGAAAATTATAAGAGCAGTCTCAAAATAATTATTTTTTAAGAAGAACTTTGACCATTTCGATAGCACCCAAGCTTAATATCAAGATGAATGGATGCACTTTAGAACAATCAATAAAACCTTTCCAGGAAAGGTAGAGAATTGCTTGATGTTAAAGTACTATAAATCTTGATAAATATCTCATGATTAGTTCAGATACCTGGAAATAAGAGAGAGAAACAGTCACCTTAGAAACCAATATAGAAAAAATTTATCCCTGGAGAAGTTGCAACAGAATCCCCACTGTCTATTGTTATCGTAATTATACCTGGATGCCATGATTATCAGTTTATAAATGAAATTGTTGCTTTGCATTGTCCTTCTAGGTTGTTACCACTTAGAGCTCCAAACGAAATGTTCAAATTAGCAAATGTACTTTTGCCAACCTTTGTCACCATTAATATCACTGAAATTAACATTGGCAACGAGAAATCACAAAATTTATGACAAAATTTGACAATTTTTACCGATTACAATAAAACAGATAGGCATAAATTAACTTGAAGTCATTCTGATACTCATCACATATTTCGTTTTGCTATCTCAAGACTGAGAGGAAATGAGATCTTTGGTTTACCATGATGACTTGAGGTGTTCTGTTTCAGTTTTGACACCTATCAAACAAGTGTATGTGCATATTATAATGATAATTTGATTTTTTGCCTCTAATTTTGTGATGTTTTCAGGTAATAAAACTAAAGCAGGTAGAGCATACACTCTACGAGAAGAAAATCTTACAGTCCGTTTCTTTCCCTATGTTAGTGAGCCTAGGTTATCATTTTAAGGTAGGTCCCTAGGTAGAATTTCTGTCCATGTTAAAGTATGTAAGTAATTATTTATATGCTCTTTTCCAGGTGGTCAAATTAAAACAGGTAGAGCATACTCTAAATGAGAAGAGGATATTACAAGCCATCACATTTCCCTTCCTAGTCAGATTAGATTATTCATTTAAGGTAGGGATGCGTGTACGTCTCAGTGTTGCTGCATGTTGGGCATTGTGTCTGTCCTTCTGTCTTTCTGCTGGTAGATGTAGATGTCTTCTCTTGCACAACTGCATGTGTTAACAGTTGTATGCCTACTTTGCATGTAATGTTTGCCTATATATATTTAAATGTATGCATGACATAGTAAATGTATGCTTAATCTACATGTATATGACCAATGTGCATTATTTACTATATATATTAAGCATGGCAGTTGCATTATCTGTATTATATATTAATGCACATCTTAGTATTTATCCTTTGCAATAGTTTGATTCTGCTTCTTTTAAAGAGAGCTTTGCACATAATGCATATACTAAGTTGGTATGCTTCTCTTTGTGTAGATGTAGTTGTAGCATGTAGCATACCTGATATCATGTTGATCTACAGGTAGTTTTTGGTTTCTCTTCTGGCACTTTTCTTTTGACCTTCTTGTAGATCAATAACACATTATAAGCTTTATGATAACCACATCTCCTGCATCAGATCTTCAGCATGTTATGTTGTCAACTTGTCAGTTTGCAGTACTGTGTGCTGCATACATATATGTACTATTTACTATATACCATACTTGCCTATTGGTCTCTGTGGGTATCATAAAGGTATCTTCCATAATCACCTTCTAGGGAATTTCACTTTGAAAGCATAGCACAGAGCGTTAATTGTTTATTAGACTGTTTCAAACTTGTAATAAGATTTCATAAATAATTGTTGTTCAGTATAAAAGAATGGGAATCGAACATTTACATCATTTTATCATTTTGACTTTTTTCTGGATGTAAATTTCAATTTTGTGGCTACCATGTTTATGGTTTAACTAAATGATCTACTAATGCACCTTTTTATAGGTCTAACTAAATGATCTGCTGTGCACATTTTTATAGGTCTAACTAAATGATCTGCTATGTACATTTTTATAGGTCTAACTAAATGATCTGCTAATGGATAAATTTATCAGTCTACCTAAATGATCTTTCTGCTAATTCAGCACATCATTTACTTTCATGCTCATAGATGACTTTACCTTGTTAATTAAATGCATTTATATCGGAAAACACAGAATTGCTTCAATTCTTTCCCTAGATGTTTCATTTGGTGCTAGACTTAAAGCCATCAGTGTGAAGGCAATATTTCTATCATATATAAAGACACGCTCAATTACGTTCATTTCGATTTATGCAAAAATCCTGTATAAATAGATCTCAGATTCAGGAAGCATTTCAGAACATGGAAACTGCGCTGAGGCATGTAAAGATACAGATGCTATTTTTACAAAATCATGATGTCTCATTGATTAAGGTCATATGATCGCTGTTTAATTCATGTTTTTATTGCTTGAATAACAACAGGACGTTACCCTTAGCGCTTAGGTTGATAAATATTGTGAACCTGGATATCGATAAAAAGTGATCTCATGTTTCTAATCAATGATCTGGCAAGGGGATGTCCCTTTGAGCTTTGGTTACCCATTCTTAAGATTCTCTGTTCACTAGAATTTGAACTATCTGTCTGATTTTGTGGCATTCTTTAATTTAGGATATAGGTCTCATATATATAGTTTTTTGATATCTACCTTATACATGTATTGTAAATCTTGAATATAGTGACAATTTTCTCTTTAACGTTTCGTGGCACTGGCTGTTGTAGATCTTGAGATATATGCATGGCAACATCTACACTATCTAGTTATAGTGGCGTATCAAACACCATTGGCTATAATTATAATTATTGATCGTAAGCTGAATGTTGATATGAAGGTAACCTCGCAATAATGTCAACCAAGACAGGGCTATAGAGTAATCTGCTCATCTTTGTGCTAATGACTGCATTTTTTATTATTACTTGTACTCAAACTCAGTAGTATTTCCACGTAGCCCCTGAAATCCGAGGATGGAAGACTACTTAAGGTTTTTTTTTCTCGGAAGCCAGTATTGATGTATCATTTTGGGAAAAAAAATCAGCTAAAAAACTGGAATGTACCTCGAGACATTTTGAACAGAGGTAATTTAGAGGGCCACCTCCTTAAAATCTTAAATAGTACTACCCTTATTTGATAAGATAAATACCATAGTTCTTTTTAGAGACATCATTAATATGGAATGATAAAGAACATATTGGTCTTCCAATTGTAAATGTTGTGTCACACCTCAATTCCCTTTGACTCTTGCTTTATACAGTGTTGTTATAATATGATGCTTTCAAGGTATTTATTTGAAAGATATAATATCAAAAAGAGTATATATCATTATCCTGCTGCATATTGATAACAAATGAACATTCTATTTTCATTTGAACATTTCTTGGTGCATGTTAACATGAATCAATATATTACTGTATAAGTGGTATTTAATCCGAGTGGTTAATTTTCCGAATGGTCAAATTTCATCACTTTCCTAATTTTAATTTTCCTAATGACAAGAAACCTCCCATTGGATAACATTATAAAGACACTATTTCCGACATTTAATTTTCCGAACCTGTCAAAAATTAGGAAATAGGCAAATTAAATGATTAGGCAAAATTACCACTTATACAGTATTGGATCAAGGTCAACTATGTAGGGTATTTTCTTCTTTGATATTATGCAAGGTATAATGTTAAATAAATATAGATACTTCCAAACATTTATGTACATAATGTGTTGAAAGGAACCACTCCTTTATGAACTTCATATCAATGTACAGTTAAACCTGTCTTAGTGAACACCTCTCTTTAATGAACACTTGTCTCTAGTAGATAACCCTAACTATGCATTAACTCTATTGACTTCTGTATAAATTACCCTCTCTGTAGTGAACACCTACTAACGCTGATTGTTTGACTTTATGAATGATGAATAATCAGAAATCAATGCGTGATTTTAAATGCACATGAAACAGTTTGTTTCGAGAATCTTTAGTCATATTTGTAATCATTTTTATGTCACCACCACAAGTGGTAACATATTAATATACCGGTACTCTCCATATTTTTGAGGACAATGCTCAGAGTTCGGTTTCTGTAACAAATGTCAGGTGGTGACATTTGCATGTCAATGCATTGTTCATTTTAATGACAATTCTAACTTAAAACTGAAGTGCATGTTTACAAACCTAATCTTATTTTATTGAATAATTTTCCAGACTTTGTTTATATCTTACTTATATCGTATCATTCAAAATCCTAATACTTGTGCAATCTTTCATTTTCAGGACAATTCCAACTTATACATGGTACTGGAGTTTGTCACTGGTGGAGAGATGTTCTCCCATTTAAGAAGAATTGGAAGATTTAGGTAAGAACTATATATATGTTAACATCCTAAATAAAATAAATTAATTTTATAAAAAAACTACATACGTAAGTTGAGTAGATATAAATATATTCATTACATTCTGCTATTCAGTGCTATTGAATAGATGAATAGTTATTTATAACATACATCACCCTATGCTTAGTGAGCGGAGCTAATTTCAAGGGTGATGGTAAGACGAGGCATGGCGCCCAAAAACCAAAGAATATTAGTACCATCATCTTTTAAGTCGTATTATTGCAGCATAAGGTGATGATATTGTGATATTTTATGCTGTTTTAGAAGTGAAAGATGTTAAACTATGCATACCGTTTGTTTTACATCCAATAAAACGAATAGTTAAGATGAAACAGTCGTTTAAAGATACAATTTGAATTTACCGCAAGAAATTACAACCTAATATTGTCAATATGTCAATAATTCCTGATCGATGTCACATATAAAGATATATGTACCTAGATATGTTTTATTTTTTCATATATGCGAAATAAGGCGGTCTCTAGTTATGTACATCCAATACAATATGAATGTTTACTAGAGTGTCTATTCGGCGATCAGAATTTCGATGACGAGCAATGGCGATGTAATTTGCGAAAAAGCATCAGTGCACCTAGTTACAGGCCGGGTTTGGGCGCCATGCCTCGTCTTTACCATCACCCTTGAAATTAGCTCCGCTCACTAAGCATAGGGTGATACATAGAGACAAAATAATTTTATTGAACTTTGCTCATGTAATGTTGTATAATAAGAGCTGTTCGCTACAGCTGTCATTGTGATGTGTTTTTACTCCTATATTAATTCCCAGCTCATGCATTGTTTTTATTGAATTAGTAGATAGAAATGCACTTGGCTATAAAAATACCATTGATGGACTTAATGACACTAATGGAGAACTCTTGCATAAACATTCAGAACAATTCAAAGGCGTTATTCTAATTTTTGCCATATTATCCTGTTAAGTCCTTCACTTGACATTATGTTGCCAAGTGTCAGGTTAATCATAACTTGCACTCAACATCAGTAGTTTGTTTATTGGAATATACCATTTAGTAACATATCCATAAGTCTATTTTGCATTAACTCCCTAAATCTGAGAAAAAGTGATTGATTTGAAGATTCATAACTTTTAGTATATTAACAATGTTTGGAGAAATTACCACATATATTACCCAAGATGGGTGGGATAGCATCATCTATAAGTTTGTTATTTTTTAAGGAAATATTTTGATAAAGTAATATAAATTTTGAGCTAACAGTATCATTTCTCTATTTATTAATTTAAACAATTAAGGTTTCTAGCTTTTGAATGTTTATGTGAGATACAATGAAAAAGACTGTGTAAGGCTGTTAACCCTCATTTATCAGACAAGTTTTAATTGTTTCTAGTGTCCTTGTTTGTGTGGATAGGGTTAAGCCATACATATTCTTTAGTTTAAGTGTGGGCTAATGGCTAAAGAACTGTTTTATAGGATTTTATTACATTATTAGATTCTGAAAGAATATTAATGGGTGTTGTCCATGATTTGGTATTTTTATGGTGATACGCCAGCATCTAGCAAGATAATAACAGGGTTCTTATTTAATCAATTGTGTTGAATCTCTCTTTCTCAATCTAACAGGCTAACCTCTGAGGTTAACATGTTATGTTGTAAATTATATTGATGTTATCAAATGAAAAAGAGAGGGGAATGGTGGGTTAAATGGTGTTAATGAGAAGGTTATTTATATCTTTTATCTAAGATGCTGGCTGTATTCATTGTTATGATATAATATTTGTACATGTAGAAAAAAAACATGTAGACATTTTGCTTGTGAAAAGTAGTTTGTAGCAATATTTGTGTGTTATTTGCTGTTTCTAGTGAGAATCACAGTAGGTTCTATGCTTCACAAATCGTGCTGGCATTTGAATATCTCCACGCCCTAGATCTCATATATCGAGATCTAAAACCAGAAAATATCCTTATTGATAACACTGGTTATTTAAAAGTAAGTAGATGTAGATGAATATATATGTTCTTTAGACACTGTTGACTGTTCCAACACTTTTCTCTACTCTTCTGGCATGTCTATTATTTACTCTCTTGGACATAGCATGCTAAAATAGGCCTTGGAGGGACTGTATCTTCAGTATGAGCAATGGATGCTAGTGTAATACTTAACTCATTTATTGCTGGACTCTTGATATGTCCCCTGACCATGGTTTCCACTGGAGCACTGAATCGATCCCTAGTAGTTATTGAAAACAAACATATCTCGCATAAGTCAAACAATATTGATATCATTATACCGTTATAACTAATAAACAGAATAACTAATTCCTGGCTGTTGACAGAATACATTGATTACTTAACGGAAGACTGAATTGATCAATAATGATTTGTATGGTTTGAGTGCTCTTACAGAACCATAGGTGCGGCCTACATATTATAAAGCAGGATGTTGTTCTCTGGTATAGCAACAGTAGATTACCATACTGAGACAATGCCTTTAAGTTGTTAGCACAATTAGTATATTCTCAGTTGATTTATGGAGGCAGTATCCTGTTTTGTAGTAAGAAGTAGATAATAGAGATCACCCTACATGTATTAACCCTTGTAGTAGTTTTCACTAACACTCCTTCAACTTGTTTTCAGTCCCCGCTCAGTGAAACAATGGATGTTTCACGTCACACTAATTTTCCTACATCATTTATTTTTTACACAGCGAGCCACATTCGAGGTTTTATGCAGCACAAATAGTGCTTGCGTTCGAGTATCTCCATAGCCTGGATCTTATATATAGAGATTTAAAGCCTGAGAACTTACTCATAGATTCAACAGGTTACATTAAAGTAAGTAGGAGCTGAGATGTGCATGTGTCCAGGTGTCAGCACAACAACGCTGTTGTGTCTAGTCTAACATGCACTTTGTGTCTCCACAAGATGTCTATCACTTCTAGTCACATTTTTATTCATGTTACTTCACTGTATTGTTGTGCATTATGTTGTTATTCTTTTATTTAAAACAGCGAACCCCATTCTCGATTTTATGGGGCTCAAATAGTGCTGGTATTGGAATACCTTCATCATTTAGATGTTATGTACCGCGATCTTAAACCAGAAAACTTGCTCCTTGACACCCGTGGGTACCTTAAGGTATGGTGAACTGTAGGGTAAACTTGAGTGCTTAGCGCAACAAACGCTTCATGTATATGGAATATGCTTTCGTATATTTCTATTCATTAGCGCTTTGTTGTAACCCTAGCCTGTTTTGGGGTGGTTTTGTATGAGTACATCTTATATATACATCAACAAATGCTGTGTGCCCAGAAAGCAAGTTTTGTAAATTCCTTATTTTAAAAAGGTAGAAAGTATGTTTATCATGACACTGTATACACAGTTATAATTTCTATTTCTTAGTTTAGTATTTCTCACAATATTTTACCTTACTCATGTGTCTTGCTAATGTTCATCCAGTCTCCTAGCTTCACTCAGTGCAAATTATCCTCCTTTCAACCTTTGTAGACATTTGATTCTACAGATAACTCTAATTTTACACTTACTGTTGTCATATCAAACTGATTATAATTAATCAATGAAATAAATATAGTTTGTCAAAAACTTCTAGAAATAGTATGACTTAGCTAGCAGTAATAGAGATTAATCTTTATTTCAAATGTGTGATGTCATTTCCCCTGATAGTGTGGAAAAGTCATCCCTTACTATCACCACATGATTTAATTTTGTGTCTAAAATAATAACAAATCAAATATCTACAGAGAGGAGAAAGGATAAACTGAACAAAATGCTGAGAAACTGGATTTTTCTGTGCATGTGGGTGTCTTGTTGATGTATGTGGAGGGTGTACTTTATATATATATATTAGAGGTGATTTAGGGGGTAGCTATTGGAACAGCTTATCCCACCTAATCAAGCTTTTAAAATTTTTATTACTACACATTAAGAATTGGGGGTGTTTTAATTAAATCATAATTAAATTTATTTTCTTCTTTGATTTGTCCCAATGTAGACCCTATTTGTTGACGTCCATGTTGGAGCTTCATTATGCGCATTGTGGAATGCTGGCAGGTTGTTAAGTTCATGTTTCCATATTGTATATAAATTGCTGCTTTTATAAATAGATTGCATTGTTGGTATGGTTCCAATTACAGTATATCTATAGCCTACCTATAGCCACTTTTCATGACTAGGGTATAATTTTCAATTACTCCAATGCATCAACATGGTGCTTGTATATCCTTGAGTTATATTATTTTCTCAGTAGCGAAGATCACCATGCCTATCTAATACATCCTGCTTCCTGCCAACTTAAGCTTCTGTTTTGGTTATAAATTAATGTAAAAAGGGACCTTTCAATTATCAATTCTATGTTCTTATTATTATGACAAGCAGAAAAGAATTATTACATGTGAAGAAAGTAAAATATGAATCGGATCAAATTTCCTTTCTTGAATCAGACCTTTCATCTAAATCGTAACTTTGACAAATACTGTATATAATATTTTTCAGGTTTCTAAAAATTGGCATTTCAATGTGTACCTAACGAATTGCTGGAATATATATTCCATTTCATCAGATATGTCACTTTTGGTTCCAATAAAAAGCTAACTCTAATGCAACAAAATTTTCTAGACAAATTGCTACTACACTGTATTGGTAATGAATCCTCGATATTATGCAAATATCAAATAATTAGCTAATTTCTTTAATCCTTCAATACATTTAGAAACAAACATGCATGTTTTTAATTCTGCAAAATATGTAGTTTTAAGTTAGGCAATCGGTAGATTTTAGATCTGCAAATGCAGAAGCTTTTATTAGTTAGGCAGTCTACAATATCATATGTCATGGCTAGCATATATTAGACTGTGTTCTAAGGTGAGATTTGTCACAGGCACATAAACAATTGCAATTACAAATATAATAGCACTAGCTAAATATATGAAATCAAAGCATGCATAATGGGGGTAATATTATGTCTGTTGCTATGAGATGGCATTTTTGAAGATTCTCAGATCTCCCTAGATACACAAGAGCTCCTCAGCTTCTTATACCCTACGGACTTAGGTGCTTATCTTAAGCTAGTTACATATTTGTCTGCTTCTAAGCTACCATTGATTTTTTTCATTGCCAGTTATTTATAACTTGAGGTATAGTGCAGCACATATGTTCACCGTTGCTTCAATCCATTTTGCAATCAATGCCAGAAAGCTTCTATCTTCAAAACCTAGCTCAAATTGATGATATATTTAGACCATGTACACAAAGCGCTGGTGTAAGTCTATGAATTATTAATGGATTGAGAAGGAAATAGCTGCTACTTCCTTTGTATGATCCTTCTATCTCCGAGGCCATCAATATGCAGTCTTAGAAGATTACTGGATTAGCTTTGTGCCACTCAGGGGTGGATATAGATTTTTACTGTTAGGTATGGCATACTTATTTAATGAAGAACTGAAGAGTAACCACATATGACCTAGATAAAATTAAGATTTGAATTATGAGAGTGCACCTACAAGAGCCAAGATATAAGACAAAATACTTTGTGTAGTAAGTAAATATATATCACCCACTCTAGGAATATCCCCCATTCCCTGTGTCTATAGTTTAGATCTTACCTGAAGACTGAACTGAATAAAGTCTCAATAGCAAGCAACAGAGAATACATCAATTACATTATTATTTGCTAATTATGACGCCTCCTTCTTGTTTTAATAAAACAATTAGTAGATACGTTATATTTTGCTTAAAATTCCCTGACTACATGCACTGGGTCTCAACATATTGTGTTTATGCAAGAAGATGGCCTGCCTTTCAGTAGCAGATGTTCGTAAGATATTTTGTTTTCTCCAATTAAACCCATTTCTTAGGATTTTCTCTGTAACACTATGCATGATGGTGAAAAATCCTATCTCTATAATGGGTTTAAATAGAGAGAACAAAATGTCTTTCCAAAATATGAAACTGGAAGGCAGGCCATCTTGTTTCACAGACACAGTGGCTGTGTTATACGTCACGTCAAGACAGCGCCTATGTTACTCTGTGACAAACCTCAAAATGCCTATCTACACAGGCTACCCATTGATGAAAATGTCCATTGATTTATTCAGACAATCAAATATAAGTTGAACTGACCTGTCCATTCCGCAAATAGAAATTGCTCATATTCTTAAGTCGCTAAGCTCCACGGAACAAAACTAGATAGTAAATGGGATTCATATCAAGGGGTTTTCTTTAATAATTAAGTATTTGATTCTTTGATTTCTAACCTAGAATGTGTGGACATCATGCACCGTATTTGTAACATGAACAATACAGGAGTAATATGAAATCAATGTTATGGTCAGATGTATCTAACAGAAAAACCTGTTTAACCACAGTTGGTCAGATAAATACTAGATTAGTGATATTCCCAAGTTTAGCAGAGTTATTGTAGAGTTTACCAGTGTGTTATATTCTATGTTATTGACTGTGTTTATCCGTGTTGTCTGTATTGTTTTATCTGTGTTGTCTTGTACCTTATAGTTAGTATTTTGGGGCCAGGTTAAAAAATTTCAATTTATTTTTGCAAAAGGATTTGAATGAAGCTTCATTTCAGCTGTTGGTTATCAAACTGTACATATAATCAAAAATTATCAAACATTGAAGTTACTTCTCATTCACTTTTTGCTATATTGAGACCTGTTGTTTATTCCCAATCCTAATTGACATTTTGCCTAGGCCTCATTTTTTTTATTATTTTTGAATAGGCTAATTATCTTTCTGTAGCTTCTTCTGTAAAATCTTCTGTAAATCTATAGTTAGTTTGCTATTAGAATTGTTTACAAACATCAGCAGTTGCGAGGACATTGAACCAGTAATTTGTTTTGGTTCTGCTTTTAAGCTGAACGAAACATTACATTTGGATTGTATCTTAGGATAAGTAAATCATCATTTCTCAAAAGAAAATCAACACCTTGCTTCTGGAAATGGTTTTCATCCAACTGTTGATATTTGGACAACTTTCTTTATTTAGTTAATTTTTAGTTAGATTTTATTTTATTTGTTTTTATTTTACTTTATGGTTAACTTACCTGCACCTATACAAACTTTTAACAAATTTATGTATATTACTGTTTTTATTTACTTCATTTTTGTAGTTATTATTTGTTAAAAGACAATTTTATTGATATAATAAGTGAATCTATATTTTACATGTGTTGCAAGGAACTATAGAGACCTATGGCTGATTTTTTCATAAGAAAAATTCTTGAATCCTTTCCTAATGTTTCTGAAGCATCAACTACATGTTCATATGTCATTTTAAAGTGAACTTTCAAAATATCTATATTGTCAATGGAACAAATAAACCAATAGGCCAAGGAGGATTGGCTCCCAGGATCGAAACTCGATATTTTCCAATGATGAAAACTTCTAAATGTCATTATTTTCTGAAATTATAACCGACTATAAATTCAAAATGAACAGTTCAAAAGATTTGAACCAATATCTCAATCATTTCTATAAAATGGCGGCTGTTTGAATTCGAATTTTGTATCACGACATGCCCACATATGGGACAGAATATTGATGTTGCACTCTGGGAGCCAATCCTAGGCACTAGGCCAAATAATCATGAAATAGTAACAGGCCATATGTGGCATTTATTTGAATAGATTTATGTCTACCAGTTTGCGTTCACTAATATCTTCATCTTAATATTTCGGTAACCACTCATCACTTCCCATCATCTATCTCAACATTAGGCAGTTCTAAACTCTACCAGATTTTTGAGATAACTGCATCAATACAAACATCACTTAGCACTGTGGTAAAAATATCACAGATGAGATACAACTTGGTCTATTTTTAGAGAAAAACATCAATCCAGGCACAAGGGGGTTCAAAAAGTACTAGATGCCTTGATGTGTCTTTTACTTACAACAGGCTTGGCTAAATTGCTACCCATTTACATTTCACTATAAGAGAGTATATTAGACACTTGTATTTTGTAAATTTTCATCAGATAATCAAAAATCATTCAAATTATATTTCTCAGAAGAAAATTATGTGCTTTATGATCATGGTATAGAGTTTTCTTTCCTAATTGTTTCAAAGCTTTGCATTTGATTAAAAGAATGCTTCAACTGCTTTTGGTGTTACTGGTGATTCCTGGCCTGGATATATTGTATGTTAACTCAATATTGTTCTCCATCTACTTGCCAAGTACTTGCAGCTTGATTTGGTGAACAAACTGTAATTGAATATTGATGCTTTAACATGTTTTATTGGTTTTAATGTCCACAATTTAACATATCTATTGATTTTCATAATTTGAGGCAGTTTATGATTTACAAAACTTTCAGGAAATATATGTAAGAAATGTTTATGTGAAATTGAATATTTTTCTGATATCACTTTTTACTGATCATGAACTTGTGGACAAATTTGTCCATAGCATAAGTTGATGAAAAGATTCAGTCTCAACTTTTTCTAAGTTTTCAGTTTTCTCCCTTAGTTAAAAGTTTATGTTACCAAAGTATTTACATTTTAGTTTTAGTTTTGATATACATTAAAACCTGTAAAGTAGAACACCTCTGTAACTGGAACACTTTTAGAGGTCCAAGACCAACTGGTTTAATGTTAAATGAACCTCTTTATGTGGAACACCTCCCACTTTTGTTTAGATACTAAAGATGTTGCCCTTAAACAGGTTTTACTGTACTGTACTAAATTTGTATGCAAAAACCTCATATTATACCAAATGACCAAGATGAAATGATTGGCATTGATTTACCGTGATACAGTATGTTATCCAGAAAATAATCCTCTGATCTTTACTATAATTGTTCAACATATCATTTCAGGTGACAGATTTTGGGTTTGCCAAGAGAGTGAAGGGAAGGACTTGGACCCTATGTGGGACCCCTGAGTACTTAGCACCAGAGATCATTCTCAGCAAGGTATAACATGGGAATAGAATATTAACAAGCATGTACATGAATATGGAATAGAATATCATTGAGATATTTTCACTTACCAGTGGTCACTTTATAGTAGTCACTGAACCTTGTGGTGAATCTCATTCCAATGAGGTTTGAAAGTGGTCACATTGCTTTGTAATTGCAAGCACCTTGATCAACCATGAGCAATCATACAAATGAACTGCAATGAATTAGACATTTTCCTTGCAATTTGTAGTTGGGCATGTAGATATATAAAACACCATTTTGACTGGTTCTACTCATTCTTGAAGCACCTCAGTTCTTGCATCAATTTCCTTTTTTTAGCCACATAAATAGTGTAATATTATGAAGACTTAAAACAAAACTTACAACTTGGGTCATGTATAGTAATCAAAATCCTTAAAAATTGTAAACAATTTCATTTTGACCCAACCCCAGCCTTAAAAAATAACACTGAACATAGGCCTATTGAATTGAAAGAAACCTTAGGAAACAATGAATGTCTAATTGTCATCATATTGTATCTACTATTTTGCTTGGGGTTTGATTGAAAAAATGTCACATTCTTCTATTTAAATGATACACATATATCCTATCCTCAGAGGCACATTCATATCTTTAGCATTTAACTTGTTAATTTGCTAGTCCCCATGGTGATCTGACATCAGTTGGAGGTAAATACTACCCACTCCTTATATTTCATTTTATAATATTGGTTTGTATAGTGTAATCTGTAAAATAAATGAAGAGTTAAATAAGAGGTTACCCGAGGCCACCACATCTGACTTATAGCATTAACCTATGCCCTTACAAATTGAAACTCTGTTAAGCAATACCTGCCTGTTTATACTAATTTTCTTGCATTTTTGGATTTGGGGGAATTTCTCTCCCATTTTGAGATATGTCCTTCTCTTTTGCCAATTTAAAGTAAAACAAAAAGCCTAGTAATCTGGTCATTTTTAAAAAAGAGAGAAATGTCTAACCTGTAGGGTGCTTTACCTTACCTTGACATATCATCTAAAATCCCCAGACTGCAATATTGATTTTTTCTCATCTTAACAATTATATGATAATAGTAATCAGGTAATTCCTCTTGTAAATGTATGTATGTTTGGTCATATATACTTCCATAGTTGTATTTTATACTACATTGTATTGATATTAAGTAATTAACTCATATTTTATTAAATGGTACAAAACTTCATCCAGTGTCTGTTTATTAGCTAATTTCTCAATCTTGTTGATCTGTGCAAGGTATTTTGCTATAAAATTAATGTTGTAGAAAATCTCAGTTTTGGTTGCTACTTTGGGAATTTTTCAAGAAAGAAACATGGTTTAAATGTCTGATTACACTAATTATTTGTGATTGAGAATGTGTGTGGTATTTTACATCCAGATTTCAAAAGAGAAAACAATTTCTGCTTCTGCTAGATTTGGAAGATTTGAAACAACTAACAACAGTGTTGTTACATGAAGTTTAATTTCTTCAAATGCATCCTTTTTCCCTCATTGTCCTACCATTTTCTCAAGTGACTTTTCCCAGCTTCGTTTAAATGAGATAATCAAATGTTGATTATTTATTTAGTATTTCCTGATATTTGTGTTATATGTACATGCAATAACAATTTATGTTTACATATACATCATGCATACTATGTTATAGGGGTACAACAAAGCTGTAGATTGGTGGGCTCTAGGTGTTTTAGTTTATGAAATGGCAGCTGGCTACCCACCTTTCTTTGCCGACCAGCCAATTCAAATCTATGAAAAGATTGTCTCAGGAAAGGTATGCCTAGTGTATGGTATTTGTGTGCTTTAGTTAGTGTTTGTTGTGTTATAGGGTTACAACAAAGCCGTTGATTGGTGGGCTCTAGGTGTTTTAGTTTATGAAATGGCAGCTGGCTACCCACCTTTCTTTGCTGACCAACCCATCCAAATCTATGAAAAGATAGTGTCTGGAAGGGTAGGTTCTATGTTTTAGTTAATATTATTTAAGTTTTGAGTGTAAATATCGTATTTAAGTTGTAGTGATTAAATTTGTAGTGCACATTTCTTTAGTTTTAAGTTTGTAGTGTAGTGTAAGTTGTTATGTATATGAGTACATGTACTGTTACCAGAGAAAGTTGCAATTTTTAAATTCACCAAAGTTGAAGTGCTACATACAAAAAGTTGCACCAGCAGTGTTAACATTAAAGTCCCCGTCTAAAGTTTGAAAATATTTTTTTATCATTCATTTACTATTTGTCAGGACTTAAAAAGTGATTTTAGAGATTTTTGAACAAAAAGAATTTTTTGAAAAAAAGTTGTGAGCATTTCATTTCTCAAATATTCAAATTTCCCGCCATTTTTCAAAAAAAGTTGAAATTTCTTAATCATCAAATATTCCTTAATGCATTTCAAAAAGGATTATCTTTTTAACACCAATGCAAAGATTGAACAAAAGACACACTATTTCAATAATAAAATGTCATATTTAATGGGCCACTTCAATGTTTTAGTTTATCAAAAATATTTTGAAACATTAGTGATGTCACTAAGGTAACAAAAACTTTTTGAAAAAAATTGAATTTTTTTTTTTGATGTCAATCTTTTCTAAATATGCTAGATTTTCATAAAAAACCAATGTTGATTGTCTAACCAGGTTAAAAGGAAGAATAAATTATGTTTTAGATATCATTGTACCATTGGTTTATATGAGAACTAAAATTTTGAAATGCATTTTTCTCAGAACCATTTTCATGCACTGATAAGTTCATTTCTCGCTTGTTTATCAACCGATTTTCTTAATTTTTCGGCAAAAAACATGGGAGGATGAATGCTATGCATTGGTATGAATTGTGGCTAATTAGAAGATATGAGTGACCTCTTAAAGTTGGTTTTAAATAAATTCACAAATTTTGGAACAAAAAGTCTATCAAAAACCACTTTTTGAAATTTAAAAAAAAAGTTTCACATATCACACTTTGATAACATTGGGTAAGACTACAATATAAGCCAAAGTGGTTTAAACTTTACACGGGGCCTTTAACGAGCGGACTGGCGGTCAGGGACCAGTTGATTGTCCTCCGGTCCGGCAAAAGTTGCACAGGTGCTGGACCTTTGGACCAGCTTGTTTTTATGATACCTACATACCTCTAGAATATGTGTCCGCAGGTTTACTCTATTGTTTGTGGTCGTCTTGATCGATATTTACCTTGACACGAGCGTATTCAGCAGATATCTGGTTCATTTTTCAAAACATTTAATTCTCGCTAGAATCGATTCGCTAAACTGAGTATTACATACAATTACCGAACGCCTAGCTTTTTTATGGGCTTTTCTTATGGATGTTGAAACAGTGTTAAGTGCTTAAAACAATCATGAATTTATTGACATAAACCCTTAATGCATTTTTGCTGAAGTTGTAGTCAGTGATCGGAGGCCTGGTCATTCATGTTGACCAAAAATCTTTATGATTTAATTCAGCGGACAAATTTTTTCGTTTTTGGCACACATAGCGTAATAATAAATAAGTGCTATAGTATTTGCACTAATTAGCAGTCCTTATACAACCTATGGTGGAATTAAGGACAGATATTGACAACAGGGAGTTGTCACACGCAACTTTCTCTGGTCTCCATAAATAAGTGTGTGAATATATTTATTATGTCACCACCAAAAAGTGGTGACATATTGTTATTGTCTCCATTTTTGTGACAGCAGTTGGCGCTCAGCGGTTTGAGATCAGCAGTTGGCATCTGTAACAAATGGTGGTGACATTTTGCATGTTAATGCCTTCTTTTACAGGTTTTAACTCATATTACTGAAATATTTCAAATCCTGGTAATACAGGATAAAAAAGTTATTCACTGGTCGAGATTGAATGGTTTCATCCTCGAGATAAAGCCCATATTCAGTCCTTACCTGGAAATAACCTGGTTACGCATTATGCATTCAACCTCACTTTGGGATGAAACATCTTGATCAAAAAATAAGTTGAACATGAAGATGTTAGTTTTAATGAGATGACATTTTACCTCGTCAATTTACTTAAATATTTAATTTGGATATGTTATATTTCAAAATATAAATGGAATAGCAGTGAAAACCACTACTGAAAGGATCAGATGGTATGAAATGGAATAAGTCTCCCATAAACTACTTTTGCTGACTGCATGCATTGTGTTGTAAATTGTTTGATCTTCTCCACATTTCACTTTAACTGTGGTTTTCTAAGAAGAACCCTGCTATAGTAAAGATCTCGATATATGATTGACAATAATATGCTGATATCCCTGTAGTAAATATTTGCGATGTGCTGTGAAATATTTGCGATGTGCTGTGTTCTAGGTCCGCTTCCCATCTCACTTTAGCGGGGATTTGAAAGATCTTTTACGTAACCTCCTTCAAGTGGATCTTACTAAACGATACGGCAACCTCAAAAATGGTGTGAATGATATCAAAAATCACAAATGGTTCTCTACAACAGATTGGATAGCTATTTACCAGAAAAAGGTTTGTATTGATACAATAATTATTTTGATCAAATCATCTTCACTTAATCTGGATCTGTATGTACATTTATAATTATGTATGATGTTTTGTGTAAGAAAGATGCAATAAAAAAAATCTTCACTTAATCTAATGAATATCCTAAAATGAAAATTGGATAAATGAATTAGTTCTTTCATAATTTTCTCTGGCTTCTTTTTATGTTTGTAATTTCAAAACAGTCTAGGAATAATATCAATAGCCTATTACTGTTATCATAAGTCTGTTATTTAGTCTGTTACCCCTTGCGTTATGTTACGTATATGTCTTATGTGGGGTGTGTATTTCAGGTTGAAGCCCCATTCATTCCCAAGTCTCGTGGCCCTGGAGATGCTAGCAACTTTGATGACTATGAAGAGGAGCCTCTACGTATATCTAACAATGAGAAATGTGCAAAGGAATTCGCTGATTTCTAAAGTGATGAATGGAGCAAAGTACAGGTGGTTGTTATTGGGATGTTTGTGGATGGACAGTTGAAGGATTGTAGCATTGACTTGAAGATGTTCAGGGATGACACAGTACAGGAATGTCACCATGCAGCAAGGTCACAATGCTGGGATGTCAAATTGTAGTTTTATACCTATATAACAACCAGCTGTTTGATTGTGTCATTACTTGGTGCTCTCTTGGGGGCTGGACAGATGTGTATATATCGGGAAAGGATAAAAACCAGGCTGTGCATACTACATGTAGCATGAGACTACATTAAAGTGTAGACACTTCGCATGTAGTCTACATATTGCATTATTAGACTACATGTAGCATGAGACTACATTAAAGTGTAGACACTTCGCATGTAGTCTACATATTGCATTATTAGACTACGTGTAGCATAAGACTACATTAAAGTGTAGACGTGCCGCACGTAGACATACCATGAGACTACATGAAGCATGGGTCTGCATTTCATTGTAGACATATTGTCACATGTAGACTATCTTTAGTATAAGACTACATAAAGTGAGGACTACATGTAGCATAAGGCTACATGAAGCGTGAGGACTGCATGAAACATGGTCAAAGGGTTTTTAGTCAGTCTCATATAACGGGTGCCAACACATGAGTTTCTTTCTACCAGATGTACATTTCATTTTGTGCGCACAGCATACCCATTGTTTAAACAGTTCATATATTCAGTTGTGGATTGTCATGAAAGTTAATGGCTGTGTGGCTATACTGGGAGTTCAAACACAATTTAGAGGCATTTCAGGAAGTTGCTCAAATGAAATTGTACAGCACAACTGCAGCCATGAATCAAAATTAAGCACATCATAGTTATTAATGTAGGACCAATTGCAACTGAACAGTATTCCTAGGCACTAATAACAACTCTTATTCTTGAGGATATATTTGATAGTAAACACCTAGCCTAGGCCTTAGGGTTGGTAGGATGAAATAGCCAAACTGTAAGATAAGCTTGTATATAAACTGCATATACCAGTGCATGTGTGTCAGTTGGGGCCAACACTCTGAAGTTGTCTCCGAATCAGTCATTGGTGAAATCCATATAAATGTACATAGGAGAAAGGCCAATGGATATTTAGTCATTAGTTTATTTACATAAGGATTACTTAGCATTATTGTCACATGCTATTGGTGCATTATGTCCAATAATTGTTAAATGTAATAATATTTTGTTTTGTAAATCGGTGTATTTATCATTTTGTCTTTCCAAATATTCTGTGAGAATATTGGCTTTATCTAATAAATAAGCATTGTAATTGTCTCAAACCATCATTAATGTTGAAGAAAATATATTTGAACGTGAATATTAACATTTATCACAAATAAAGGAAAACTGGAGTTAAAGTATTACATTATATTTGATTGAAAACAAAATCCATCCAATCGATACTTCTAGGATATGTGATGTCATAACTAAAATGCTAAATAGCAATTCTGAACATGTATCATATTTGAGAACAAAGCCAAAGCAGTTCATCACACTGTCATAATTTTCAATTGTATCTAAATGTAAAATGATCCATCCAATCAATATTTCAAGGGATTGTGATGTCATAACTAAAATGTTAAATAAGTGCACCATACAGCTGTAGGCATGTTACCCTATTGTTTTAGAATGCTTTTAGAATTCTTTTTGATGACCATCATTTGTACATAATGGTAAAAAGCATGTGTCCTTTTATGATCAGGTCTGGAGCCTTCCAGAGGGTACCAGTGATATTCCTGATATGAGATACGCTAGTAAAATAAGAGAGTCACATTTCTACAGCTTTTGGGTCAATTGGCTCGTATGTGATTTATGCTATGTGTAGGTTACTGTTTATATCCTATGTAAAATAAGAAAAACCTTTAATAAGAAAAAAAATATATAATGTGTTATGAAAACAAAGATTTTTGTATTTGTATCACATCAATATGCCAAGATGGATAGGTTGAGCAGAGCAAGCTAAAAATCAGGGAATGACCCGAGAGTAATGATTTGGAAGTATACTGCAACATACAAAGTTGATTCAATAATACTTTCTTATATTTACCCAAGATACCATACTACTTACTAGCCTTGAAGATGGGATAATGACAAAAACATTTTGACCTTTTCCATTTTATTGTCACCAAAACAAGTTTGGTTATCTTTAGAATTCAAAAAAAAAGTATAATTACATGAATGAGGAAGGCATCAAGAGACTTAAAGTTTATTTCATAAAATAACCTAGAACTAAAAGAGCACTTGTGTCAATAGTGAGAACATAAGGGCATGTACGAGTGTAGAGTATACTACATTTTTGCAAGAGTCCAGGTTTAATTCCCGGTTGCATTTAGAAACGAAAGGGTATGAGGCTAAGTGGCTCAAATTAGCACTGACGAAGACAAATAGCTAAGTTTTAACATGGACTGCAATAAGTAATAATAACTAGTGACATGAAAATTCAATCTTGAGGCATTTTATTTTAAATTAAAACCAGTGTATTTTTAAACATCGATGAGTCCACGTTCAATGAGCTTCTTGTACATTTCAACATCTTTAGGTCCTGCAATGAGAAAAATAAAGCACGTGTAATAGTGGGCACATTCATCGGAACAATCAATACCAAGTCCATAGACGTAAGGTGATAGAAATCATGTTCATGGCAATCAACCTTTTTAAAGTTCATATATTCTCCGAAAATATTAACTGAACTACTGCCATCTTTATATCTGCCTTAAATCATATGACTTTATGGGGATCGTATAACTGGCAACATTTCATTTATTATTCAGACGTTTTAAACTGTCTTACGCATGCATTGTTTGGCAAACAGGACAAATCCTTCGCAGCAAATTGGGTCCTGGCATACGCCTGGGGAAACAACCATTTGGTATTCTGTGTCCATTCGGTAAGCGAATTTCAACCTAGAAAATACGGCACATACTAATATTTCATGCATGACTGGTCAGATAAGATCGTAGGTTGTATACCCGGGGGTGTATCAGTATGATACCTTCACAAAATGGTCATAATTATTTCTGGAGAAAACATCAATGTACACTCTAACACTTACCTGTATTTGGTGACATATTTGGGGCACCAAGGTTCCCACCACTCATCATCTTCATTGCATTTCTCTTCCCCTTCTTTCACGAGCTCAGACACAGACCTTGAGACCTCTCGGGGTTTTTGGTTGGAAATCAGCTTTTCAACAGGTTTGATTGGACTGCCGCAGCACCAATGAGAGCTGAAAATACATTTTTTAATGTTTTTGATCCGTGTGAGCATCGCTAGATGACAGATTTTCCGGCGAGAAATCATTGAAACTCTTATGCAAGCTTACTTTATTGGGGTTAACAGGCTAAAAAGAAAGATATTTGACAAAACATTCTCCTTTTCTGCTTTTTGAGTTAAACTGATTCCATTTTGCCAAGTAAAATAAATTGTACATAATACTATGAATCAGGGTAACAATTCTATACGAATGGCTATAAATATGTTATAACTACGAACCTGTCTTGTCCAAGAGCGAGGGCGACGTATGCCAGACATACGAAAAGACCAAGAGCAGATTTCATCATTGTAGCAGATAATGAAACAACTGAATGAAAATAATTAGTTCGACAGCTCTGCTATATCATCAATAGGATATCTCTAGATAACGCAACTATAGATATGGATAACTTTGGCAGATAACAGAAGGGAGACCAAGATAATACTAATATGCAAAGGCCAATGTTTGCCACCTTTCACTTTCCCCATGCCTCTAACCTTCAAGATTTACGTAATTGCATATATTTGTATCATTTGTCTTAGTATAACCCCTTCCTGACTGGTAACTTACACTGATTAATTCACACTCACCAATCTCCCATTGGTTGACACACTAATTACTAATTAAACTTCCCCACACTCAGCCATTACCATTTCCTCACCCCTACCCCCAACATCAATGTCAATCGCGTGTTTTGCTTTCTCTATATTTTATTCATAATTGACACCAATAACATCAAGTCAAATGTAAGAGATTTTGCATTTTATTTGTGCTGAGTCACCTGGGGTGCTCAGTGCCCCCATTTATTCCTAATTGTAATTGAGGCCACTATATGTACCAAATGGTGATGTGGACAACAAGGTATCATAGCGGCGACCTTATAGTTAGGGGACGATGATCCTCTATCTAGAGCCCACTCTCTCCAAGGCCTCATACGATATGCTATTAAAACTATTTTCATTATTAGTTTTCCCCAACAAGGAGCAGTTAAGTTCGAAGCGGCAGTTATTTTCGCATGATTCAAGTGCAGTAAAGTCCGTTTCGCAGGTTTCAACACCCCCGGGTCAACATCATCCTCCACTTATTTTCCATTATTCAACTATTGTCCTGCCGTCTACTATTTCCGATATCTTGAACGATCTAAGCATTCATTTTGGTAAGCAGCACCAAAAAAAACAATTCAAAAATTAATTATATTTTCCCTTTCTACATTTTGTCCCATTTATGCTTAAATCAGCTTCCAAAACTCCACATTGTCACTCGAGTAAGAGCAAATTGTTTATTTGCTATTTTGCCTATCTTGTATTTTCTTTACAAAATTCCTAATGTCTTGAGCAAGTATTTCTGGTTGTTCAAATGCACCAAAGTGTCCTCCTTTGGGTAAATCGGTGTATTGAACAATGTTAATGTACATATCCTTGGCCAAAACCTTCGGTGGACACGGGGCTATCTCGTGAGGAAAGCAGGCCAGCGCAGTTGGCACTGTGGAGAGCATTCTGAAGTAAAAAACAGATACCTTAATCCAAAATAGCAATGAGTATTCCCAATAATCAGACAAATGCAATTTACGGCATATATTGAGATAGGGGAGAGCCGGGAGAGGCATTTCAACAATAAATGTTAAAGACCATCGAGATTTTTTTTTTGAAACGTCAACGTTCCTCTCTCGCTTGTTTTACTTGAATATCTTGAATAACATAATTAGTGGATAACATCATATAGTTAATAACTTCATTGATTATCTAAAATACAAAAAGCTACAGCAATCAACTTACCTTTGTGTTAAACTAAAACAATCTCCCTGAAATAATTCTTTATAGAATCTCATCGATGATGTTATTGTATTTGTTGTCCAGTAGATCATGACATTTGTTAGTAGGTCGTCGATCTTGAAATGTTTCTCAAGATTCCCATCTGCGGCATTTCTGTTCTCCTTATTACTCCAGGTAGAGAATTTCTCTAAGATGTATGCTGCTAGGCCGACCGGGGAATCTGTTAGCCCAAAGCCTGTAAGCATTATCATTATATGTTTCATTCACTTTTATTAAAACCCCTCCTTTCCTTTTACATTACTTTTTATCTAAATATATAAACTCTATTTTTCTTAATAATACCCTCGAACGATTCACAAGACATTATATGTACTGGCATAAATACAGTGTGTGCCAAAAAACGCCAATTTATCGAAATGCTATAACTATTTTTGGTACAAAATCATAATTTGCATACCAAATGAAACTCGAGGATGCTATCTAGCCATGGATTATAAATTGTACACCTTTATCTGAATAAAATATGGCACCAGTGTCTCACTTAAACATGTGGTGTGCCATGAGAAATAAACATAATTTGCAAAATGTTCCTGAACTGATATGGCCTGATGACCACCAAGCTAATAGTCCTGATGCAATCCCCAGTGAGTATGGGGTATGGGAAGGTCTCCAGGAGATGGTATGAAGGCACCCAATCTAAAAAAGTGCCCATCTAAAGCTGGCAATTAAGACATGTTAAAAGAAACTTAGCCAACATTTCATGATACTTCTTTATCAGCAAGGCAACTAAGACTATTTCAAAGCTATCATCAAAGAGGGTGGCGGACCAATTGAACTCCTCTTTTAGATCAAATATAATTTAAGTTGAAGGGCTTGTTACATTATATTATTACTAAAAAAACCTGGCACTATATAACTGCAAAATTTGGGGTGTATACTAGGTTGGCGTTTTTGGCCCACCCTGTAAATACGATTCAAAACTAAATAAATCTTTTTAAAAAGTGATATGGAAGGCATTCATTAACAAAAAATTAATCTGACTGTTGTGGTAATTGGTAATAGGCCTATAATGACATTTAAACTTATTTCCATTACTGAAATATTGTATATCAAAATTATGTCAAGTCAAGTAGCCTAGTGGCGGTCACAAACAACCATGTTGTTGCTTTTGGTATCCGCAGAGGGGAGGGCATCCGAGACAATTTACTCGTCACTGAATGTGAATTATGGGAGCTCACCTGCAGTGTCGGGTTTTGTTGCCTGGATGTGCATATATCCAGTCTCTGATATTACATACAATAGGGTGCCAAAGTAACCATTGGAAACCTTCCACAAATCCTTCTCATCCATGATCAAAGATGGAGCATACGACGCTATAATTTGTTTGAAGAATGCCTTTGGAGTCCGCAATGGGGAAACGTTAAACAAGTTCACATGTAATCCCAGAATTTTTCTGAAATAAAACGATTATGTTCTTTATATGCTTGGATAAAATCAAAAAATATAAACCGGCGTTTGTCTTATACATATGGAATTATGAATGAATTGTTAGGAACAGTGGGGAAGATGGCAATGTGGTTGGACTTTTTCTTAGATCTAGACAAACAGTCCTGCCATCTTTCTATTGGCCCAATACTTCTGATAAAAGTCTTGTTTTGAACAGTCATTTACCATTTCCGGGATTATTGAACAAAATACATACTGCGGTTGCATTTCAGATATCACTCTTGCTATTAAAGATCCCCAGTCCCCTCCTTGCACATAAAACTGGTCAATACCAAGTCGGTCCATCAATCGAACAAACAGACGACTAGCAGCAATTTGATCCAATCCTGAAGAAGATAAAATAATACAGGGACATGTGTATCCCTTTCGTTTGCACATTTTGGAAATTAAGGCTTACATGGTTAAAGAATGTTGTAAAAATATTCCAATCACCTTTCCTATGTGAAGCCTCCGACCACCCGTATCCAGGTATAGATGGCGCAACTATTTCAAATACATCACCCTGGGTGCTGTCCGTCAGTATGGATATCATGTTATAGAACTCGTAGACACTTCCCGGCCAGCCATGCAGTAGCAATAAAGGTTTCGATGTTTGGCCTAAAAATGATTGACATTGGACTGCGGCCTCATACAATGATTTTTAACTATCTAATTAGCCTAGTAAAGTGATAGCAAAGAAATAGATGTAAAATGTTGGAAACAAGAATTGCCAAATAACCTAATACGAATTTAAGCATCGTTATGAAATTTACAATTGGAACAGTTGGGACATTTCAGAAAACCGATAGTAAACGTGTACAGAGAAAGTAGCAAAGGTGTGCATTAGCTACCTGGTTTCAATTTTGGCTTGATATGAAGAAAATGAACCATAATTCCACCTATCTGCGTCTTGAAATGTGGATACTTGTTCAGTCTAGCTTCATACATTGCCCACTTTGGGAGGTACTCTGTCGACCAATATTGCACAACTTTGCGCATATAACTCATTCGAAATCCAAATTGGAACTGGACATCTTCTAACTCTGTGAAGTATCTGTAACACAATTTATACAGTAAGTTATTATTATGGCCTAGAAAATGGGACATTGCACTCGGCACTTAAATGTTGTTCATACATTTAAGTACGGTTTCTAAATTGCAAGATTGACTTACACGTGAGACGCCCAAGAAAAATGTGAAAATGTCGCCTTTTGTGGTTGTTTTGGGGCACAATACTCAGAAACAGAAACCAAATACTCCTAAACCACGCCCAGTGATCGGAAAAAGGGACGGAGGGGGGGGGGCGAGGGTGCGGCAATTTCTGCTAGAAAAAATTCAAGAAATCTGGAAGATTCTTCTAGGAATTTTTTGAACGATACACTTCTAAGATATGAGATCTATTAAAAAGGCCTCTGGATCATTGCTTGTAGAATATAATAACATTGATCTGACTTGGGCCGTTTCAGAACTCCGTCATTTGATAATTTTTATTTACAGTTTCAGATTTAGAGCTAACCAAAATTTTCAAAAAGGCCTATCCTATTTAAGAAGACCTATTCTTATATCTAAGACAGGGCATTGGGCTTGCTTTTTACTTTTGGTTGACTCTTAGTTACCTTGTTGAATTCAGTCGTCTCCCTAAATCCTTGATAACACTTTCAGGTACTTGAACTTGGAAAGGTAGGATCGCCTTGTCATCTGGTTTTGGATGTGGCCCCTTACCCCACCACTCATCTTTCATTTCGGGGACATCTCCCTGAGTTGCCTCATGATGTGCAACAAACAGTCCAATCAGAACAGGGAGAAGAACAACAAGTGCCAAGGCAAGCTTTGTGGATAACATTGTGATTCTATGATATAAAAAAATCAAAAAGGCGATTAAATGCTTGCCCGTAGCCAGCTTTTACCAGGAGGGGGAGCTTTTTTCCAGGGGGGGGGGGCTTTTTCGGAGCTTCCGCTCCCCCAGCCCCCCCCCCCCCCCCCCCCCTCTGGCTACGGGCCTGAAATGTGTGATCCAACATCTGATCTTCTTACATTGGCCATGATTACACACGCCGTCAAGTTTTTGGGACATTAATTCGTGATAGAGGTCTATGTTTTGATCCCGTGGTTTTGATAGACAGTTTGCACGGCCATCAGTATCCAGCCAAGCCCAAATCATGATCTACAGGGTGGGTCAAAAAACGCCACCTTTTTTCAAAGTGCTATAACTTTTTTAATTTTTGGTACAAAATCATAATTTGCATACCAAATGAAACTTGAAATTGTTATCTAGCTATGGATTATGAATTGTACACTTTTACTTGAATAAAATATGTCACCAGCGTATGACTTAAACATGTGGTGTGCCATGAGAAATCATAGCATACTAATAATTTGCGAAATTAATAGCCCTACCCAGTGAGTATAGCCGGGTATGAGAAGGGCCAAGGAGATTGTATGAAGGCACCCACAATCTAAAAAAATAAGTTACTCAACTAAAGCTGGCAATTAAGATATGTTGAAAATGTCTTAGCTAACATTCCATTGATACTGCTATATCAGCAAGGTGACAAAAACTAAAATCTATCATCAAATAGAGTGGCAGGCCAATTTAACTCCTCTTTTAGATCAATTATTATCCAAGTTGAACGACTTGTTACATTATATTATTATTAAGACCTGGTACTATATAACTGCAAATTTTGGGGTATGTAGGTTGGAAAATAAAAAGTCATAGTGTCTTGAAAAAAGCGGCGTTTTTTGGCCCACCCTGTATACTTTCTTAGAGAGAAAATTGTACAGAGGGTAAGTGGAATGAGCTATCGTACATGTATGTGTATATGAAAATATCAACATGCAGAACTACACTGTACCTTTCTTAATATCCAGTGTTCCCGGGCTAGTGTCGAAGAACCAAAATCATATACCATTTCAGGGGCGGATCTGGAAACCAACGAGGGGGGGGCCCAAATTTCATGTCAGTGGGAAAAACGTCCTCGCTTCGGGGAAAAAAATGTTGGGCCCCTAAAACCCAAAAGTGTGCCCAAATTTTGAAATTTTGAGGCCCATTTTCTTCCAAATTTGGCCTGAAATAAAAAATAAGGCCTTAAAAGGCCCAGTAATGACCAAAAAGCCCCACTTTTTGGAGCCTGAAGGCCAGTGCATTTACAGTCTTAGCCTCAGTACATTGCTATACATCAGTGTTGGGGACCCTGGTGCAGTGTTCCAAACATTAACATACCTTCTAGTCTAGATACAAGTCTCTGTGACCATCCCCTCTACTTGACTACAACTTTCTCTTCTGTAGGCCGACTGGGGGAGGGCGGTCACAAGGCCTTGCAGGTAGACTATATACCTTCTAAGTTCCAAGTTTCAGTCGTCCGAAATCTCACAGGCGTGCTAGCTGGTGATTTACAACCTTAATTTCCGATCCTTCATACCGCTCTTGTAGTTAGATTTTTATACAGCTCTAGTTTATGTATTGCCTATTTGTTCAACGTGGTTAAATATTTAGGACATTGTACTTTGGTTCTTACTGTACACGATGATTCACACTGCCCTCTATACGATTGGAAACCCTCCAACACTAATCGGATTTTACTCATACTCTAAACACTAATTAAGTTGAAATAAAGATGGCAGAATTAGTCATTCTATAAAGTAACATCGATCTTATACAATTGCGCGTACAAAAAAGCTCGAGGTACATATCTTTACGTTTATCACCATGGGCTAGTTGAAAGTCAAATGGATTATGATGTTCACAGGCCCAGGAAGATTTAAATCCCCCCCCGTCACTGTATAGCTAATAAAAAATATTCTACCTAATACATAGTGAGTGGGAGGGGATGAACTCTTGTTCCCGTGTCTGTGATGATGTTGCTTACAAAGTGGAAACAAACTTTTATTTAGCGTGTGTAAACAAATGTAGCACTAACCCAATGTGTCCATAGCAGGATGAAACTACAGTAACATTTTAGATTTTTGGAACTACTTTGAATTTAAAAAATAAGTAATCAAATGACTTTATTGCAACATGATATGAAAAGTGGAAACATATGTACAAGTCCTAACTTTTGTATATTTCAGATAGTTATGTATAAATGCAGCAAAGGTGTGACCTTTTGTAATTAGGGAGTTTCAGCCATGTTTAAGAGTCGTAGAGTCTAGTAATAAAACGGAGTGGAACGAATGCAAAGGGTAGCCTACTATTAAGCATAAGCATTGAAAGACAATGTTGGCAAGGATAATGTGGAACCCCTGTTTGACGAAGAATGTGGAACCAGTGTTCCACAATGCATTAGTAATGAGCCTACCTACCCTTTTTAATACTTTGACATCACTTCTTTAAGAGAGCTTCATCTCTGCTAGAAAGGTTACCTGTGGTAAGGTTACCAGTATAGTTTAGATTGTAGTTCCAATAATATTTACAAGAAGTCTTCAGGAAGAAAATGTGTTTTACATCCTAATTTTAAATTATAAAATGATAAGATCTAGATCCACTGGTGACAATGTACAGTAAAACCTGACTTAGTGAACAGGTTTTTCTAGTGAACACCTGTGTCTAGTGAATACCTCTTCTCAGCACATACTCCACTAAGTTAAAATTGCCTCTGAAGTGAACACCTATCTGTAGTGAACACATTTTTGTGATGTCATAGGTGTTCACTATACACAGGTTTTACTGTATTTCTTACTGATTCAAGGCAGATAGATATTCTATACAAGTTACAGATAATGTCCGTTTATGTACTTATGTATGTCAGTGCATGGAGTTGTGTGTTAATGGGTAATGAGTTGAAGCAAGACAATTTTTCTGAGTACTTTCAACTATATCAATAAGGCCAGGGATCTGGGGAATGAGGAAAATAATATTATCTGTTCAAAAGCAATTCCTCTTGGCTTGACTTAATCAATATAATTCAGATGCTCCAATCTGAGTAGGAGTAAATGAAGTCTCAAGATTTAAGATTGAATAAGGGATCATGTGATGTGATTTAGCCTACCCTCTTATGTCTCACCTAACAAAGAAATGTTGACTGGCCCTTCTCTTAAATTTCTCAGAGAGCAATGTTCTTAACAAATAAAATCAATTACTCCTGTCCCCTCCCACTAACAAAGTTGTTCTTCCACAATATATTTGGATAGAATAGACATTTGGAAACAATGATCTGTAATTCTAGCAATTCAGCACAACATACAATAATAAACAACATACAATGAACTATTGTATTGTCAATATTATATTAATTTATTACATCTTGTTTTACATGCACTAGAAGATTGTATCACTATGATTCATGATTGAGGAATTGGTCCAAATCCCACAGAGATGTATAAAAATTCAGAATGAGACTCTCAAAGAGAGAATGTCCATGTGATATTATGAAGTCCATAGTGATTCACGTCACCACTTTGTAGTAAGATGATCCAAATGTTGTATTGATGAAGGTAAAGATGACATGATGACCTGGTGATTGTTTACCTGAAAACAACAATGGGTAAGGCGTACAGTAATTGATTATAAGTAACAACAACAACAACAACAACAACAACAACAACAACAACAACAACAACAGGGGTTTCATTAGAATTTCTCACAACAGGCTAAATAAATGAAAACAACAGGCAAAAATTCATAAATTGAACATGGAAAAGTTGAAAAGTCACTAAAAACTGTTGCCTGCTGCTAATGAAACCCCTGCAACAATATTGTTTTTTTCACAATAACATAAATTGACAGTGCATTGTTTCAAGGTAATCTAATTTGCTACTTTTCTTTAATCACTTCTTTAACCCCAATCATTCACTCATCCAACCCTGACAAAACTTTATTAAAAAAAATCTGGAGGTCAGAAAATCCAGAATTTATCTTTACAAGGAAACATTAAACATAGAAGTTCATAACTTTAGCCTAATGGGCCAAACATGACCTACCATTTATGTACAATGTTTGGCAATAGACAGCTTCATGAGGCTACTCTGTCTTGCTCTTTGGGTTGTTCACAGATACATAATGGTAAAGTACTACCAAGAGAAAAAGTGACACGCCTAGAACATTGGCAAATATTGCGAGCTGCACATCAGAGATCATCTGAAAGTAAACAAAAATAATCTCTCTATAAAAATCTATGAAATGGTTAAGGTCAGCCTGTACTTTCAACTTTGTGCCATTTTCTGTGCTAACTCACTCCATACATGGTCTACATCTTTCATTATTTAGAATATTCAATAGTCAACTTTTCAAAATTGCAAGAAAATTCCAAAGTGCAGTCTGACCTTAACAGAAAAAGAACATCCAGGCAAGCATTTTCCACAATTTTTTTGCTCTATTTTGATGGCCGTTTTAATTTGGTGGATTTGGCGGATTTATCACAACCACCAAATTAAGTCTCTGTCAATTTTTTTGAATAAATTCCCAGAGATCCTCAAGACGAAGAATTTCCGTTCAATTACTCATCCTTGTGTGACCTTGCAGGATAAAAGAATTTGAAAAATTAAATAGCAGCAAAGTTTCAAAATTTGCCCAATCCGCCAGTGATGTGTACAACCGAGTGTATCAAGAAAACATTGAAAAAATATCCAAATAACAACAAAGAACAGCATAAAGCGGTTGGTTTTTTATATGATGAGATGTCTTTTAAGTTTGAAGGAAAATGGTGAATAATGAGACTCACAGTCCTTTATTTTCAAATATCTGGTAAGTCTGAAATTCAAATCGATGGTCGTAATTGGCACCGCGTCAGGTATCTGCCATCGCATATTATCGATCCAAAATTCGAGGTGCATAAATATCATCCCATGCCAGGACTTTAGTCCTGAGAACGTCAATACAAATCTTTTGCCTGTACGATTACAACATGGGAGAATTTTCTACGTCAAATTCCTCCATTTATAGGTACCTGCAGGCCACTTCTGGGCCAGTCTAATGGGGAATCTCCTTTCAAATCCAACCGCCATCATAAAAAGTGATGGAATCTCTCTCAATGAAAAAGAAAAATGTTCATGTTCTGAGGATAAACCCAGATAATTGTGGATTCAACTATAGTGCTGATTCAAAATAATTGATAAGTCGTATAATTTTCATATTTTCTTGAATTATAACATTTAATGTCCCAAACTCCCACAAACTGCAGAAAAGTATACACTGTAAATCATATTTACCAAAATGAGTGTCTCATGCATTTGTCACGAGTTTGAGCTAAAATTTCGCTAAAATGAAGTAGGCTAAGGGTAGTCTCTGAGAGGTTTGTTTATTGTGGTTAGCTTGTTAGTGTTCAGAAGCAAATAATTCATGTGCGCAAAATAATCAAATAATCTGATTGGTTTAAACTTTGCTGCACATGCGCACAATGTGTGCCATGGCTTTTTCTAATGATTTCGTTTCGTTTAATGGAGCTTGCGTTTCAGCGTAACTTCCACCAACATGGGGGACCAAGTACAGAATTAACAGGTAAAATCACTTTGAATTTTCAAGACAACTTTTCACGTATAATAGCAAAACTTTTGTTTTATTTGGGGTATGTAGACAAATTCATTTTGGTAGGAGCTCTCTGTTTAGTTTGAAAATGCACCCTTAATTATTATATATCAGCACTGTACACGAATGCTAAAATACCACGGAATCTATTGAAGTAGGTATCTTAAGTGTAAGAGGTGTAGAAAATTCTCCCATGTTGTAATCGTACAGGCAAAAGATCGTGATGTTCTCAGCACTATAGTCCTGGCACGGGATAACATAAAAACATAGGACGGAAATTAAATCAGGCACCAAGAAAATTCAGATCAATAAATCGGATCGGGTTTAACTTGTTGAAGTAGGGGCACATGAGTATGACTAGGGTGGGGGGGGGGGCTCTTTTTATTTTTTTACCCAAATTTTGAGCCAAATAATTTCAACAGAAAGATGTATGTATCAGATGCTAAATACACTCAATACTAGTCAAACATGTGACAATGAAAATTATCTCCTCGTATGATTTACACAAACAATGATTACTCACCTTAGTATTGAGTAATATGTGTAAACAACGCACCGACTTTGAATATTTTTCAACGTGTCACAAAAACAAATGAAGAGGAAGTTACGTGTAATCTCACGAGAAGTGACGAGATTTTGATTTGTTTTGATTTCATCGCTGACGTGTAGTTGTTTAAAATTAGATTTTGACACATTTATGATGCAAGAATCTCTGTAAAACTTGATGAGTAGTATGAAAAGATACACTTGACACTCAAGAATTGACGGTGGTAGTTAGGAACGAGAGGATTCTTCACATTTTAGCATTATCTTATATTATCGCCCACTAGGCCTACTAATAGATGGAAATAAAATCGAATAAAATAAAACTAAAGTTGTCAGACTAAGACTCAGAGCTAACACAATAATATAAGGCAGATTTCAAAGTTGATACCGTATAGAATTGAACATGGAAGAAATATATCTGTTTGGAATACTTATATTTCTCATTTGGTTTTTCTTTATACGAGGAAGTAAGAAGAACAAGCCAGCTTCACCAAATGCCAGTCAAAGTGGTGGAACATTTAGTGGCTTTTTTCAGAGCTGTTCAAACTCAAAGCCGAATAGTGTTATGAAGTTGTATGGTGCAACACATATCAACGCAATTGCTGATAAATTCACAAGTATTGACGATGTGACTAAAGCTATAAGAAAAGCTGGTTTAGAATCAAGCAATCTTATATTTGGTAAGTCCATGAGCTTTCAATTATTATGAGTGGCATGCCACAGGTATACTGTGTCTTTTTAGAAGTAAAACTCTTTGTTTAACCATATCAGTGCTTTCAGTAGGCTTGTCCAAAAGTGCGTCCCTGGGACGGATTGATTTTCCAAAATTGCGTCCCCCCTCAAAAAAGTGCGTCCGCATGAAAAAAGGTTCCCGGGAATTCAATGTCACATTTTTGCACTGAACGAAAAAAAATTGTTGAAACGTTTGCATCAGTTTTGTTATTTTTTGGCCCAGATCAGTGTTCTGCACACGTCTAGTAGGTCATTAAATAATGCAGATACCTTCATTTGAAAGAGGTTACTAATATTCAACCATTAAATACCGTTTTTCTTCGCGTATTTCAAAGCAATTTGCTATTGATTTTGATCGCTCAGAAAGTTTGATTAGGAGCAATCTCCGTGAGGTTCAATTCTTTGGTTCAGTTTTTTGCGCATGCGCAACAAATCCAGCAATTTGATTAGTCAAAATTATCAAGACGCATGCGCGATTAATAATCACGGCCAATCATAGGATTCGTACCGATTACCGCTCGGAAATCAACTACTAGTGATTGTCCTATCACATACCTCATACTATATTGATCGGAAATCAACTTCCGGGAAAGAAAGTCCAAAAGATGATTTTATTTCTTTTAGAAATAGAATATCCTTCGTTTATTTAGCGGATTTTGACCAAATAAAAGACTGAAGGTAAGATCTTTATCAATCCATTCATCCAGAGATGATTTTTTGATATGACCTGCACTGCGTCCAAGTGACCCCTCATTTTCATTGTTTGGGGTCCCTATAATAAAAACCGGGTCCTCTCCATTATGGGACGGCGTTAATGAAAGCACAGCATATCTATATTGATGCAGTATTATGTTAGTATCTGTTACCTAACATTAGATGAGCATGCTCTATTGTCTGTATAAGTCTTTGCTCTATCTAATAGTATTTCAGTGAAGTAGTAACATTGACAGTAGTTATTCTTCTAACTTTTCATTATATTTGAGAACTATACAGCAAGTAAAGCTACATGTATTGCCAGTCATTGCTTGTCCAGTCAAAGGACTTTTTGTGGTTCAGTCAAATACTGTAAATAATATAAAATATTCACAAAACATGTACGTGTACTGAACAATAAGACAAACACTCAAACTGGATATTAGTTAATAAAAACACAACAAGCAAAAATATGAATAAGAACATCACAATCATAATTATTGCAGGTATTGACTATACCATGAGTAATGAATGGCAGGGGAAAACAACATTCCAGGGCAAGAATCTACATGATATGTCTAGTGGAGGTGCTAGCCCAAATCCTTATCAGCAAGTATGTTGTACAGAATGATACTTCATAAGGGGTTCTCTCAAACATTTCACACTAAATTCTACACATAATATCTTGTTAATTGTGCCCCATCCAGCTTTGCAAATATTACACCTTTCTCGTGCATATCTACAAAATGAAAGTGATTAAATCTGTAAATTGTAGAATTCAGTGAAAAATGTAGGAGATCACACCTAAAATGTCAACAGCCTGTTAATATGTTTATTCCTCTCTACAGGAATTGATTACACAGCCAGTAATGTCTATCAGGGGGAAAGAACATTTGGCGGAGAAAATTTACATACATTGAGTCCTGATAGATTGAACCAATATCAGCAAGTAATTCATATTTCATATTGTTTACTTAGTACTTACTTTATTATTCATTTAGTATTATTAGAAAATCAGCAATCAGTCAAACATATTTATTCTCAAGCCAGTTTATTCCTAATAAACAAGTTTATTCTCAAGCCATATGATGTTCAGAGAAAGGATGAATTCTTTATGTTTTATTTCACCCCCTTTTGCTACCTAAGTAAGAATTTTACAGAGTAATGTTTTTTATTAGTATCAGTTTTGTGGCCAGCTACACAATACATGTCATAGGTTTTAGGTGGATATAAAGATGGCAGCAGAGGTAGAATCCTATTAACTTTTCTGAATAAACACAGATCGATTGGCCTACCCTTTTTGGCTCACACAGTGAACCTATGGGATCAACCAGGCATCCGTCCATTGGGTCGTCCGTCCGTTGGACCGTCCGTCTGTCCGTCAACATTGGCCGCACAAATTAAAACTGCTATTCGGATTGAGTCATATCCACATTCATTTTATGCATATCCATAATGCCTATTTGACCTATCATATTTGACCTGATTTTGACGTCAAAAAGTCAAATTTTCTGTTAATACTAGACACTTTGTTGAAGTAGAACTTTCAAATAACTTGTAGTAGTTGCTGTATATGCAACTTATGTCCTCTGAAGATTTCAAAGCTCTTGGAATTACAGTTTTTGGTGTTTACTCTATAAACTTTGACAAAAAGTAGGACGTGTCATTTTCAGGAAACTTTCTCATTTATAAAGTCAATGGCAGGTTTTCTGATTGACAAGTTTCTCAAAGTTTGCCTTATACTTGATCTTCTTGCAATGAATTACATCATTATTAGATTCAAGCATTCCCTATTCGACGTAAAAAACAGTAAAAATAAGTTAATTTTTCAACTTGTTTTAATTTGACCAAATATTTTTTTGAAAATCATCTACAAGTTGCCAGGAGTTCAAATCTGACATTAGCTTTAGGATTTGACCTTTACTTGACCTTCAGTGACCTTCGAAAGGTCAAAAAAGTTGATTTTTCTAATTGATATTTGGATGTAAATTTTGGTCACCTTAATCACAAAATACCTTACTAAGCTCTGAATAAGTAAAATTTTCAAGGTCAAAGGTCATCAAACTAGGTCACACAACTGTGCTATCTAAGTTTCTCAAAGTTCGAGACTACAAATCCAAATCAATATTTTTGTTTGAAAGTCAGGATAAACATTCCTCTGAAGGTTTCAAACTGTGTGAGCACAGGACCGTGGGTCCTATTTTTATTAAAAGATATTCGTATCACCCTTTAGCCTGTGATGCATGTAGTCACTTGCTAAAATGTAAATTCAGTAAAACATGGAAAAAAATAGTTGGGCATGGCACCATTTTTATGTTACTTGGCACCATTTGTAATATAATAGCATTTCAACTTATTTAACACACTTGTATTACTATCTTCCTATTTTCAGGTGATTTCAATTATTGGGGAAACCCTCAGCCCTTTTGACGATGATGGAATTATACCAACTTTTGGATTTGGTGATATTTCAACCAAAGATAAGGCAGTGTTTCCTTTCAGACAAGAAGTAAGTGAATGTTTTATATTTATATGTGATTGTCTATTTTATCCTTCTGTTTGTTGGAGCTAGTAATGCCTCTGTGACATTTGCACCAATCTCGATTTGAGAAGTAAGAAATGGCCAGTGTCCGGACATGCTGGGTGCCAGGTACTTTTCTCTACAAGTATGTCTGCAATTTGCGTTGGGTATGGTCCCATTAGATAGGTAAACCATACAGCTTTCATAACAATTTGCCTGTAATTCAACTATGCCATCTTGTTCAATGAATCATATTTTAACTTGTTTCCAAGGTGACTTGAAATTGATTCACATTTAAATAATCAATTTGGGGGTTTAGCCTTCACTCAGTGTATGTGAAGATACATCATTTTTCATCGTTTATTTATGCATGACCCAATGTGACCTGGCCAGATGCACATGTTTGAACATTTTGCAACTCTGTCAACAATGCTTATTCCATACAGTGTAATATTATGGTGTTACTAAGTTAAGGTGGATCTAGTTCAATGGTTTTTGCAGATCAATGGTTCAGATACTGGAAGCTTATTATATGCAAATTGTTGAACTCATTCTGATTGCCCTACCTTATTTATGTATTTCTTATATTTCCAGGGCTATTGCAATGGATTCCATGATGTGCTAGCATCTTATAATCAGTTGACTCCTTCAGTTAAGCTCAGTGGTCCAACTAACTTTGCACCACTCATCCACCAGGCAATCCAAATTGTGCAACAAACAAAATCAGTAAGTAATCATCAATAACTAAAAGTAGGCCTTGAGCCATACGGAATCGATGGAATGGTCCCATATCCTGGAGGCCTCCCTGGTTTTTAAAATTCAATAAATGTGACTTGTATATATAAACCTTTTAAAGAGATCACAAAAATGATATTAAAGTAAAATTTTGATTAAAAGCATGAAAGTGGAATATGATTTGTTTGAAAATGTTAAAATCTCAATCCTTGTTGAAACATAACTAATTTGCTAGATTTTTTTGTCATAAGATAATTGTAACATGTCATAAATTTTATGTAATATCACTATCAGTGTCTTTTAGCATGATGATGTTCTGATATATTTTTGTGCAAACTCCTACCAAAACTATTTAAAATATTTCACTTCCATTTACATTTCAGTACCACATTCTGATTATCGTAGCTGATGGACAAGTAACGAGTGAGAAACAGACAATAAATGCAATAGTTGAAGCATCAAAATGGCCGCTTTCGATAATTATGGTTGGAGTCGGTGATGGACCATGGGACATGATGCGTGAATTTGACGACAAACTACCAACTAGAAAATTTGACAATTTTCAGTTCGTTGATGCAAATGGTGTATTTCAGAACTATAGGAATAAAGAACCAGCATTTGCTCTCCATGCACTCATGGAAATTCCAGATCAATTTAAAGAAATAAAAAAACTGGGATTGTTGGATTTGTAATTTTATAAACGCATTATTTTTGTATATTGTACTGTATATGGAAGATTTTGTAGATTTTGTCAGTGAAATAAATGATATTTTGTATTATTTACTATTCCTATTTTGTAAAGGAGGTAAATATATATTCTTTGTATGTCTCTTTATATATATGTACAGAACTTATATAAACTAGAATTCTTAACCACTTCATTCATACATGAAAATATTTTCATGTATGTCTCTGATACATCTGAACCTATTTTATAGCATACCATCAGTACTATATACTAGAGGTGTCAAGTATTAACCGGTTAACCGGTTAACCGCCGATAATGCCTTGACCGGTCTGTGTTTTTATGGGTGGTTAGTTGACCGTGTATAATTCTGTTATTTCCCGCGCTTATTTTGCATGCTAATCCGTTTGGTTTTATGGTGTCAGTTTCACGTAAGCTACTCATACATGTCATAAGTCCCATAACTCCTTACAAACATCCAATCAGCAACTTTAATCCCTGCCACATTGCTTTCACGCGCTTACTTTGCATTTTAATCTGTTTGTTTTTCAAGCGTCAGTTTCATGTGAGCTACTCATACATGTGATAGGTCCGATAATTCCTTACAAACATCCAATCAGCAACTTTAATCCCTGCCACATTGCTTTCCCGCGCTTACTTGCATAGAATAGAGTAAAGCTTGACGAACGTAAAAAATAAACGCCGATATATCATTTTCCAATTTTTTTCAACTTTCAAGATCGAAAATGAAGATTTCATTTGAAATTATCAGTTCAAATTTCCCGCCGGTTAACCGACTTTAACCGGTAAAAACCCCCGGTTAACCGGTTAATGCTCAAGCGGTTAATTGACACCACTACTATATACACATACTGGTATATCTGAATATATAAACTACAGTTTATTCACTTTTTGTGGGTCCCATTGTGTAAGCCTTCTAATGATATTATCCTGTAATTTTTATAGGTATCATAAAACTGGGTGTGAGATTTCAAGACAACAGTGTACATTCTGTTTCAAAAATGGCAATAGCACATTTTACAGTTCAAACATGGACTTTAATTAGTAGTTTGAAGTAGTAATAGACTCTATGAATCATTGGAGTCTACCTGGAGTGACAAGATTTCTTGTCACCTCAGAAGTTATCTTGAAACCCAGAGTGACGAGAAAATCTGTCGCCATTAAAATAGCTTGTTTAAACAATTTTCATTCAATATACACAAAAATTGTTTTAAAATGTGTAGAAATAATCTCTGCTATATAATTTTACTATGTTGAGCATCTTAAGTTGTAAGGTAATAGGTATGTAGCAAGATGTCAAAAGGTGGCAAAAATCTAAAATTCTCTGGTTTCAACTGCTTTTAGAGCCTGTGATTCAAGAGTAATAGGAAATGTCACCTGTACTGAAAATACACAAGTTATATATTAATTTTGTACATAAGAAATCTCCAACTGTGATAAGCTTAAATGTAGTGTTGTATATACCTAAGCATGAGCGTTAGAAAGTCCAGAGTATTTGTGTTTACTGAATAATATATGAAATAAATATAAAAATTGCATTTATGCACCACCACTCACTGATTTGTGTTTACTTTTGATAAGTTCCATTTTTGCTCCAACTTTTTTCTAGATTTCACTCAGAAGAATAAGCTCATATCTAGGGTAAGGAAAAAGGCTAGCAAGCCTATGGCTTCTCCGAAAATCTATTTCCCCCTGTTTATTATAGATATAGGGATTGCAAGTAAGATAGGGAAGATTGAGACATATAAAAGTTTGAAGTCTATGAACAGGCCAACAGGGCATAGATTCTTTTTATCATATTTGAGGAGGGTAATTCAACCAATTTCATTATTTTTGAGGTAGGAAAGGTAGAAAAATAAGGCTGACAAAATCATTGGGAAGTTCTATTTCTACTTCAGAGCAACATAAAAACATGAAAAAGAAGCATATGCCATGGGTGTAGCCAGAGGGTAAGATGGGTGCGATAGCACCCCCCCCCCCTCTCCACCCACACAAAAAGCAGTTTTGTAAAATTTGTTGAAAAACATGAACAAGTTATAGTTTGAATTGCTTAGAATGCACCATATACAAAGGAAATTAAAAAAATTTCTGGGGGTTCCCCCTTTTTTGAGCTCGCATTTATGCAAACCTAAAAAATCGCCCCCCCCCCTTGACAATTACTGGCTACGCTCCTGTATACATAGAATTGAGACAAGGCTACATTGTGATTGGATGATCCAATTTGAAGGGTGGACTTTGAGGATCTCAATGAAGGATTCTTATTTGCGGAATCTCTAATTGAGGAAGCCTACATGTAAACATCAGTCTTGGGGTCTTGGTAACTTATAGGTGCATTCATGCTCGCTCTGGGTCTCTGAGGATCGTATTGGCCCCAAATGCAAGTCCATATGACAATCCAACACATTAGAGGCAGTGTTCACCATCTAGGTAACTTACAACATCTCTTTTACAGTGTGCTGAAAGAGAAAGGTCACATAAAATCACCTCTAAAGGATAGCAACAACAATATAACAATAACTATGAGGGAAGCTATTCCAACTTTCAGGCATCTGAATTTGAAAACTTAGTTTAAACTTTCGAATTTCGCGCAAAATTAATTAGGTCAAAGTAAATTGAACAATCAAAACTCTTTTTGCTGCGTAATCCGGTAGCAGTGAAGAAAAACTTCATTCTTTAATTTTTGTCCTTGTTTCCACAATTAATGGTGTAATTGAGCAGTTGCTGGATATAAACGTAGTAAAATAAGTAAGTTAATGTGTAATTCTATATGATTTACGTATAGTATACGACGAGTGTATGTGCTTATAATTGAAAATTGACAAGTTTAAAAAAATTATTTCTGAGACTGAAAGAGTGAATCTTCAATCTTCACCAATTCATCTCGCAATACATGTAACTTTACAATCAGAAGCATGATTGTCTTAATTCGTCTGTTCAAATGAAAATAAGGAAATGATATGTTATTCACCACATATCTAGTTACCAGTATGTTATACAGGCCTGTCAACTTGGGAACACCTAACATGAGTGACTTGGAAATGTTGAACACCTCCCCTCAAAATGTGGACACCTTGGTCCAAATCTGGACACCTTGATCCAAATTTTGAACACCTTGGTTTAAATTTTATTACATCTTGGGGGGGGGGGAGGGGGGGGTACGAAAAATTTCGAACGGAATGCGTGACATATACGTAATTCGCGTGAAAAGTCCGAACAAAATGCGTACATTTTTTTCCGGCGTTCGTATTTTTGCTGTGTAGACGATCTTTTTTAGAAATTTTTCTACAGAAATATTTTTGCTTGACAATTACCAGGTAAAATGCGTATTTGCGTGACATTTTCTGTCACGCAAAAATAACTGGCGTGACTTCAAATTCTTCAGCAAATGCGTGACAAATACGCAAATTGCGGGACAGTTGACAGGCCTGGTTATATGGAAGACATACCATTGGTCCAAATCCCAATGGTCTGAATCCTACTACTTTTTTCAAGGCCTGACTGCGTCGCTAACATGCTAAATATAAGAGTTAGCTGACGTTTGGGAGTCTGACTTACCTTCTTAAGGTTAGAACCCGAATCTTAATGAAACCATATCACCTTTGTTCCGTCAACCATGGAGCATTTGCCACAACATCCAAGAAGTAAATCATGGATCGAGAAAATGAATGATTTCCTTGTAAGTTCCGGAAGTTTCAATACGAAAAATTACCGAACATATGTGAAAACCGAATATTTGTTCGTTGTTTTCACGATTTACAGGTTCGTTTGTTCTTCAATGTTTTGGTCTAAATTATAAAGCATCACCAACAGGTCTTACTCTATTAATCGACTAATACAGCAGACGGCTCATATTTCTACGTAGCATTTCATTCAGACCAATAGTGGGAGTGTAGATTACGCAGTTTCGTTCGTTGCGTACTTCACTTGAAATTGGTAATTTTAAATATTGACTACTTCACTTAGCTTGGCGGATGTAGAACATTGCTTAATATTCTTTTAATTTTCACACCAGACTTGCTTGGTTGACACGTCAACAAAGTAAAGTTCAAGGGTCAATGCGTTATTTCGTGATAACTACAACGCCTTCCCGGAAGTCAACATTGATGAAAAATGAAAAAGTCGGAAAAGCATTTACGCTAATTTCTATCAAATGCTATGTTTATGCATCATCATCGACGCAACAAAGGTGATATGGTTTCATTAAGATTCGGGTTCTAACCTTTAGAAGGTAAGTCAGACTCCCAAACGTCAGCTAACTCTTATATTTAGCATGTTAGCGACGCAGTCAGGCCTTGAAAAAAGTAGTAATTGTCTGAATTCCATTCATCCAAATCCCAATACTCCAGATTCTAATGATCTAAAAATTAACAATTGAAGATACGATATTTTCTGAGGAACCATGGGGAAATATCACAACGTTACTTACAACATATCTAAAACTGGCATTCAATTCCATTGACCTAATCCATGGGAATGGTGTTTCTCTCTTTTAATGTGCAGATTGATACTCGTAGGGTTAAGGCAAACATGAAATTGGGCTTTGTACGTTGGATAATAATACTTGTATATCTAATTTTAACGTTCAAAATAATTGTTGAACATTCTTAAAGAATCAGTTTTACAAGCAAATGAGTCGATTTTCTGTTGAACCTAAATCAGAAATAAAGCCATGACATTTACTTAATGTATCATATTACCAAAGGCCACAGCTTTAATGCACATTATACCTATCTGAAATATACAAAAGTTTAGTCTTGTACATATGTTTCTATTTCTTCATAAACTGTTGCGTTGAATAGATCTTATTTTCTAGCTTCACTCAGTTTCTATCCTATACTAAGTCATGTTTATTATTCAGGTTGTGCTGATGCTAAAGTTACATGAAAAGCAACAATGAGATTGAAACGTTCAAGACGAAAGAGAGTGCCACCATACAAGACTGGCGAGTCTTCAGAATGGCTCATAGAATTGACCCCAGATATACCTACATCAGAACAAGCATTGGACTATACCTCTCATAAGAGTACCACTTTAAGATATCCTACTGAGGTAAAAGGGCTGGATTTGGACCCACTGGTGAAACTGACACCCTATGATTATAAAGTTAATGGCTTGACACCAGTGCAGATAGGACATCGTGATTTTGAACACATTGATTGTTCAAATGTTAAACAAGAGTAAGCTATTGTTAATTGCCTTTTGAGTGCTTTTAGTATTAATTGAAAAAATATATAATTTATTGTTTCAAAGTAAAAGCATTGTTGTTGGACTTGAAAGAATGTACAAAATTAATATGCACAACATAATTATTGCTATTTTCAATCCCTTTACTACTATTCTTTACTCTGTCTATGTATTTAATTATTAATATTATAGAACTGATGATTCAAACTTCACGACTGAGTATGCATATTACAATGATGGAGAGCATGAGAAAGAACAGCTGTATGAAGTCTCTGGTGAAGATGATACAACCAATCAAGTTGATGTAAATGATGATGTAATGGATGCTGATACAGAAACACCTGATGTCATAGAGATGTCAGAGACAGATGATGTGTATGAGGTTTCAGCAGAAAATACAGATTTTGAGTGGGCAGATATATTATATATTGAAAGACTAGACAGTGCCTTTTCTCCTCATTTCATTCCTAACCCAATGAAACCATTGCAAATATTTTCAGGTATAGTATCATACGTATGTATCTAAACCTTAACCTATTGTGAATTTCATATTCTCTATCCATACTGAATCATATTTTTATTATCCAATGATATTTGACATACAGGGACTTTTGAATTTTTTTTTAACAGAAAATGTTTTCGACTTCAAATGTAATATGGATTTTGTACATGAAAATATAGGGTATGTGTATATTTCACAAATGATCAAGAAGAGTCTCTTGATTGATTATAATGATATTGATGATTATGTTGGGTGATGAGGCATTAGATCAATTACCTTTTGTTTAAATGAAGAAATGCTAGGAAAATATTACAAAATTAAAACACAAGCTTTCTTTTTCAGGGTATGACTTCACACTAGATCTGCCAGTGTGTTGCAAATGTTCTTTCATCTTTTTCTGCAATGAACACATGTTAAAGCACAAAAAGGAACACTGTTCTATGTATCTCCATACATTAAGTCCTACTGCCAGTACAAAATGGAGTAAGGTGTTCAGCCCTGGAAATCTTGGTGGCCCATTCTCTCCAGATTTTATTCCTAATCCCGCACGGGTAGCAAGGAACACTTATATCTCAGGTAACTTCTAAAATGAATGTTTTGCTTTTGTCCCAATATCTCATGTATTAGCAAAAGGTATATTGCTTACAACTCTTTTGACTATCTTTCACACTTAGAAGTAATATGAGAATATATATTGTTATGATTGGTCTATAGTTTAACTAAGGTTGAATGCTCATTTTTGATATTCCCTGTTTAGAACAACTAAATTAGTATTTGTCCGCATCTTTGATTGTAATAGTTGAGGAATGTAAATGACCTCATAAGCAGTGTCAAAATTTGACATTGGTATTTATTTTCAATTATATATCATTGTGTATTCATTAAAATTATCAACAGTTAATTATCTAACATTGATCTTTTGCAGTTATCTTAAAATAACCAAGATTTCCTGATTGTTTTCTTAGCTCTCCAAACCACAGTGACTTTGCATGTATGCAGCAACTGTAAATGTGGATTCAAGTCAGACCGAGCCCTCGCAAGACATAAGAAGGGTGCCTGCAACCAAGACAAACACAACATATCACCTGGTTATAAGGTTCCAAAACATTTAATAATTCAGAGAAAGTATTTTAATCAACGTCAAACTGTGACACTTCATCAACGTGTTGCACCTCATCAACGTGTTGCACCTCATCAACCTGTTGCACCTCATCAATCCGTGACCCCTTCAAAACCTGTGACACTTGATCGGAAGAAAGCTGCAAGTACCGTTAAACCATATCAAACAAAGGAACCACATCATAAACATAGTATCAGTGACACAGACACCCAAAAAACAATAAACTTACTGAATGATTTTGTAAATAAACTTCGAAATGTGAAGAAAAATCAAAGAGAACAAGAAAACCTTATTGAAACAGCAAATTCAAAAGTGAATGTTAATTTTAACACTGCTGACAAAATTGTTGTTATTGATGATAAAAACATGGATAATGAAGTCATTGACAATGAAGCCATTAACAATGAAGTCATTGACAATGAAGCCATTGACAATGAAGCCATTGACAATGAAGTCATTAACAATGAAGCCATTGACAATGAAGCTATTGACAATGAAGTCATTAACAATGAAGTCATTGACAATGAAGTCATTGACAATGAAACCATTGACAATGAAGCCATTGACAATAAAGTTATTGACAATGAAGTCGTTGATGTCCAGCCTATGCAGGATAACACAGTGTCCACAGATGATTCAAGTGAACACAATTTAAGTGATGATGAGGAATATGTTCCTGAAATAGATGCCACTAATGAACAGGAAAATATTACGAACAATACAAATACTACACTTCCTGAATTTGATTATCGGCAACATTATAAAAATTATCAAAAACCCATGTTGCTAAATCCACCAGCAGAAGAGTATAAGTTGGAAAATTTTACGGGTCAGTATACAGAAACTGTCAATCATTTGGGTGAACAAACATTAGAATGTCTCAGATGCAATCGGGTCTTCAGGCAACTTATGTATGCATCTAAACCAGAGGACAAAAATGTAATTGCGTACCATTTGTATTTACACAATAAAGGAAAACTGACTTGTGCAATTTGTAACTTGGATACACAGTCATTGGATGATCTTATAGAGCATGAGAAAGAGAGCCATCCTGTTGAGCTGGTGTGTGAGTCGTGCCGAGGGACAAAAAGGAAATTCACACAAACACAGTTAGATTTACACAAGTAAGGCTTTACTTCAATATTTTCTCAAAACTAATTAATTATATATTCTCAAACTCAAAATGTGAAAATGTAAAATTAGACTAGGGAAAAACACTAGACTCTGGAAAAGCTATTAGACTCTGGAGCAAGAGGGTCTAAAAACAGTAGACTCCGGAGTCTAAAGGCCTAGTGAGAACCCTGTTAGGTGCAAAATTAAAAAGTATAGTATTGCTCTTGACATAATGATATCATTCTTATCAGTCTAAAATGCTTCAAATGCACCATATACAATTGTAAATTTTAAAAATTTTCTAGGGGTGAACCCCATACCCCCCTTTTTGGGGCTTGCTCGGCTCGCATTGTTGCAAACCCCAAAATTTGCTCCCCCTTGATATTTGCATAAGTTTGTGTGCATAAGGAAATAGAGAATTAAATAAAAAATGATATTTTAAGTGGGTAAAACGATTTGAAATGACTTATGGAATCACAGAATGTAAAGGCATTGAATAATCTTTCTTATTTCAGATGCAAACACATTGCAGGATATGTGTGCTCCATATGTGATATGTGCTGCGTAACGGAATCAGGGATGAAATTACATATATTAGCAAAACATAAACCCTCTGACACTGAGGAGCCAGATGAGAAAACGAAGAAGGACAGACCCGACCAAAATGTACGCAAGTGCGATGTATGTGGAGTTACATGTTCAAATAAGGAATATCTTGCGAAACACATGGATTTATGTAATTTGCCTGGTATTGAAAGCCTTATATGTAAACACTGTGGATATAAAGCTAAAGAAAAGAATCAGCTGTTACTACATATGCAGATGATTCACCTAAAACATACGTTCACTTGTTCAAAATGCCCAGCTACGTTCACTCTAAAATCCAGTAAGGAAAGACACTTCATTTCCAAGCACACAGGTATGTGATATTAGAACTATCATATCATGGCCTTCTCTTGGAGTAGAAACCCCTTGGTGCCATGTACATGGTACTATGTACATGGGTATAACCAGACATCATCATACCATGAGTGTTTTAGGCTCTGTGTTGAGTTGATCATACTGCGGGGTTCACTAATACATGTGGCCCAGGTGCCTTATCTGTGATATCACAAAGGAAACACATGGTATCATCAGGTCTGATTAATACCCATTAATGTATGTGTGTAAACAAATCCAATTTTGAAGTTGAATCGCTTACCCCCCTATCACACCAAACTCGTTCTTACCCGTTCTTGCCAGTCCTACGAAAACGTCGTAAAACGGGCTCAAACTGGCTGTGGTCGGGAAATATGTCTGAAATAATTAGCTTCTTTGTTCTTAAACCGTCTTCAATACGTCCATCTCGTTCGCAGTTCGTTCAGGTCGCACCACGTCGGTGTGCAACGCCGTAGAACGCGTCCCTTAGTCTAGAAGGTCATCATGACCTGATAACAGAACGGTATGGTCGCAATCGAATTTCGAATCGATTCAAAATTCTAAAATCACATTCCCGTCTGAGAACGTTCATAAAGTTCGTAAATAGACCTTAGAAAGTTGCAGCTACGTTCATTTCGTTCGCACACAGTTTAGAACCAGTTTTGAAGAACGCAGTTGCAACTTGTTTGGTGTGATAGCTCTATTTTTGCTAACTCGTTCATAAGCAGTGTTAAATACGTTCTTAATCAGTTTAAACCCGTTTGCAATGAGTTCTACCTCGTTCTCAACACGTCCTCAGACAGTTCCACTCGTTGTTAAAACGTCCCTAGTAGGATTGAAGTACGACGGTTCCGTTCGTAGTACGTCCAGCTCGTCGTTAGTACGTTGTCACTCGTTCTAATTGTAGAACGTGACGACCACGAAAACATTTTGAGCATTGTCTAAGTTCTAAAGGACCTACCCGTTGAGTACGTTCGATGAAGTTTGTAAATAGATCCCAAACGGTTCTTAGTACGTCCAGTCCGTTCGTACACAGTTGAAGCCCGTTTTCGAGAACGTAGTGAGAACTAGTTTGGTGTGATAGTAGGGTTAATAGTGTTCAGGTAGAGTAGGTCAATGAGCACATAATCCTTTAACCAACATATAGTAAAGCCTGTGTAAGGCTATTAAAGGTACGATATTGTCGTCAGCTTGACGGGCGGCAGGCTGGCGGCGGGCGGGCGGCGTCTCACTTTTCAGCTTGTCTACAGGTTTCCAGCCAAACCATTTGACAGATTCATCTGAAATTTTCAGGAATGTTTCTACGTATCAAAGTTAAGAACTGATTAGTTTTTGGGCATTCTGGGTAAATTTTAAGGTGGCCATTTTGGATTTTCCGTCCTAAAATCTTCACTTTCAAGACTTGTCTACAGGTTTCCAGCCAAACCATTTGACGGATTCATCTGAAATTTTCAGGAATATTTCTAGTATCAAAGTTAAGCACTGATTAGTTTTTGGGCATTCTGGGTAAATTTTAAGGTGGCCATTTTGGATTTTCCGTCCTAAAATCTCACTTTCAAGACTTGTCTACAGGTTTCCAGCCAAACCATTTGACGGATTCATCTGAAATTTTCAGGGATGTTTCTACATATCAAAGTTAAGAACTGATTAGTTTTTTGGAATTCTGGGTAAAATTTAAGGTGGCCATTTTGGATTTTCCGTCCTAAAATCTTCACTTTCAAGACTTGTCTACAGGTTTCCAGCCAAACCATTTGACGTATTCATTTGAAATTTACAGGGATGTTTCTACATATCAAATTTAACAACTGATTAGTTTTTGGGCATTCTGGGTAAATTTTAAGGTGGCCATTTTGGATTTTCCGTCCTAAAATCTTCACTTTCAAGACTTGTCTACAGGTTTCCAGCCAAACCATTTGACGGATTCATCTGAAATTTTCAGGGATGTTTCTATGTATCAAAGTTAAGAACTGATTAGTTTTTTGGCATTCTGGGTAAAATTTAAGGTGGCCATTTTGGATTTTCCGTCCTAAAATCTTTACTTTCAAGACTTGTCTACAGGTTTCCAGCCAAACCATTTGACGGATTCATTTGAAATTTACAGGGATGTTTCTACATATCAAAGTTAACAACTGATTAGTTTTTGGGCATTCTGGGTTAATTTTAAGGTGTCCATTTAATCCTAAAATTTTCACTTTCAAGACTTGTCTACAGGTTTCCAGCCAAACCATTTGATGGATTCATCTGAAACTTTCAGGGATGTTTCTACGTATCAAAGTTAAGAACTGATTAGTTTTTGGGCATTCTGGGTAAAATTTAAGGTGGCCATTTTGGATTTTCCGTCCTAAATTCTTCACTGTCACACTGCTGTGTTTTAGGTACGATATTGTTCACGTCTGTGCCTTGTTCTAAGAAGTACGGCACCACCACGGCAACAAGAGTTGAGTGAATCAAAAATCGAGCATTCAGGGGGGTCAGGGTCTGGGTTCTCCCCCAGGAAAATTTTGAAATTTGGCTCTATTTGGAGCGAATTTGCAACCATCTGGTACGCCTGTGCGTACCCAGCATACCGGGCACTACGCCCAAGTCTTATAGTGGTTCCTTTAATGTTAAGACAGTTGGTTTTGGGGCTCTGAAAAGTGTTCCATATTAAAAAATCTTTAAAAGTACTTTTAAGGTATGTTACTATGTTATCTAGTTGAAATGAGTCCAGCTTTAAAGGGGAAAATCATGAAACACCCTATTATCGCCCAAAAATTTGCGCATTTGAGACAACTCTTTCAGGAGAATTTAGTAAGTACACTGTGCGTTTATTGGAGAGAATACAGTATACAATGAATAGAATTATAGCCCGACCAATACACTCTCCATCTATTTATTCATATATTTATAGCAAACGGTTAACGGTCCATTGAAAGTATTGAAAATATATTGTAATTATTTAAGGAATAAAGACCGAGATTTCATAATTTATTGCGTAATATATGACTGAAAATTTTATTCTGTTCATTGTTAAATGACCGAAATCGTGAAGCGATTGAGGTCTTTGGGAATGGCCTGAATAAAATTTGAGGTCATATTTGACATAAATCATAAAATCTCGGTCTTTGTTACAATTCTTATATGATAAACAGACAAGAAACTATTTGCATTTATGAAATTTAGCGGTCATACATTTCCAATACAGACCAGTTTATCAATTGTTCTAGCTATAAATGACGTCACGTATCATCTTAGGATGCAGATTTATGTTTATTTGCCATTTTCAGATGAACATCCATTTAAGTGCAGAATTTGTGGTGAGCGCTTTGTTAGAAAAGAGAAGCTTATAGAGCACATGGAACAGATACATGATGGGGAAAAGGCAGGCAAGTGTATGACTTGTCGGTATTGCGATGAAACCTTTATAAGACAAGACCATCTTAAACACCATATGAGAGTGAATCATAGGGGATTAGAGAAACATTATGGTAAGTCGGTTGCATCATGTCAGTTGCATTATGTCGGTTGCATCATGTCTTACATATTTTTATATCACCATAGCTGGTATTTGTCTCTGGAATTGTCAAATAATTTTCAAATTGGTCATACACTGTAGCTTTGAATCGAACATCAAAAGTTGTTTCTGAATCGGACATCAAAAAGTTGTCTCTAAAATGACTCAGTCCTTTCATATGGGTCACTTACCCTTGAAATCCCCAGAATTAAAGATAAATATTAGAGCCTGCAATTTTCTTCATAAAAATACCTGAAAAACAAACTCATATAATTAAAGCTTACAAATTGATTGTTAATGAGGAATATTGGATACTGAATCAAGAAATCATTCTAATGATGCAAACAAGTTACCATTATAAAATAACTTCATCTGGTTGGTATATTTCATTCTGAATACATGTTCTTTTGTCTTGATTGTCAGTACTGAGTTTCAACAACCTTCAAATGTCCTCCTCAAGCTCTATAATGAATAAGTGAGTATTATAATAGGGTGAATACATGTATTAAGAAGGAAACAAGTTACCCTTTTATATTCTTTGAAAATACAACTCCTTTGCATATTTATACAATTCAATATCAAGATGATTCAGTTTTGTTATCTTCTCAAGTTGTGATGGTGAAATATCATTTTTTGCTTCCTTAGCATAAGTTTTGTTGCTCTGGGAAAAATTCTTTGTGAAATTCACTCCAAATGTATATTCCAAGAGACGTTGATTCAATTTCTGATATTCTGTTAATCCAAAATATGCCATATCCCTTACATTATTTTTTGCACTTTCAAGCATTATTCTATCTCTTTCTGGTTTTGCTATTGTGCTGGTATTGTAGCAGTTAACCAATGATAAATTTGCAAGCATTCTAGTTTGTCTATTAATGGCAAGATTATCTGGACAATCAATGAAATTGTCTAGTGAGACATTTTTCAGAGGGAATTTACATCCATGCAGTTCTTTTTCTGTTATTTTCCGACCATTACATTTTATTGCTCGATTTCCGTTTCTTCTCCAATTAGCACCACGTTGGACATTCTTCCATTCACTGACATATCTCTGAATAGGCTCTCGCAGCTGTGTAATGTAGAGATATCTGAAAAATAAGATGATTGAACTATTATGGTTATATCTATCTTGCTTTTACTTAATGTTATATATGTGCCGGTATATGATAGTTTGTACTCCTGTGCAACATTCACCTTCCTCGATCAATAACACAGCATTTCTATGAATCTATATTAGTTTTAAAAGATGTCACTCCCATAAAGCAGAGTAGTTGTGGAGTAGTTGTTCATTGGTCTCTCTGTTCATTTTCTGTCTCAGTTAGGGGTATAAATTGAAACTGTTGTTCAAATACATTATAATATGTTTTTCCAGAGTATATTTTTTTGACTTGTCAATGTGATCATTTTTTAAAATTGGCTCTGTGTTTTAGGAGAATTTGGTATGTCAAAAGGTCACTTTAAGTGCATGCTTTATAGAACAACTTCACAAGCTCAGGGGTTTTGAATTGCCATATCATAGTGTTAAAAGTACTATTTGAAATGTAGAAATTAAAGGTGCACTATACTCAATTTAGATTAAAAAATAAAAAATGATCATTGAAACATATTACTCACACACCAGCTCATATATGACACAAAGTTTGATTTGCTTTAATATTGAACCAAGAAAAAAGTAACTCACATAGAAAAAAGCATTTGAAGTTCAGAGATCATTAGACATGCATGCACATGTTAAACAAAGTGCATGTTTTAAATTACTATTGATTTAAAAGATGGCGACACTTCTATAATTTGAATGTATCATGTAATACAAACAACTCTGCCATCTTTCAATGACATTGATAAAAAACTTGATATATGAAGCTTGACAGATCGGAATATTTTTTGATAATTTATTGTTAGCTTTGATGTGGTACATTTGAGCTGTTGTTGGTGTCAAATGAAAGATAAGGTTCATTGGACATACTATGAAATTCAAATGTAAGTCCCAAAAATGTTGAAAATTCCCAAAGTGTGCCTTTAAGCTATTATGTCACAAATATATTCTCTAAATGCTAAAAGCAGATATTAACATATAATTTCTGTGCACACACACCATTATTCACACTCTGGGCCATATATTTTATTGATTGAAAATGACATGGTCATGCTGGAACTTAAACATTTCAAGGTATTCTTTAAATAAAATTATAAGAACTACCTTCTTTTCCTATGAACTCCTTCATATTTATCAAAAAATCCATTAATGCATTCAGTGAGTTCAGTCCAGTCAGCATGTAGTCCACACGGCCATCTAATTGAGAACTGCCCGCTAACTAACCATATATGTCCATGTTTGTTTAGGCACTCGCACCAACGACCCTTTGGTGCACACAGACATTTAGGTGTCGTATTTAATGTCCTAACTAGTGTTGATTCAAACCATGTCCCTCCTGTTTTTTGGATATGTAGTATGACAATAATTTTGTTGTCATTCGGATCAAAATTTAACTTTCTGTAAATAAATGTGTAGTTAGTTATACTAAATATCTACTTTCAAGTACATATATATAGGTTATTTACTGGGAGGGATTGAATATGGGTTTTATCCCGAGGGACAATATGATATTGACTGAAGGGTAATAAGATATTGACCGAGGGAGCGCAGCGACCAAGTGTTAATATCATATATATAGCCCAAGGTCAATCTCATATTTTCCGATGAATAAAACCCATATTCAATCCCGACCAGAAATAACCTATTTATTCCATAATACACCCCTCTAAAGTGCTACATTTGGATAATGCAAATAACCGGGGAAAAATAACCGGGAAACCGAAAATAGGTTAATATGCTCCAATACGATTTTTCCCGGGGACAATACGATTTTTTCATGTAATGCGCTCCAATACGTTTTTTCCCGGGGACAATACAATTTTTTCATGTAATACGATTCAATACGATTTTTATTCTTTCATATTTCCCTGGGAAAACAGTAGTATTATGGAATAAAATTAAACATTATTCTTGAAAGTGAATTTAATTGTTGGATTTTTGGACATCCACAGAATTTATATGTAGAGGGAAGTTTGGGATTTATAATCACTGCATGCTTGGCTACATATTTTGTATGCAATGTTAACATTCAATTTATGCATGGAATAATCACAGTACAAGTGTACGTGGCACTAATGAGTCTTTAGCAACCAATTAAAACAAATTAATATCTAAACTAAATTTTATATTTTACAAGAGCAATTCATAATCAAGGGTATCTTGTTTCTTGAATAACATACACATGGATTGCAATTAAAACTAATTTACCTGTACATGTACTTTGCATCTTTAAACGATATAGTTCCCTTTGTATATGTTCCTGCCATCTTTGATGAACTTATACCATGTCCTGTATATGCTGGTTGTTGTCCGCCATGTTCATTGGGATAATAATAGAAAATAATTAGAAATACTGGCAATATTATGAAAATAAAAAAATGTACGAAATGTTTTTGTGAGATATGCCATGATTTATCCGCAGCATGACCAGAACACTTCATCGTGGAGCTTCATAAGTTCTGAATTGATTTATCAATGTTATGAAGTAGGCCAATCTCAATGAAATTGTTTTTTCATCGATACTTTGACTCAGTTGGTGATGTCTATTTCTATTGTCTATTGTCTATTTCAAATTCAATAATATGTTAAAAGATATGGATGCTAAAGCTGTGAACAACAACTGAATAGAAATAAAATACCGGTCGCATAAAATTATGCCTGTTTCTTTATTTTGACTGTGTCAAGTGGGTGCGTATTTGTCGAGTACAAAACTAGTTCAAACTAGCCAAAAGTTGTCCAGTGAAAATTTCATATGTCAAGTGCTGATCTTTTGACACTTGACAAAGTCTAGTATTAAAAAAGTCCAATATTATACACTGCCTATATAAATTGATGCTTGATTTAAAATGTTACTTAATTTTTTTTGATACAATCACATTTGACATTTGGTTCTACACTTTGCTAATTAGAAGTATCAAATAAAGGTTATTCTTGCTTTATGTGCAACATATATCATCTGGAAATAACAAACCTCACGGAATTACTATTTTTGGTGTTTACTCTTTACATTTTAGAAGAAGTAAACTCAGTCATTTTTAGGAAGCTTTCTGATGTTTGTCAATCGGAAGCTTTGTGATTGAAAATTGACAGTTTTATTGATTCCACCTATTGAAAGTTGTGCTTTAATCTACAGTGCGTATAAAAAAAACGCAACAGATTGTTATCTCAGAAAAGCACAAAACCAGTGATAACAGCATTGATTTCATTCAATGTACCATAAAGCCACGTGTCTCCTCTTGACAATGATATATCATTCATTGATATTTGGTCATGGTCAGGCGAGTAATCATTCCATTTGCAAAGTGGGCCAAAATGAACTTGGGACCAAGTTATAAATATCGCAGAAGTCTGTGTACGGAGCCTGATGCAATATTGGAAGAAAACATAAAACCAATGCTGACTGCATCCTTTTCATTCAATGTACCAAAAAGCCAAAGTACTCCTCTTTGCAATGGAATATCATTCATTCACAGGGAGTCATGTCTGGCCGAACAATCATTAATTTTGCAAAGTCGGGCAAACTTCAGCTCGGACCCAACTTTTAAACATTGCAAAAGTCAGTGCAAGGGACATAGGGGCTATTGGAAGAATGTGTGACAGGTGTGGCATAGACACAGGCCTGTCAACTGTCCCGCAATTTGCGTATTTGTCACGCATTTGCTGAAGAATTTGAAGTCACGCCAGTTATTTTTGCGTGACAGAAAATGTCACGCAAATATGCATTTTACCTGGTAATTGTCAAGCAAAAATATTTCTGTAGAAAAATTTCTAAAAAAGATCGTCTACACAGCAAAAATATGAACGCCGGAAAAAAATGTACGCATTTTGTTCGAACTTTTCACGCGAATTACGTATATGTCACGCATTCCGTTCGAAATTTTTCGTACTCTTGCAAGAATACATCATATATCCCTCCAAATTGCCACTACTTCCTTGCACATAAAGATGCGCTCATCTGTCCACGCCATGCATGGTTCAGCCCTGAGTCATCTGTGGGTTAAAGCAGAGAAAAGCTGCCCATGGGCAATTCTTTTTCGAGGTTTTGCAATATCTGGTGGAGGAATTGTGAGTACAGATGCTCCTGAGATAACTCCAAAAGAAAAAGTCACAACAGTTCAAGTCAGGGGAACTTCCATTGGCACTTAGCCCTTGCACTGATTTTTGCAATATCTTAAACTTGGTCCAGAGCCGATTTTGACCCACTGTGCAAATGGAAGGATTTCTCACCCAACCATTACCACATGTGAATGAATGACATATCATTGCAAAGAGGAGAGACTTGGCTTTATGGTTCATTGAATGAAATTGATGTAGTCATCACTAGTTTTGTGATTTTACGAGATAAGTACTTGTTGCGTTTTTTTTGATACGGCCTGTATTGTTCATTTATTCAGTTGTGCATTTTATGATTTCAGACCAGATTGCTCAATGTAAGGAGTGCCACTTTTACTTCATAAACAACTATGACCTTGTCATCCACATGAGGACATATCATCCAGATGTAGTAAAGAAATATGATGACATAGCCATCTATGTTTGTGATGAAAAAGACTGTGACTTCGAGGCAAACTCAAAATGGGATGTAAAGCAACATAAAAGATGTGAACACAAGATATACAGTAAAGATGATGTGAATATTCAACAGATCGGGGACAGTGATGAACTAATGTGTGGAGAATGCATTGAAGTGTTTCATGGTAAAGAAGATATAAGTGCCCATTTTGAGTCTGTTCATGGCACTGTTGTCTTATTTCATAGAGATGGTACATTTACATCTGCTCCCAAGAATAAGGTATATGTATACTGAATTATACATCTCACGAAGTATTTCCAAACTGCACTTTCCATCACATGTCATGACAGCGACAGTACATTATAGAAGATTTAAACGCAATTGGTGCAAAATAAATGCCAGTCCTGCTACATTTGGGACACCCTGTACTTGGCTAAATTGAAAGTTATTATCTGAACCACTTGTGATAAATGTTGAGTGTATGCTGTTTTACACACATGCAGCATTAAAAGACAGTGAATAATATTATTTATTTCCCTGTAGGGGAATTAACATTTTATATTAAATTTTGGAATATTAACCTGTTAGAGAAGATAATGACAATGAGTTCAAACTACAAAAATACATAAATTCAAAATACATAAAATCAATAGTTTTCAGTTGGATTTAGATTGTTAATTTTTAATAACTAGAAATAAGATAACATTTTTAGAGTCAAGTTGTAAATTGTGAATTATCATGCTACAGTATAATTCTAGTGTAAGTTAATTGTTTAGAGGCATGCATTCACACTACCCTACCACGTGACCACGTTTAAAAGGGAAACAGGGTACAGCTAAGTTGCAAATGGAGGACGTTGGTTTAATTCCATATTTCTGAACGTAAAATACATTTTACATTTATTTCTAGTGTTCTACCAGACATAAAATTGATTCATCAAGCAGTTTGTCGAATATTGTTGGCAAAAAAACACTATAGGCAAAGATAGATAATAGTGGGCGCAGTGAAGCAAAACTCGAATGCAATACACGATACATTTCAGTAAATCTATCAACGTACAGGTAGCATGTAAGTTTCCCTTCGAAAATGTTACATTGATATGAAACAAAAAAACAGTTAACTGTTATTTAAACTGCGTGTCATCGTGTTATAGGAGGATACGTTTTCTAGTATGTTATTCAACTGTATTTTTGTGAATTTGAACAAAACATTTTAAATGATCACTTTTTGAAGACGGTGTGAAATTAGACCATTCAAGGGGTTAAATAGAAAGATTCTTCACATGTAGTTCAGGCAATTTTAATTATTCTGAGTAGCGGATAGTCATTAATATTGATAGCGGGTAGTAATTTATCATTAACGTGTTAATATTTAATTTCGTTATTTTATTTCGTTTTTATACCCTAGTAACACGTATAATCTAGCGTTCTTGTTCATACGACCTGAAAGCCCGTGGCTAAATCTACAAAATAATGTTTACTTTATTTGGATTAAATAACAATTGATGACACCTCAAAGCATCAACAGGCGGCCTTTTTAGCATTGCTTTCACTGTTTGCAACGTAAATGTACATGAGGTCGGGACATTGTATGTCTGTATAATCAGCTTACTTTCTCGCTCCCTGTACTATTGAACAATTTACATTCCTTGTACCCTGTATTGATCAACTTTTGCAACTGTGTACCGTGTACTATGACATATCAAATATTTTAAAATTTAAAACGATATTATTTACATTCTTTCTTCAACTCTCATATAACTTGGAACATGGACTTCACTATTGCACCACTGAAGTGTAGCGAATAGCAATATTGACTCACTCTGAGCACCAAACGTATTAACCTTTTGACTAAGCAGTCGATATACTCAAAAGCGACATGGTTGAAAGCCAAAAAATTCGCGCATGCGCGATCGAGGTAGGGTAGTGTGGCATTGTGAATGGGACTAAAACATGGAACAAAATATGGGTCATGCATTTCACGAAATACACTGATGTACATTTAGCTTGTATAAATAGAAAATGAAGGTAATTTCATGATTAATTGCCAAATACATGTACATAGAGAAAATAGGAAACTATTGTTTGACAACATCACTAGTAAAATTAATATTGATCAACATCATCCTGAAAATTAATTAAGTTAATTTCTTTAAAAGATAAATACACGTGTATGTGCAAGTTGGAAACTTTATTATGAAATCATTCAAAAACTTAAACTTGCCTGGAGATTAGCATTTTGGGTGCATCACATGTGAAGTATATTGTAACATATGTAAATGACAAGTTTTTGTATAAATTGTATATATTATGATAGTTTACACTTAGTGAAGTACAATATATTCATTTTGTAATGACTTATATGTCAGATCAAGATATATATTATATATCATGCAAAACTGTTATTTACTAACTTAAAGCTTGTATTCGCAAATGCAAATAGCAGCTACCGGATTAACCTACTGATTTGCATAAATTAATCCATCTGTTTGAAGTTGCAATGTCGAACAACCAGTTTGTGTGATGTCTTATGACATTGTCACATGATCAAATAAACTTGAAATGTGTTTAGCGTCTATGCGCATGCGCCAGTTTAGTTGCTGCTTTAATAACAATGTTAAAACATTTATTTAGCTCAGCTACTGGGTTTGGGGTGAAGACTGGCAAATTAAATGGGACGCACAGCAGGTACTATTCATATTTAAATAAGTTTGCCATCAAATTGCAGTCAACCCGCTAGCTAGTAGCCACTATTTGCATTTGCGAATACAAGCAACATAGAACAAGTATAATCACTGCTACCCACCTAGTTACACAGACGTATCGTCAGTGTATCATGGCGGAACTACTTCCGGGACTAGGTTTTGGTAAGATTTTTTTATTTCCCGATTTACACCTACTTATAAGTCACGTTGTGGATGATAATTTGGCTCGAAGTTAAGGAAGATAGTCTAGTTTGAGAATGTGTCGATGGTTTTAGGTTTTATATGTTAACGAAGACACAATTCACGTATTTAGTCCCTCGCTTTTGTTACACTGAAGAACAACCAATATCAGTGCAATATTGGCAATATTAATGCCGATCGTCAGTGTAACAAAAGCGAGGGACTTAATATGTGAAATGCGTCTTCGTTAACATACCAAACCTAAAACCATCGACACATTCTCAAACTAGACTATCTCCCATAACTTAGAGCCAAATTATAATCCACATCGTGACTTATAAGTAGATGTAAATCGAGAAATAAAAATATCTTACCAAATTCAAATCCCGGAAGTAGTTCAGCCATGATACACTGACGATATGTCTGTGTAACTAGGTGGGTAGCAGTGATAATTAAGATTAACAAATTGAGGTTTTATATTTTTTCATTAGGCCTACTTCTCATACAAAATAAAATGTTAATTTTGAAGCATCCTAATCCAACATATTTTTCCACCAGATGGATTTAGATCAATTTTATAGAATACATGTGTTCCTCTTTCTCAGGCCAGAATATTTCTTGTGCTGGAAATTCACCTCATAATCTCCACATTTTGACAATGCAAATTGGCTTTATTTTTGGGACATTTTAAGCCCTTGTTCAGTTGTCAGGTTAGAGTGATTAAAATGTTGATGTTTCATGAAAAGTATGGTTGGAAGTAAAAAGGTTCCACCAACTTTCAATTGAAGACATGTATTATATAATGTAAGTGACCTGTCTTTCCATTAGAATACTTTTAATGTCAACGCCACAAGTGATGACATAATGTTATGGTCTTCAAATTATTTGTGGATAGTATTTGGTGGTTGGTGTCCGATGGTCAGCATCTGTAACAAATGGCAGGTGATGATATTTTGCATGTTAATGCCTTGTTTATTGAATGCAGGAGAACTATAAAAGTGTTGTCAACCTTCTCCTTCGGGAGACAATGTGATTAAAATCAACACTGTACTGATTATATTTTGTTTAAGTATATGCATGATCAGATGATGTACATGTATACTGTTAAAGAATGAATAAAAAATAAAAGATTTTAAGAAACAATATGTGCATAGATCTACTGTTTATATAAAGTTGATGACTGAGGTGAAATGATTTTTATTAGTTTCTTCACAAGTGAGTGGAGCAAGAGAATTATTAAAATAGATCTACAAGAAGATAATATGACTCTTATATATATGCACTTTTTCTAAAAGAGATTTCTATGGAAATTAATTAGATTTTCATCAAATTTTAAAAAAGTTGATACTCCAATAGTGCTAGCACAATAAATTCAAGTTTTACTGGGTGGATGAACATGCTGTTATGATACTTTGAATACTTTTTTGAAAAATACTTTTCATCCTCCAATAACTGAAATCTTCATTTTGTAGTTTTAATATCACAACCATAAGTGGTAACATGACTTGTTGTGGATGGTATTTGACGGTTGAGGTCTTTAACAAATCATGGCGGTCAGCATTTGTAACAAATGGCAGGTGGCGACAATTAGCATGTTAATGTCTTATTTTCTCTTGGAACAAGGACATTTCTTGCAAGAGGCCTCAAGTTCACCCTACATATCACTTATGGTACATACATCACTAGAATACAAGATGTTATCAATGTCACACATTTATTGTTAGAGATAGATATAAAGACATGCCTTGTCCATAACTGATCACTTGAAACATTCCTGCAGTTTCCCATGCTTGTTGGGGGATGTCTCAAACGTTTCGTTCTGAATTCTACATAATTAATTTTATTAAATGTAGACTTAACAGTCTAAGCACCCTTGAGAAAAAGCATTTTTGGCAGTGCAAAAAGCACTAAGCAGTGAGTACAAACCAACTTCTAAATCTACATTGAATGGAAAATAAAACCATTTAATGTCAACCAACTACAAGACTAAAGTAATGATCACATGTAGGATTTACTCTGAAACATGAGATGGCGCCTTATCTCATTTGAAACCCTATATAATCAAGACTTATGGGAACTTCTTGACAATTGAAATAATTCAATCAACTGAACCAAAATGGCTTTCAAAGTTTTTGCATTTTGTACTTTGTGCCTGATATTGTCATCAACTCAGAATGCTTTGGGTAAATCCCTGGAATCTTCAAAGAGGTATCACAATCTTGAGGTGGAGATATTGAAATCTGAGATATATGTTTCTGCTTGGAATATTCAGGTGTTTGGAGTCAGCAAAATGAGCAAACCTGAAGTTGTGGACATTTTAGTCCAGGTATGTACTCTGTAGGCATTATGCTCTACATTTTTAAAACTTTAACCAACAAAGTAGGGCCACCACTAGATTTTAAAATGATTTAATTTGATTTATTAATTTTATCAGAAATCGATAAAAAACAGAAGTGATTTTTAATTCAACAAAAGTTGAACAATACAGATTTTGATCAGGTAACTATTCTCCATGCAGCAACTTACATTGTCTCATTTGTCATGTAGACAAGAAGATGCTCTTAGGGATCCTGCATTACATCCTTTTGCGATTTAGCTCATGTCTCAATATAAAATGATTTGATTCAATATTCATAAGAGAAAATAGTTTTTCATTAATTAATAGTAAAGTGTGCCTTTATTTTTACACAAACTCTCATGATTTGTTGTCTACCTTGTAGCTCATCATGAACTTGCACACTTTCTAGGATATTTTTATCATTAATCACAAGTTCACAACCCATATCATTGTGGGAATAGGGATTGCTTTACACATTTATGGCATTAACATGTAAAATGTCACCACCTGCCATTTGTTACAAACACTGTCTGCTGAATGCAATTTGTTACAGACACCAACCACCAAACACCATCTACAAAATAGTTGGAGGCTATAACAATATGTCATCACTTCTGGTGGTGACATAAAAATGATAATGGATGATATCAAAAATAATAGGTCAGTTATAGCTCTAGGTTATATATAAGTTATATATGGCCATTCTCTTATAAATTGTTATAGTTTTGTAACTGTAAGTCTCCAGGTGTTGATATTTTGTCATGTTGCTGTTAAAATTATTTTACAATAAGGAAGAAAAAAAATTAACCCTGCATATCTAACTGTTCAAAGTTGTCTACACAACAGATGAAAAATATGGTATAAGATGTCATGATGGAGCACAATGGTCAAAAATTGTGTATATTCAAAAATAAGTAACCTAACAAATATGATTCTCGTACTGGAACATTTTGGATGCCCTTAACAGGTTATCAACAGGTATGATGTTGTCATTATCCAAGAAATCAGAGATATCTCTAACACTGCAATACACCAACTACTGGCTGATGTTAATAAGGGAGGTGGAGATTGGCAGATGGAGCTAAGTGAAAGACTTGGGAGAACCAGTTCTAAGGAGCAATATGCTTTCTTCTACAGGTAGGTTTACCCCACATGTAGGAGGACTGATAAATGGAAAGAGACAAGTTGAGATTAAAATTATAGTTATGGTATTTTTTGCTCTTAGAATTATACCTCTTTTCTGACTCCATTTCATGAAAATGTTTTGGTATCTCCCTCCACTTTATACTTTTTACCCTAATTGCTGGCACTTACAAAAATATGTTAGGCTCCAGTACAGGTGTCTGTTTAGCAGGAATTGTTTGGAAAATGACTCAGACCATGCTTTTGGGGTTGCAATTCTTCAAACAGCTCATAACAGCTTCAAACTGATTCAATCTTTCAAATATCTTCATTGAATAAAACATCCACAAAATACTTCAAAAAGATGTCCTAGCTATTTTGTTGTATTGTAGAACAAGTGCATTGAGGGTACAACGGACTCACCAATACAATGATCCATTTGATGTCTTTGAGAGGGCACGTTTCATGGTTTTGTAATATTGTAGTAGAACAAGTGCATTGAGGGTACAATGGACTCACCAATACAGTGATCCATTTGTTGTCTTTGAGAGGGCACGTTTCATGGTTTTGTAATATTGTTGTAGAACAAGTGCATTGAGGGTACAAAGGACTCACCAATACAATGATCCATTTGATGTCTTTGAGAGGGCACGTTTCATGGTTTTGTAATATTGTAGTAGAACAAGTGCATTGAGGGTACAATGGACTCACCAATACAGTGATCCATTTGTTGTCTTTGAGAGGGCACGTTTCATGGTTTTGTAATATTGTTGTAGAACAGAGGATTGAGGGTACAAAGGACTCACCAATACAATGATCCATTTGATGTCTTTGAGAGGGCACGTTTCATGGTTTTGTAATATTGTTGTAGAACAAGTGCATTGAGGGTACAAAGGACTCACCAATACAGTGATCCATTTGATGTCTTTGAGAGGGCATGTTTCATGGTTTTGTAATATTGTTGTAGAACAAGTGCATTGAGGGTACAAAGGACTCACCAATACAGTGATCCATTTGATGTCTTTGAGAGGGCACATTTCATGGTTTTGTAATATTGTTGTAGAACAAGTGCATTGAGGGTACAAAGGACTCACCAATACAATGATCCATTTGATGTCTTTGAGAGGGCACTTTCATGGTTTTGTAATATTGTTGCAGAACAAGTACATTGAGGGTACAACTACAAAGGACTCACCAATACAATGATCCATTTGATGTCTTTGAGAGGGCACGTTTCATGGTTTTGTAATATTGTTGTAGAACAAGTGCATTGAGGGTACAAAGGACTCACCAATACAGTGATCTATTTGATGTCTTTGAGAGGGCACATTTCATGGTTTTGTAATATTGTTGTAGAACAAGTGCATTGAGGGTACAAAGGACTCACCAATACAATGATCCATTTGATGTCTTTGAGAGGGCACGTTTCATGGTTTTGTAATATTGTTGTAGAACAAGTGCATTGAGGGTACAAAGGACTCACCAATACAATGATCCATTTGATGTCTTTGAGAGGGCACGTTTCATGGTTTTATAATATTGTTGTAGAACAAGTGCATTGAGGGTACAAAGGACTCACCAATACAATGATCCATTTGATGTCTTTGAGAGGGCACCTTTCATGGTTTTGTTCAGATCTCAGAGCTCTGGTAAGTCACTTACTATAGCTGATTTAAATTAGTAGAAACATTCCTTCAAACATTTTGAAACATATATTTCATTTTAATGTTTATATTATATGCGTATGTCATCCACAGATATTCCTGATTTTGTGTACCTTGGTATCCATGTCAAACCATCAGATGCAGTGGCTGAAATAGATAACTTGGCTGATGTTTACTATGAATCAAGTGACATCTTTGGAGAAGAGGTGACAAGAAAAAAAACATTTGACAATTTCTTAAAATAGGGAAATCAAATGTTGCATCATAAAGTTATTTATGTTTATCACACGCACGTGTTTACCAAAGCTTTGTTGCACAAAACAAACAAAACATCTGTTTTGCTTGTTATTAAATTTATTAAAATATAATAATAATATTACATAAGATATATATATATAATATTACATAACAATGTGTGCAAGTTTTGGAAATATTTTTCGAGGGGATTTAGACATCGTTTTTTAAAGGCTAGCCAATGGGGTTCAGGGTAATTGGATGTTGTTCTTTTCAGAACATGTTGATTGGGGGAGACCTGAATGCTGCCTGTAATTATGTAAGGGCCTCAGATTGGAACTATATTGATCTGTGGACTGACCCGACATTTTACTGGCTTATTGGAAATGGAGCCGACACAACTGTTTCAAACACTGACTGTGCCTATGACAGGTAAATATATTTTTGATTGTGTTTATTGTAAACAAGCTCATTTTTGATTGTGCTTATGAAAAGCAGAGAAGACGACGTCCCGTCGTAACTGATTCACAAGAGCAATCCCACATCTGACACCAATGTAACGACCCTTGGGCACGTCCGTCAGGGAGCTGTAGTGTACCGAGCCAGATACTAGACTCGAAAGAGAGTGTGCTAAATTCAATGCCCTATACGGGAACTGAACCAGGACCTTCCGCTCTTGAGTCAGACGCTCTACCCCTGAGCCATAAAGGCTAGCCACTACAGCTGAGACTGTAGTAGCGACTTGCTATCGAAGGTCATTACATAAATGTTTACATGTATATGTACCTTCATTGTAGATTTATTGTGGCTGGTGACGCTCTCAAGTCATCAGTGGTTGCAGGGAGTCCGACAGTGTTCAGGTTTGATACAGCATATGGTCTCTCATACACTGAGGTAAGTCACATGGGTTTTTACTGTGTACACTGTTAAGGCTGTGTCACATAGGAAATGGATTTAATATTTTATATTACCGGTAAGTACAAGAATCTTTGAGAAAAAGGACTTGAAGCTAGACTTTTGGTCTGTCAGTTCAGGCATCTCACAAGAGATTCGCTCTTTCAACGCAATCAGAAGCTTCGATATAGGGTCTTAGTCTTAGAACATATTTTTATGTACAGTGAATAAATTAAACTGAATTTGAATTGAACGACACATGTAGTTCATTTATGTAATGTAAATATTTTTAAAACATTATCGTAATAGTTATTTTTGTGTTTGGAAGTTACTTTGTATATCTGAATCTCCCTTTAAGGCTTTGAGAGTGAGTGACCATTACCCAGTGGAGCTGCGACTTGGCTAGAGATATGAGCTGATAACAGCACTACATTTAGTTTAGAAATTGAACTAAACTCAAAAGAGTTCATTTCATATTGATATTTCTTGTAATTCCTTTGATTTGACATAAATAAATAATTGCAATAATAATTAAAATAATGCATTTTAAATGTTTCTTTGCATATGACTATGTGAGCTTTAAAAAAATACTGCATCTAACTGTTAAAATACCTCGGAGAGATCATTCAAAATTATCACAGGATTTACACACTATTTGAAATAACAGCTTAAATTAGATAGTTTCAAATACACTGGCTTTAAAGTGATACAGTGTATGATAGCACCACAAGCCATACAAATAAATGCATGTCAAAAATTTCAATCTCCTATTCACCAGAGATGAGAGCACGCATAGAAACTCAGAATTTGCAATCTGGGCTTGTCAATATTAACTATCACCCAATTGAAAAATAAAACTAATTACCAACTTATTACCAACTAATTTACAACTAATTATCAACAATTCTGCTGGCAATTGGAATTAAAGTTAAGCGTTAATTAAATCAATGATAATTATGGCCTAATTATCAGTAGCAAGTTCAACGTAAATTAACTTACAATAATGCTGATTTATGATTTTTAGTTGATAATTAAGATATGAAATGTTTGAGGGTGATAGTAAGTGGTAAATTAAAACGTTTTTGTTCTGAAGTAGACTATTGGTTGATAGTTAACATATAGGATGATTATAATGATAATTAGTCGTAAATTAGGCCCATGATTTAGAAATACAAACCCCCTAAATTTAATTTCAAGATGGTGGAAAAAGAAAACATGTGAGAGATATTTCTCTCATAAAATTGAGAATTACAACGTGAATGGTGCGTATACTACCATGAAATTTGGTCAACATTATTATAAGGGTATGTAGAACATGAATACAATGTATGTTAAATCTTATTCACACTTCTGTCTGTATGTTTATGAATTTAAAATCTTATTGAATCAGATCATATAATTATCCCAACGAACGAAGTTCGGTAGGGATATAGTGAAGCCCTCCGTCCGTCCGTCCGTCAGTCCGTCCGTCCGTCCGTCCGTCTGTCCGTCCGGAAGATAACTCAAATATTAGTTGACGGATTTTCTTCATATTTGGTGAAAAGATGTATATTGATGAATAGTTTTACGCAAAAAAAATTTTTTCAAGATGGCCGCCGCTTTCAAACTGACGGGACTTTTTCGCAAAAATCATAATTTTTTCATTCTAAACCAAAGTAATTAATATTATTGTTTGAAATTTTGGTAGTATATTCGCAACATCTTTCTATTTCACATATATTCAGTGTTTTTCATCCTGACCCCCAGGGGCCGTGTATGGGGGGTCAGGAAAACAGATATTTTCGCTAATTTTTAGATCTTTCTGAAGTATAGCTTTACTATACTCAAATGAAAGGCAATTAAGAGTAGATTGCAAATATTGTATCTTTTTTCTGATTCGAGCCTCGTAAAATTCAAAATGGCCGTCTAATGTACGATTTCGCAATAATTTTTCAATCCCTTCAAAGTATGGCTATATAATACTCAAATTGAAGGAATTTTGAAGTAGATCACAATTATGGTAATATTTTTCAGATTTGTACCTCAGAAAATTCAAAATGGATTTTTTCAAGATGGCCGCCGCTTTAAAAATGACGGGACTTTTTCGCAAAAATCATAAATTTTTCATTCTAAACCAAAGTAATTAATATTATTGTTTGAAATTTTGGTAGTATATTCGCAACATCTATCCATTCCACATATATTCATTGTTTTTCATCCTGACCCCCAGGGGCCGTGTATGGGGGGTCAGGAAAACAGAAATTTTCGCTAATTTTTAGATCTTTCTGAAGTATAGCTTTATTATACTCAAATCAAAGGCAATTAAGAGTAGATTGCAAATATTGTATCTTTTTTCTGATTCGAGCCTCGTAAAATTCAAAATGGCCGTCTGTTGTACGATTTCGCAATAATTTTTCGATCCCTTCAACGTATGGCTATATAATACTCAAATTGAAGGAATTTTAGAGTAGATCACAATTATGGTATTATTTTTCAGATTTGTACCTCAGAAAATTCAAAATGGCTGCTTTGCAGGAATTCGCAATTCTAAAATCTAAATTTTTCAATTTTAACCAAAGTAACGAGTATAATTGATTGGAATTCGGTAATTGATATTTTGTTCGTTGGGATTTGCTACTCCGCGGAGTTGCCATCATCTAGTATTAATCCTAGAATGCAATCTAATGTTTGTGTTCTGATTTTAGTTGTTGATGGCAATAATGATGTTTTCACATGCTTTTCATGAATCTTAAAAATTTGCAAAATAGAATAGCTTTAAAAAAGAGGGGGAGAAACCCCAGGGTTCAAAGATGACATACGCTTATAATGTAAATCTGTATTGAGATGACATCGTCGCTGATTGGTTTAGCGAGTCGATCGTTGATTGGTTTAAAACTAGGTCAATTTGAAAACTTTGAAAACCAAGATGGAGGGTACGTTTTCGACAAAAGGAGGTGTGCGAAGGAGGAAATCGTATGTCATCAATTGAATCATGGGGTTTTCCCTCCTGTTGCTGTGAAATTTCAATAGTTCAAGTTCAATGTTGTCTGTTCTGAAAGATCCTAATTAAGATGAATATTCCGTCACAAAATAGTTCAAGATGAAGCAAAAATCTCCGAGTGAAGAGAAGCAAAAAAGAAGCGAGTCATTTTTGAGATGTCACAAATCTGACTTAAACCTAACTTTCAACTAATTATCAATAGTAAGTTAGGTGATAATTAGAGATTAACTTACATCAAACTTACAACTAACTTTCAACTAATTTACGCAAATAGCTCATTTGCATATTGATGGTAGTTAATCGTTAATTAAGTTGCAAATTAAGCGTTAATTAAGTTGATAATTAGCTCATTTGCATGTGAATTTTTACACCTAACTTTCAACTAATTATCAATAGTGATAATTGGAGATGATTTTCCATAGGCTTTTTTCAATTGGGACTGGTATTTTGAATGAATTTGAGTAAATCCCTGGAGCAATAAGAGATAATGTCTGGTGTAGCACAATAGCAGTTAGTCCCCATATCCTATGTGGTCCTCCTAGATACTCAGGCAATGAAAAACCTTTTGGATACTTTATTGTCAGTTGATTGGCAGGATCAGAGAGAGATTTAATTGTCCTTGTAAACACTTCCTCCACCTGAAATCAATATACAAATAAATTGGTTGACTAGAGATCTATTATCACGGGGGATGGGATTTGTTCATCTAGCTTTATCTTGATTTGCCTTGACCACCATGTTTTGCATTACTTATCATATATTTCCATACGATTCTATACTCAATAAAACAAAGTTGCGTTCTAGTTCCCACATTCCTCATCGACCTAAAGGCCTATTCCAAACCTTGCAGTGTCAGAAATGGCAGTTTTTACAAAATACATGTGCATTCCAAGTGAAACGAATGGGAAAAACTTTTTTTAATTTAGGTTTAATATACCAAATCATATCCATTTGACTTACTAGAAAATATTACAAGTGTATATACAAAATCATAAATTCCAATTTTTGTTGTATTGAAGGTTAGTAACCATGAGATGCAATGGCTAGAAGACCTATTAGACCCATAACCTTATGTATTAACTGTACCTCATCTTCATTATGTCTTAGTTGATTTACATCTATTTCTCCACAGACACCTATTACAGGAGCGACCAAGATCTTGTAATCCTACAACAATGTACAAATGCATGGGTTCAATTAATCACTAGAATAGTAACTATTTCATTGATTAGCCTAGATGGCTGTTCCACAGCTGGATGACTCTAACTGCAGTTAGCTTAGAACCTCCGATTTCAGCTAAACTAAGTTGAATCTGGATTCCAAATGTTTTGCCATGCAAATTAATAAAGCTAGTAAATAACCACAAATAAATGCTCAGATGTAGATCATCAGCTTCTAGATGAAGCTGTTTTCTTTAAAAGTCTCTAATATTGCGGGTGGTTGGGCATTCATTTGTGGTTGAATACAACCGTAGTTTTATCAATTTGCATGGCGAAACTTTTGGAATCAAGATTCAGCTTAGTTTATAGCTGAAATTGGAGGTTTATCGAAAACGAAAGAATCTCGGCAACCATCTTGAATGAAGCTAACTGTAGTTAGAGTCATCCAGCTGTGGAACAGTGTAGATGACATGCTTCATTTATTCGTTTTTTAAAACTCTTTTGTGAAAATATTCATATGTTGACAATTTTTCCTTGAAGTTGAAACTATAATAAAAATAGTACCGTCGGTACTCGGGCTCACATGGTGTTGCTCAAAAAGAGAAAAGTGAATGATGGGTAAGATGGCAGACAATTAAAAAGCAATTGTTTACAAAATTATCTCATTTAACTATACTGGACAAATCAATGATAGCTAAAATGGTTGAAAACAAAAAATGGATATATTTTTTCGCAGATTTTCTACAGTATTTATAAAGCTACCAAATGGTCCAAAAGTAAATTTTGCAAAACAAAATGGCGGCCATTTTGAAAATAGGCAAGCTTTTGAACCAGGAGTAATAGGGGGGTTTTCTGTATTGATGTGGAACAAAAATAACTTAAAACAGGAATCCTATTGACAGAGGTTTTAAAGCAAATGGTCTAAAAGTGGATTTCCCGAGACAAAAATGGTGAACATTTTGAAAATATATAGGTGAGCTTTTGAACCAGGAGTCATAAGGGGGTTTTCTGTATCTATATTGAAGAAAAATATTTTAAAACAGGAATCCTATCGACAGAGGTTTTAAAATGTGCCACTATTGTTGACGGATGGACAGACAGACAGACAGACGGACAAGTGGGTGATTGCAAAAGCTCACCATGTGAGCTAAAAAGATGACCTCCCCACATTGACACAAGCTGGTGTTATGGCCATTACTCCCTCACCTTGCCTGGGACCATAATCAGCTGTCCCCAGATGTCGACATTATCTGGAGAAAGACCCAACTCCTCTTCTGTCTCCCTGAGAGCAGTGTGGATGTGATCCCTGTCTGTATCATCCATTAGGCCTCCTGGAAAACTATAATTTTAATTACTCATCTGTATAACAAGATTTAATTCTTTTTGAATAAAATTGAGGAATGGGTGACCTGGCTTTTTACTCTACAACTGAAAAATCATGACCAAATATAAGGTTAAAGATAAAGGTTTGACTTAACTGATAATGAAGGTTTTGGAATGATGGACATTACAAATTGTTTAATATTAAATTACATGTACTTTATTTTTGTCTTACTTAATTCCTTCAACATTCATTGCATGAATATATTCTGATTCTTTTCACACCTACATTATCTCATAAAAGAATGGTCTAAAATAAGTGATACTAAAATGTGATTTCAAAAGACGATCACTTCCAGTAGAAGCTGACACAAAATTTACCTGACTTCCCCACTGTGATTTGCTAGCTTCTTTGACCTGAGTGTTAGTATGACTGATGGTTCCCCTTTCACAGTACAGAATGGCACTAAAACACTGGACTTTCTCAAAGTGTCTGGGTTGATATGTTTTGGTAGCCATCTTACAGGTTTGACTTGATTCAAATGCTTCAAACATCTGGTTTTGTTTTCTAGTGAGAAAATATTATCTGATGTTACCCCCTGTAAAATAGAATGTTTATGGATTAATGAATAAATGCCCGAATGATCATGTATACAGATACATGTAGTGTGCAACATTGTAATAGTGAGACAAGAATATTTTTACAAGAAGGTTACAAAAGTAGGTCGTAATTCTCTAAAACAACCACTTCTTGCAATTATCTTCAAAGCACAGAAAGACAAAATTCACTGAATAAAATAATGGTATAAAATGATGACACAAAAATCTTTATATTGAATTGTTAAGAAAATTCATTTGGGGCTTACTGTTTCTAATCGTGCTGTTGTGGTAAAACATTTTGTGCCTTTATGAAAGTCAAGTATAATAGCAGCAGGATACAAAGATCTTCTTACTAATACTGCCATGCTGTAAATAAAAGCAGTTTTATTAAATATAGACAATTTTTGATTCCCCATGTAAATATTTCCTGAAATCCTGAGTTTATTTAACCATGCAGTGAATTATTTTACAACAAACAAGCTCCATAAAAATCAAAACCTAATTGTTACTTCCATACAATGTTCAATAAAAGTAAGTAATCTGCAGGCCTGTCAACTGTCCCGCAATTTGCGTATTTGTCACGCATTTGCTGAAGAATTTGAAGTCACGCCAGTTTTTTTTGCGTGACAGAAAATGTCACGCAAAATACGCATTTTACCTGGTAATTGTCACGCAAAAATATTTCTGTAGAAATTTTTTCGAAATATGTTTACGATACGGTAAAAATACAAACGCCGGAAAAAAACGAACGCAATTTGTTCGGATTTGTCACGCGAATCCCGTATGTCACGCATGTTCATTGGAAATTTTTCGTACCTACCCCCCCCCCCCCCCCCCCCCCCCCCCCCCGTTGATGACAAAGCGAGCGTAGCGAGCGCGAAAAATTTGAGGTGTTCAAAGTTTGGCAAAGGTGCTCAAACTTTGGCCAAAGGTGTTTAAAAGTTGGCCAAAGGTGTTCAAAATTTGGACAAAAGTGTTCAGATTTGGACTTAGGTGTCCAACATTTTGAAGTCACTCATATTAGGTGGTCCCAAGTTGACAGCCCTGAATCTGATACTGGATCAGATTACAAACTGATAGTTAATCACACCAGAAACAAACATTTTTTGAACCATGTCTTGAAATGCATTTAGAGGTGTCCTGTAAATTAGGTTTGTAAATTATAGACTATAGCCATCCATAAACGAAGTACATGAAGTAGAGCTAGTATTTTGGTTGAGGCCGAAAAATTCATATTTTGACACCTCTAATTGAAAGCCCATGGTCACGCTTAACGGAGAATGAGCGATGGGACATCACTGCCTGGGAGTTTCACTCCGATCGCGATATACCTCTTAATACCTATGTGCCACGCATATGAGCATTTATGTCAATTTCCTCTCAAAATTGAACGTTTTCATGTATACTTCCTCTCAGACTTAATATACAAGGGAGTAAATTTCCTGAAATATCGGTAAATTAACTACAAACCCCACTTTTTGGGTGGTTTGTCCAAGACCTCGCCAACTGATTTTACCTTATCCCGTTCCAGGACTGGAACGGGATAAATTTTACCGATTTATTACCATTTTTTGTAGAAAAACTGATTTTTGACTCAAAAAAGGCTCTCTCTTCGACAAATTTTCCATGTTTTTTCCTCTCAGATTGGCCAGGTTCCATCGTTTATGCCCTAAGCCAAAATTTCCCCTGCTGCACATACCGATCTAAATTATTTAGAGTGAACCCCATGGGCATCACTGCTTCTCAGGGAGAGAAACTTATGTCATACAGAATCTTTGAAGCTCACTGAAAATTAGTTCATTTGAAGTCTAGGCTTTACTTAGGTCCAATATATATCGCCTTTCAGTTACTTACTTAGAGGGAAGCCTGACACTCTTATTACCCAGGGAGCACCTGTGCTGAAAACTAAAAATGATGAACTTTTGATCATCTAATCTTTGAGACTGAAACCCCCAAAATAATAAGTGACTATTACTTTGTACACCACTGTATAAAAAGGTACCTCGTGTATCCTAGTATGTATATCGTGTATCCATAATCAAGAGGGATATAATTCAAAAATGTAGATAGGAGTACTTCTTTGATAATCAATCAACCATTCGAGAGTGTATTCAACATATACCTTTTTCCAGCAAGTTTTTCTAAACAATGTCAGACAAGACTGCTCGATCAACTATGGATTATTTCCCACCCAGACAGTTCAGATTTTAACAATTTGATAAATGTCAATTGAAAATATTCAAATGTATCCTGTAAAAGTGTTATTTGAAGAAAGTTTGCTTTTTAAAACAATATAAAACTTATATTAATGAATATTGATCGACTAGTAAATCTGGAAAACGAGATCAAAGGTCAAAGTTGAAAATGGCTGCTCCTGTGAAGAAAACCGTGGAGTTGTTCTACGATGTCGTTTCTCCATATTCCTGGATAGCCTTTGAGGTATTTAGGTGTTTGCGTTCAAAATAACTAATATATGTCTTTACACTTTCAATTGCACACACTAACACCTTCGATCCTACAGCAAATAGTTAACATTCATCAAATGATCATCGAATGTCAGTGTGAATTGTCAAAGTCCACAAGTCCAAATGCTCTAAATCCAACACTACAACACCTTGGGTAATAAGACTGTGGGTCCTGCAATAAATCAAACTATGTATTTGCAGCATAGGTCAAAGGAAAAGTAGTAGTCACAGGTGCTCCCTCGGGTAGACGGCAGGGGCGGATCTGGGAACCAACAAGGGGGTCCAAGGGGGGGGGGGGCCAAAATTTCAGGCCAGAGAAACAAAATTTCCGCTCTTGCGCCGAATAATATTTTGAAATTTTGAGGCCCATTTTCATCAGAATTTGGCCTGAAATAAAAAAAAAAGGCCTTACAAGGCCTAGTAATGACCAAAAAGGCCCAGTTTTTGTGTGCCCAATGTGACAATATTCATGAAGATCGTCAACATAACAAAAGCGAGGGACTAAATGTGTGAATTGCGTCTCTGTTAATATACCAAACATAGAACCGCCAAACTAGACTATCTTCCTTAACTTTGATCCAAATTATTGTCCACAACTTGACTCATAAGTGGTGTAGAATTGAGAAATAAAAATATCTTACCGAAAATGAAGCCCGGATGTTCTTCCATCTTGTTACGCTGACGGATCGTCAGCGTCACTAGGTGAGTACCAGTGGTACAGTCAAAACAGTAATGTTTGTGAGTACTTTGAATTTAGAAAATAAGCAATCAAATGACCATATTGAATTTATGTAAAAATAGAAACATTTATATTTATCCTAACTTTTGTATATTTCTGATAGTAATGTATAATGTGCAGCAAAGCTGTGGCCTTTTGGAATTTAGAGAGTTTCAGCCATGTGTTAATTTTTCCGAAAATAACATGGCAGAGAATCAAAATATAAAAGGACACAGATATGATAGCTAAACTAGAAAAACAAACTAAAATATACAAAAGTTAGGATAAATATAAATGTTTCTATTTTTACATAAACTGTTTCAATTTGGTTATTTGATTGCTTATTAGCTCATTAGCTCACATGGTGGCCTTTTGCAATCACTCACTTGTCCGTCTGTCTGTCTGTCTGTCCGTCCGTCTGTCTGTCCGTCCGTCAACAATAGTGGCACGTTTTAAAACCTCTGTCGATAGGATTCCTGCTTTAAGTTATTTGTGTTCAACATCAATACAAAAAACTCCCCTATGACTCCTGGTTCAAAAGCTCGCCTATTTTCAAAATGGCCGCCATTTTTGTCTCGCAAAATTCACTTTTGACCCATTTACTAGCTTTACAAATAATTTCAAGTGTCCTACATTGTAAAAATCCATGTCAATGTAAAGAGTAGATGTATGAAATAATTTTGTTATGAAATATTAGCAAAAAATTATATCCATTTTTTTATTTTCAGTCATTTTAGTTAACATTGATTTGTCCATCCGTCTCACAAAATCCACTTTTGGACCATTTGCCTTAAACCCTCTGTCGATAGGATTCTCGTTTTAAGTTAATTTTGTTCAACATCAATACAAAAAACTCTCCTATGACTCTTGGTTCAAAAGCTCGCCTCTTTTCAAAATGGTCGCCATTCTTGTCTCGCGAAATTCACTTTTGGCCCACTTCCTAGCTTTACAAGTAATTTCAGGTGTCCTGCATTGCAAAAGGCCATGTCACTGTAAAGAGTAGTTGTATGAAATTATTTTAAGCCATTTTACTTAACATCGATTTGTCCATCTGTCTTTTAGTCAGTCCAAATAGCTTGGCAAGTGGCTTGAAATAATTTTGTTACAAAAAATCAGCAAAAAATTATATTGTTTTTTCTGTCATTTTAGCCATCTTTCACTTTTGAGCAACACCATGTGAGCCCAGTACACACGGTACTATTTATTTTTTAAATTCAAAGTACTCACAAACATTACTGTTTTGATTATAATGCCATTTTGACCAGCAGATTTCAGCTCCTTAGGGCCTACACTGGCAGGGAGGGGAGCTTTTTAACAGTTTTGGCTAAAAATCATGCGAAAAGTGCTTAGGATGGTGAAAAACTGCATGATTTTGAAAGAATTTCTGGCTACGGGCCTGGGTAATAAGAGTGCGAGGCTCCTGGAAATACTTGTCAATGGTACTTTAAGGGATGTCATCTCAGTCTCTATGGTACACATCACTTTGGTTTCAAGTGCCATCATTTAATTATATAGAATCTTGTATTATGAATTGCAAGATGGAACCTTGTGCTACAAATGTAATGTAATAATGGTTCTGACCCTTGCATTCTAATTTCTGGCTGGCTAGTCTCAGAAAAAATATAATAGAGACCCATAATAATAAAACCCTTATATAGTGAACAATGCACTGGAATAATATGATGATATCATCGTGTAAAATATACTTTAAATGCTGGTGTTTTAGGTGCTGACCAGGTATCAGAACAAATGGAACATAGACCTAAAACTGAAACCATTCTTCCTTGGAGGGATAATGCAGGGATCAGGTATGTCAGAATTATTATGTCAATAGTAAAAATATGTTGCATGTCAGGTATGTCAGTAGTAATATGGCAGGTATAACCCACAAGTAGTTACTGTAATATGTCAGGTAGTAATATTTCAAGTACTAGTATGTCAGCAACAGTATGTCAGGTATTATACCCTATGTCAGTAATAGACTAGATGCGAGTAGAAATAATCTTGATTTACGTTATTAAATATTCAAAATTCAGTCAAAGTGATGTCATATTTGAAATCTGCATGTAAAAGTACATCTAGAAATATGGTTTCGAAATTATGTACTTTTAAAATTTAATTTTTTTTTTTTTGAAACGTGACTTCTTGTTCGGGTTGATTCCCCATAGACCCCATGTTACAAAATCACAGAAAGTGAAATATCTTTTCTTGTATTGGACAGATAACATTTTCTTTTACTGGACTTATTTTAATTTGCATAACTATTAGATACATGAGGGTTATATGAAAATTGAACCACGCAAATAGATATAATTTAAGCTAAAGGGAACCTTCTACTATACCCGCCGTGCTATCTGACCCGAACGAGCCACCTGGTGGTGAATATGGTAACTGCCTACTCGCATCTGCGTTATTATTATGTCAGCAAATATCATTAGTAGAAGTAGTAAGTCAGTAACATGTCAGTAATAGTATGTTGTTAATAGTATGTCAGTAGTTCATAGAATATCAGTTACGTCAGTAGAAATAATAGTTAATGTTGAAGTAGAACTATGATTATTTGTATAACTGAAATGATAATTTGCATTACTTTCTAGGTAACAAGCCCCCAGCAATGGTACCTAACAAGGGAGCCTATATGCTACATGATATAGAGAGACTCAAACAGTATTACAATGTCCCCATGAATCAACCATCAGTAAGTTGATTAGCACTTGAGTACATTTCACCTGTAACATCAGGCTGTGGCAGTGACATCTATTAATCTGGCCAAAGTGACTTCATGCTTTATAAAAACCTCTTGTTCACTGGTGCAGCACTCTTCAAACTAGTTACCGAAGCGGATCTGTATCGGTAACAAAATGTCGGAACCTTGAAGGTACAATTTTTCTTTTTGCCTTATTGCATGAGTTGTAGGCATCTAATTCCCACAACATTTTCATCACAAATGTGTATCAGTATCATATGTTTTAGGAAATCTCCACATTTGGGAACAAATAAGAACTGAAGCCATCTTGTTACTGAAACTGATCTGTTTTGGTAATAGCATTTATCAAGTGCAATACCAGTGTCGTTGGTGAACTAGCAATTGGCGAGTAAATTAACATAGGCGACATACAATTTTATTTGGATACATATTTAAATATTTTGACTCCTGGAGTAACCTTTTAAGTTTATGTTTTATTTAAAATCTAAGTACTCTATTGCAAAGAGGAAGACTACAGCTACATTGTAAATGCCATCACTTTATTCTTACTTACTTAAAATAATATGACAAAATGTAAGAACCTTTGAACAGTTGAAGTGACAACCATCTATTGGCTCATTGTTCTTGCGGCAAACCTGAAACACTAAAACATTTATTTTTCAAGTGTCCTCTATGCCAAATTAATAGGCATGCCCTGATGGAAGAGGTCAACAATAATTTTTATAATAAGATCAGTCAACTAACAAACATGGATGATAAACTTAATTTTCTCTTATATGGTGACGAGACATTATCCTTAGCAGAACTAAGTAAACTTTTTATCATCGTCAGCAATTTTCTCCATGACAATAAGACATAGCAAAGAGGTCTCATCTACGCCCTGGAGAACTCATAATGTATTTATCTTGTTTTCTACACATCTACTTGGCACAAACCCCTCTGTTCCCTGGGATACCCTTCGATGCACAGTCGTCCTCAAACAGCTAAATACTATACTTAATTTTTTACGATGTAAGTGATGGCTAACCTATAATGCCAATATGGCGATTGGTGGCCGAAAATGTATTGACTTTACTTCAATAAAGTTTATACTATAAAAAAAAAAAAAATCTATTTGAATAATGCAAATGCGAGTAGGTAGTTACTAGATTCACCACCAGATGGCTCGTTCGGGTCAGATAGCATGGCGGGTATAGTAGAAAGTTCCCTTTAACTTAAATTACATCTATTTGTGTGGTTCAATTTTCATATAACCCTCATGTATCTAATAGTTATGCAAATTAGAATATGTTCAGTAAAGGAAAATGTTATCTGTCCAATACAAGATAAGATAATTCACTCTTTGTGATTCTGTAACATAGGGTCTATGGGGAATCAACCCGAACATGAAGTCGCATTTTCAGAAAAAAATTAAATTTTCAAAATTGATAGACAATTTTCGAAACCATATTACTAGATGTACTTTTACATGCCGATTTCAAATATGACAACACTTTGACAGAATTTTGAATATTTAATGACGTAAATCAAGATTATTTCTACTCGCATCTAGTCTATTGAAATATTATCAAAGCTAGTTTGTTGGCCATAATAAATAAATGTTGCAGTCTGAAGAGGGTTGAATTTCTCAGAGAAATGGCTCTAAGAGGAAATATTTCGGTTGTTGTTGATGTATTTTCAATACAATAATTTCGTACTATATTAGTTAAATCATGTTTATGCATTGTAGGATTTTGCTGAGGTGGCTTTTAAAAAAGGTTCTATAAATGCCCAGAGGTTTCTTACAGCTGTAAGCATGTCAAATCCTGATATGGTGGAGCCAGTCACAAGAGAACTTTGGATGAGAGTGTGGAACAAGGTAAAATGTAACACCAAAAGTAGTGACACCTCTACATAATGTATATCTTTGTCTAACATTATAAAAATAGTGCAGGGGCATAGCCAGCTTTCAGTCAATATTTTGAATTTTGATCGCCAAAATTTTTTCGGTTTTCAGTCAGGGGGTGTGAAGCCAATAAATAAGATTTATTTTAAATTTTACAAAAATTGATGCAATTTCCTTCAAAATTGAGCTAGAAGATTCAAATAAAAGCATTTTAAAGCTCTTTTCTTCATCTTCCTCATGGTTTTATTATGTCCCCACCACATAGTGTGGGGCCATATTGTCGGCCTAGGCACGTCCGTCTGTCTGTCCGTCCGTCCGTCTGTCCGTCCGTCTGTCCGTATGTCCGGGAGTTTTCTCCAAAACCGCTACAGATATCACCTTCAAATTTTCAGGGATAACTTATGAGTGCATACAGATGTGGATGAAAAAATTTTAACTCGATACCTACTTCCTGTCGGCCATTTTGAAGTCAAATGCTAAAATCCTTGTCTGCAAACTTTAAGAAAAACGGCTTCACAGTTGCTCTTAAAACTTTAACATCTTGTTCAGCTCACTTCATTCTAGATCTGATTAGGTTTTGGACCTGTTAGCTCAGTCATGTCAGCCATTTTGAATGTCTTAAGAAAAGTTAGCGCACGATAATACTTTGTATCATATTGAATGGTGTTTTTGAGTTTTCATACTTTAACTATTTAGTAGCTTTATAAATAATTTCAGATCTACTTTGTTGTAAAAGCCTATGTTATTGTTAACAGTAATAATATGTGATAATTTTGTAAGAAGAAATCAGCAAAAACACATAATCACTTTTTTATTGTCGGCCATTTTGGATTTTTCCGTCCTAAAATCTTGTCTGTGAAGTCTTGTCTACGTGTTTTCAGGTGAACCGTTTGGTGGATCAATTTCAAATTTTCAGGGATGATTCCTAGTATAATAATCTAGATCTGATTTGTTTTTTGGCATTCTGGGTAGATGTCAAGACAGCCATTTTGGATTTTCCGTCCTAAAATCTTGTCTGTAAAGTCTTGTCTACGCGTTTTCGGGTGAACCGTTTGGTAGATCAATTTCAAATTTTCAGAGATGATTCTTAGTATGAAAATGTAGAACTGATTAGTTTTTTGGCATTCTGTGCAAATGTCAAAGCAGCCATTTTGGATTTTCTGTCCTAAAATCTTGTCTGTAAAGTCTTGTCTATGCATTTCCAGGTGAACCGTTCTGTAGATCAATTTCAAATTTTTAGGAATGATTCTTAGTATGAAAATCTAGATCTGATTAGTTTTTTGGCATTCTGGATAAATGTCAAAATCTTGTCTGTAAAGTCTTGTCTACGCGTTTTCAGGTGAACCGTTTGGTAGATCAATTTCAAATTTTCAGAGATGATTCTTAGTATGAAAATGTAGAACTGATTAGTTTTTTGGCATTCTGGGCAAATGTCAAAGCAGCCATTTTGGATTTTCTGTCCTAAAATCTTGTCTGTAAAGTCTTGTCTATGCATTTCCAGGTGAACCGTTCTGTAGATCAATTTCAAATTTTTAGGGATGATTCTTAGTATGAAAATCTAGATCTGATTAGTTTTTTGGCATTCTGGATAAATGTCAAGACAGCCATCAAAATCTTGTCTGTAAAGTCTTGTCTACGCGTTTTCAGGTGAACCGTTTGGTAGATCAATTTCAAATTTTCAGAGATGATTCTTAGTATGAAAATGTAGAACTGATTAGTTTTTTGGCATTCTGGGCAAATGTCAAAGCAGCCATTTTGGATTTTCTGTCCTAAAATCTTGTCTGTAAAGTCTTGTCTATGCATTTCCAGGTGAACCGTTCTGTAGATCAATTTCAAATTTTTAGGGATGATTCTTAGTATGAAAATCTAGATCTGATTAGTTTTTTGGCATTCTGGATAAATGTCAAGACAGCCATTTTGGATTTTCCGTCTTAAAATCTTGCCTGTAAAGTCTTGTCTACGCGTTTTTAGATGAACCGTTTGGTAGATCAATTTCAAATTTTCAGGGATGTTTCTTAGTGTGAAAATCTAGATCTGATTAGTTTTTTGGCATTCTGGATAAATGTCAAAATCTTGTCTGTAAAGTCTTGTCTACGCGTTTTCAGGTGAACCGTTTGGTAGATCAATTTCAAATTTTCAGAGATGATTCTTAGTATGAAAATGTAGAACTGATTAGTTTTTTGGCATTCTGGGCAAATGTCAAAGCAGCCATTTTGGATTTTCTGTCCTAAAATCTTGTCTGTAAAGTCTTGTCTATGCATTTCCAGGTGAACCGTTCTGTAGATCAATTTCAAATTTTTAGGGATGATTCTTAGTATGAAAATCTAGATCTGATTAGTTTTTTGGCATTCTGGATAAATGTCAAAATCTTGTCTGTAAAGTCTTGTCTACGCGTTTTCAGGTGAACCGTTTGGTAGATCAATTTCAAAGGAGTTGGGTAAACTAGCAACAGAGAGTGCCCCAATTGAAGTGTGAAAAAACTTTTTTTAAGAATAGGAGAAAAAAACATCAGAAATGCATAGATTGAAGTCTATGTTTTTGGGTAGTATTTTTAAAAAAATTTAGAAAAAATTGTTACGGTGTCTGGAGACCTTCAAAGAGGGAGGGGGCCAGAAGGAAAAAAATTCACATATTTTGCAACCCTCTTGATGAATTCCAATTTACTCAGCTATGAATGAATGTTTTTGATTTATCTGTCCAGGATTATGTAAATATATATTTATTTGATCCATACATACAATTGATTTAAACAATATGTACAGTTTAGAGGTAAGTAAAGCTTTGAAAGGACATTTCATGCTGAGTCTGGGTGACATTTTTATTCACTGGAGGTAGTAATCCTTTGAGTGTTTTCACATAGAGCATAACAAGTCTCCACTCTAATAAGTGCTTCTTTAGTTACCTAAATGTTATATTGTTGCATACAAAGAATAATTTTGATGGAGACTTATTATGCTCGATGTGAATTTTAGAACTTTATAGAAAATTTTGCCTGCCATTTTTGTTGATTATTCAAAATGGCCAAATGCTATTCATGCTGCATATGTAGGAAGCAGGTAAATTCTCCTAGAAAACGGAGAAAGGTTACAGAAGATTTAGCTTCACAAGTCAAGAATGCCAAAGTTGGACAGATAATATGCAATAACTGTTGTCTATTTCATTAACAAGCCAATGATGAAATGTGTTGAGATTTTAGATGTTTTTCACCTTTTAGGTGATCTCCAAGAAGTGATTATCTCCGTTATCTGTACTTACTGTTTCCTAGACATTATCAGAATGATTGATAATAAACTTAATAGTTGCTTTAAAATTATGTTGAATAATATCATTATGTTGAATTATAATATATACAGTGTGTGTGTTTAGTGTGTGGTTTTTAGCATACCCTATGTCGCTAACAGGAAGCAGGACATATTTCTCATAAAAAATAAACATTACTTTACGAGTCAAATCATGAAATGTACATTCTGAATTTAAATGAATTAAAAATAATAAAGTATTTTCATTATTTTAGGTACTTTTGTTCTCTTTCAGTGTTGCGTGGGAAGGGCGGAATATATTAATATAAATATCTCATTATTGGCAAATTGCCAATTTACTATATATTGTAATTCCAACCTCTATGAGACTAAATTCCTACAGATATTTGTGATATTTTAACCAAAAAGGTATATTTTGGTAGAAAATAATGAATTTTATTAATTTGACCTTGACCTAGGGAATATGACCTTGACCTAAATTTTCATACATTTTTGAAACACATATATCACATAGATTAATAAAATAAAGAGAAAACTTGAAAATCAGGTGGGGCTTAAAATGGCCTTGTTTACCCAACTCCTTTTCAGAGATGATTCTTAGTATGAAAATGTAGAACTGATTAGTTTTTTGGCATTCTGGGCAAATGTCAAAGCAGCCATTTTGGATTTTCTGTCCTAAAATCTTGTCTGTAAAGTCTTGTCTATGCATTTCCAGGTGAACCGTTCTGTAGATCAATTTCAAATTTTTAGGGATGATTCTTAGTATGAAAATCTAGATCTGATTAGTTTTTTGGCATTCTGTGTAAATGTCATGGCAGCCATTTTGGATTTTCTGTCCTAAAATCTTGTCTACGCGTTTTCAGGTGAACCATTTGGTAGATCAATGTCATATTTTCAGGGATGATTCTTAGTATGAAAATCTAGGAACAGATTAGTTTTTTGACATTCTGGGTAAATGTCAAGGCAGCCATTTTGGATTTTCCATCCTAAAATCTTGTCTGTAAAGTCTTGTTTACATGTTTTCTAGTTAACTGTGTGACGGATCAAGTAAAATTGTGTTGGTAAAGTCTTGTCTACTCATTTTCAGGATAACCATTTGATGGGATCACCCATTGGTGGGGACATTTTCTACACATTTGTGTTCTTGTTTTTATTGGTTATGGGGGGGGGGTGCGATCACACCCATTGCACATGGCATGCCTATGTAGTGGACAAGTACAGAAGTAGAACAATAAAGCTGTGTCTATGTTGAGATTAAAAATGATATGATACCACAATACCAATTGACATTTTCTTATATCCATATATTTAATGTTTTTAACATTTTATTTTAAAATTTGGAAAAGTTATTCTTCAAAAACCAAACATTATCTTGTAAAAGCATACTTTATACTCATTCATTTTTACAGAAGTCATCCAATATTTTAGTCTTTATCACTTCTCTGGCCATCCCCCTCCCCCTCCCTCTAATCTACTAGTATTTCTGCCTGTGTTATAACAGATTCAGGGGGATGGAAGTTTTTTGATGCAAAACTATCAATATCTTTTCATCTTTTATTCCTGTTCAATATTTTTGTAGGATGAAGACATCTACCTGCCAGAAAGTTTTATTCAGGTTAGTTGGAACAGACCACTCATTTGATTTAATGGCTCTTCATAAGAGCTCAACTCAATGTACATGAGGTTCATATCATTTTTCACAACAATGTTTTCATAGCAGACACAGACATCTTTTCACTGGATTTTGTTAATTTTCTTCTAAATTACACCAGAAAGTATAATAAGGCCATTTAAAGTTTATTATATGTTTAATATCCTGATGGATGTTTATTTTATGTCACCATCACACATGAGAGGATGGTGTTCTGCTGTTGGGGTTTGGCATCAGGTGGCATTTTGCATTATAATGACATACATGGGCACTTAAAATGTTTATTTATTGTCTAAGATGTTCCTCTTATTATCAAAGCGAGGTGACATACTGACATTAAACATGTATCAAATGTTGATTGGCCTAAAACAATAAAGCTATGTTCCTTTTTGTGCGAATAAGCAAATTCAAGTCTATTACTTAATTGTCTCGTTGTTTTCAGGCTGGTGTAAAGGCAGGACTCAGTATGGAAAATGCAAAAGCAGCAGTTGCAAAAATTAAAGATTCTGAAGTAAAAGACAAAGTTAAAGAGCGTACACAAGAAGCATTAGACAAAGGAGTATGTGTTATGTTATAATATGGTCTAACTTAATCTAAAATATTAAATGTTTGATGGATTAATAGTATATAATAGATTTCTGAATTAAAATAGTTGATAAATACTAACTAGAGGGCAGCACCTCCTTGACACATAATTTTGTTACATTAGTATGATATTAAACGATATAAACATCAAATCAATTTTATATTTTATGATAAGACATTTTGACAAATGTGTGTATGTGATATGATAATTAATCTCCTGAGATTCTTATGTTTAGTTCCGTTCCTAAATAGGTTGATATTGTAAGATAAAAGAATATTGAGCTAAGGAGGTGCTGCCATCTTTCACATTGATAACTAAGTAGCTTTGCCTTTGTTGTTTTATCAACACATGCCTTATGTGTTTCTTATGAAAGAGTGGGATTATCTAAGCTGTCAGAAATGCATTGCAAAGCACAGGAGTATTTATCAGTCCAGTCAATTTTACTACACATGGTGTTGCTCGCTTCCTTAATTTGGATTGTAACAAAGGAAAATCACAAATTAGTTTTGAATGCAAGATAAGGAGGTGCTGCCACCTTGTTTGTTTTCCTACATTTAGTCCATGGTATGAAATCTCTAGGACGTCTAATAAAGGAGCTGGTAGCACACTATAGCGCAGCGATATTTGACCTAGCGTTTTGAGATATGGACTTTTATTCAGCGGTGAACATTATCAATAATGGAGGGCATATTGCTCTTCCTTGAAAAATTGGGACTACAGCTAAAATTATATTTCTCGTAGTTAGATATAGCTCAGTTGCTTATAAAACAACCATAAAGACTTGGTCGAATTCATGAATAATTGAGAAAAATCATTATCATTATCTTCCTAAAATCTGATTGTATCCAGCGTTAAGGTCAAAGAAGAGACAACCACCAGAAAACTTGATGATAGCCACAAGTAAGGTCACGGAAGAATTGTAAGGCGTTCGATTGCATATGATTCTAATTGATTATTACACATGCCCTCGGAATATATGAACATTCCAATACCTCTGTAACATTTAATTAGATATAAATCTTACCTATTTGTTATTGTATTATGTTTTATAAAACATGAACAATAATTTGTTGTTAGACCCCTTGCAATTATATGGAAAAATTCTGGTAATAAAATGTTTCAAATGGTAAGAAAGCTAAAATATTCCCAAAAAAATCAAAACTTTGAAAAATCAAACAAAATCTGAAAACTACACTTGCGTAATTACATTAATTAAAACACCGACATCTACAGTAAAATCATAGTATATGTCTACATTATGATAATTATGTTTTGTTCGTATGCTTAGAATGACGGTTGGTGTCTTATAAAATGCATAAAAGTTCGAATCAAAATATTTACGTTTTTTGACCCCTTGTGTTGAAAGACATTTTTCGACCCGAAAGCCGGAACTTTTTTCAGCAAATGGTATTTTTAAAGAATCAAGACATATACACCTTCATAAATATTGCTTCCAATGTTGCTGCGCTATAGTGTGCTACGGATCCTTCATATTCGGAAATCATACCATGGACTAATTATACAAAATCTTTTTTGGAATCATATTGCAATATCACATTGAATAATACAGGTAAAGAATATAGATCATTGATTTATTAATTTTCACTTCTCTTTTATTCCAGGCTTTTGGTTCCCCCATAATTATAGCCCATGTAGATGGGAAGGAACACCTAATTTTTGGATCAGATAGATTCCCCATTTTGGCGATGATTCTAGGTGAGTCAAGTCAGGATGTTATCTTTTCAAGATATTGCAATTTAAGTCATGGGTCCTGGTTTACAATTCTTTGTTTATGTTATTTCTATGGACATATTGTAAAATAAAAATTAATTTTAAGAATTGTAATTTCTAATATTTTGTGGAAATCTTTCCCAGTGTGTGGGAGGGTGTAAATTGCAGATTTCTGTACCAGAATTAGGACTGGGGATTGACTGCTGATGATTTAGTTATAGACCACTTGTAGTTATGTTCTTGTACATGTCATGTGCATCTAGAAATAATCATCTTACTCAGAATGAAATGAACTGGACCATGTTTATGGTGCGTTGAATTATATAGGTTTTGATTTTTTAAAAGAAAGTTTGTTTCAGTTTCAATTTTTATGAAAAATGTAGCTAAAATTATTCCAGGATTATATTTGAAATCATGTTTTTTCCAGGTGAAAAGTGGGAGGGGCCTTTAGTTGAATTTTCCAAATGCAAACTGTGATATCAGTGATAATGATTGGAGAACTGCAGAGTGATAGATATAGGCAAACTGGAGGGACTGTTGTCAGTCAAGAAGTGTGGACTTCCTAATGCAATCAACTAACTAACGGACGATGAATAGTAATCGGGATATGTAAATTCAGGAAATACTTTCTTCCTTAGTTCTAGTCTCAATAAATGTAAATAAAATGCACAAAAAGTGAAATTATATTTTTATATTATTATATTTTATCATCTTAATTAAATCAAAGCTATTCAATAACTTGTAAGCAAATTCCATTTTGATTATGCAATGGTATTATTATGTGACATTATAAATATGATGTCTTATAGTGAATTTAATTTCATGTCAAATGAAACAAAAATTGTGTACAGTATATACTATGTATAATATGCTTGTATACTGATCAGTGAAAATATACTGATAAAATACATTGAAAAACTAGTTATGTCTGCTACAATACGATGATATACATCTGTACAATATATTGTACCAAAATAATGCATCTTTTATATAGATTATCCTAAGGCACACTGTATAAGAATATAAGACAAGTATTCTAACAAAAGTTAAATGAAACTTCTAACATACAAACATACTATATTCTTTCACTGTATATTGTTACTCCTACATGTATGAGATAAAGTAATAATATAGAAAAATGGCCAAATGTGTGACGTTATTCAAACTGTCATCAGCTGCTTTATCAAAATGAGATTTTAAGCATACATACACAGATAATAACACAGAATATGGAAAAATCAAAATAAAGGGGGTTCATGGCACAGAAATGGTACATTGAGTCTTCTTAAATGATCATACAGATTGTCAAGGTAAAGCAATATAAGTGTGATTAACGGTTGCGGTGCAACGAGACTAAGTACCTGAGAAGGATGTGAGACACACTACATAAGAGCTAAAATCATAAGCCACTGATACATCTTTGGAAACTCTAGCTGATGAAAATAGTTAACATTCAAATCGCTGCACAAATATGGCATGAGATTCAGCGCCATCTTTAGCAATTGAGTAGCAGCACCCACATGGTGCTTCAGAATAAAATAAGCAAAAAATGAATTGAAAATTAATATGGCTTGCCAATCCAGACAGAATATCATTAAGAAACTTTTACTATGTACAATTGACAGATCTGAACTCCAGACTTTTACAGATCTCTGGGCCTCCTTAAAGATACAGTCCTGCATAGAAGGTGTGAATCTATACACAACCACGATGATTCAAGGTGGAAAGCATTAAGGGTGGTTTACATTCAAACCTTTTATGTTAGACTGTACAACTAAGCACAATTCACTTATTTACAATTACACAAACCATAATGCAGAAAAAGCAAAGAAACTATAGTCTAAATAAACATATATACAATTTAAATTTGAAAGAAAATTATAAACATATGGTACAATGTATGAAATAAAATTTAATACAATGGAAGTGTGTGATTATTACGAAAATCAAAATAATGGTTTTCAGTCATATTTGGTGCACTCTGTACAACATGTACGTGATTGTTTTGCATAACATTATTATAGAACTTATTCACATGACCAAATTGGCACTTGATTGTGTGACTTTTCAACAAAAAATAGTCCCATATTAAGTTGATTCCCAGGTGAGAAATAGTCACATAAGTTGATTACCAGGTGAAAATTAGTCACATAAATGTGGTGTGTACAATGTATGAGACATATACTGACTAGAGACAGATATTATGATATTGCCTTGTATATAATGCTGCATACATCAGTTGCAATATGATTTGTGAACTATCAATATATATATATGCAACAAGGGAGCTTCTATGGGACACTACAAATAAATTTTCATGCAGACTTCGCTTTACTTGGAATGGTTACTATATTTGGCCACTGTGACATTAACTCAGTCATATTTAGAAATATACACTGTATATAATAATATGGTAAGTTGATCTGGTCCCATATACTTGGTATCTAGGTGATCTAGATGTGTTTTATGATTATATTTGTCTTTATAGTTCATGAGGTCATAGCCATAGGAACTGGAACAGTTTGTACAGGGCTAGTAGTACATAGTCTATCATCACAATCATCATCTGCATAGCCGGAATCAAGCTTTAGGCGACCATTATTGTTTTCTATACGAGGTCTTTTGTTAGGAGATCCCTCATCACTGTGCTCTGCTAGGCGCATTTTCTGTTGCTTGGCGAGTTGTGTGGTGATGGAGTAACTGGAGTCTATGCTTGAGTATTCACTGACTTTAGAATGCTTATCCGTGTCCTCTTCATCATCAACGCCATCTTCAGAGATGAAGTTCCTGATGTCATCAAAATAGGCATCGTCTTTGTCCTCAACACTGTCATTGATTGGGGAGTCGGTGACATTGAGACCTTCAGTCTCGTGTTTCTTGAGATGACGGTCAAGGTTAGTCTGTTGGCCGAAGCTGCGGTCGCACAAGGGACATCTATAAGGCTTCTCCTTGTTGTGAATGTTTCTGACGTGCCTCTGTAAGTTGGATGAGATGGAAAAGGAACGCTCGCAGTACTTGCACTTGTATGGCTGCTCGCCTGTGTGAGTACGGAGATGTCGGGTCAGGTTAGCGGATCGTGGGAAGATCTTGCCGCAAAATTTACAAGCATATCTGTCATTGGAAACCTTCTTGTTAGGGCTGGGGAAGTTGAATGATTCTGGACTTTTGGACATCTTCATCATTGGAGGTTTGGATGATGGGAATATAGGGCTTGGCATATTGAAACGGGGGGAGAATGCCATCATCTTGGATACATCTTGTAGCATACGCATCTTGTCCTTAGTCATCTGGGCCCCTTGCATACCCTGCATGCCTTGCATACCAGCTGCAAGCAGCATGGGGTTAAGGTGGGGGTAGGCATAGTGAAGTGAGGTGGGGGTAGCAACTGGCTTCTTGGGGGGCTCTGGCTTGTCTTCACCAAATATGTGGGTCTTGCGGGATACCTCAGTGGGGATATCTTCTTTGGGAGTGGTTTTGATACTGAGATCTAGAGGCATATCACCACCTGCAGCTGGAGATGTGGGCTTAGATAGGTCCATAGCATCAGACTCCTCATTCTCTTCTTCTTTTACATCTTCTTTGACTTTAATAGAGAAATCAACTGGTGTGGAGGTCTCACTGCGACTGCTTGTTATGCTGGGTTCACTCTTTGGTGATTGGACTGGAGAGATAAGAGTAGCCTTAGGGGTGCTGGCAAGAGGTTTCTCATCAAGCTTTTCACGATCACTCAGGTCACTAGCTTCAGAGCCTGCATCACTGTTATCTCTTGAGTGTGGCTCAGTCTTGGCTGAGACTGGGGTATCTGGGCTCCTCTGGGGCGCTGTAGGGAGATTAGCTCTGGGGAGCATGGCCATGGCTGCTAGGGGGTGACCTGGGGGTAGGAGTGGAAACCCACTTGGGCCAATCGGTGGGAAGAACGGGAATGGTGGTCTTGGCCCGTATAAATTCATGAAAGCACTGGCGGCTGCTAAGGCAGGGTTGTTTGGTGGTTGGGCAGGGAAAGATGGAGATGATTTCCTCTCAGAGCTTCCACTGCCAGCTGGTGGGGCAGAAAAGTTGTATCTGGCGGACCCATTACGAATAGCTCCCTCGCAGAACCTCTTATGTTTGCTAAGTGATGTCACGGTAGAGAAAGCCTGTCCACAGTCTTTACACTTAATCTGTTGGCGACAGTCAGCATGCATGCGCTTATGGCGGCAAAGATTGGAGAACTGGGTATAGGCTTTAAGGCACACCTCACACTGGAACGGTTTGACACTGCTATGGATATGTTGGTGCTGTTTTAGACCACTAGATGTTGCAAATGTCTTCCCACATTCTGTGCACGCATGGCTCCTGGCTCCGAGGTGATGTGACCTGATGTGACGTTGAAGATTACTGGGGTCAGCAAAGACACGATCACAGTTCTCACATGGGAAATCAGAACGGCCGGCTGAGTAAAGGCTGTCATACTGAAAACATGAAAAATATCATTAAGTTTAGGTATAGGTGATAGGTATATCATATCTTCATTGAAAATCAAGATTTTCCCATGAACATTTCAACTAACAAATGAGAGAATAAGGATATTTTAAAATGTTAAGTTGACACAATACAAGAGAATACAGCTTTCAATTCTATTTAGCTGAGTGCAATTAACAGATCTGTTGTAAGGAATTATGCGAGAACAACTTACCTGATGGCTTGTCCTTGGGGAGGCTGGGAGGCTTGACTTGCTGTCTGTCTCACTGCCTGTGAATGATACATCATCCCTCATTGAAGCTGAGGTGTTATCACTGAAACACAGAAATACATACGGTAAATATTTGGGGTATATAACAAACATATGGAATACACAGAAATATGTTGAATACATAAAAATACATGTGGAAAATATCCACTTTTGTTCAAAGAAATAAAATGAACAGGTCAATGAGGAATAGTTGTAGATCAGGTTATTTTTCAGTCATTTATTGATCGAAAGAGCAATTTTATTTATTGTATAGAATTTCAAATGATCAAAAGTCTTATTTAATAGTGAGTCATCCAGTCATTTACAAGAAACTTATATAGCTGAACAAGTTATCCAGTTTAGGTCATTGTTAGTTAATCATTTCTTTTGTAAAAATTGTAGATGTGGATAAAGTCACATAAGCTGATAATCTTTTGAAATATCCATCCTCAAATCTCATTAAAATATTCTTAAAACAGACAATATTGTTATTTATTGTATGTTTATGTTGTTTGCTCAGTTTTATGTATCTGACAAAGAGGACAGTGAAGTTGAGATGACATAAATGTTCATCAAGACCCATCAGTCATAATTATGGCCCATTGAAAGTGAAAGCTACCAACTTCACCTTTGAGACTAGATCATGTAGATATCCATTGTGCATTTAAATTATCTATATTAAAACATTTCCTGATTTTTTTTAATTTTAAATTAGTTTTTGAATAATGTTATGGATCAAATGATAACTTTGTATGTCATACTAATGTAGGATTTATCTTGGGTCCTTTAAGCAATCATGCTCAAAATTGAAATTTTATTTTGATTTATATGAGTTTTGCTAAAAAGTGTCGTACTGTTATGTTATTACCACGGCAACAATAGACAATTATAAAAGCTCAGATACTGTTACTGGCGGGCATGTTGAAAAAACAGATTCCCACTCTAAAAATGTAAACAAATAGGGGTGAGAAAGAATGCGCTTTGGATAACAATCAAAGTAGAGTCGCAATGACGTCAACTGAACACATCTCAGTAAAGAAAGCTCTCTCTTCATTGTCTTTGATAACCTTCTCTTTCGTTTGACTTTTCGTGTTGATTATATTACACTATATGTCTTGTCTTACCTTTCCATTGTTGCTGGAAGCTGATTGTTTTCTTTGAATTCTTTGTTGATTGAGCTAAAGATGGCGTTGGAGTTATTGCAGACGTAGGTCTCGTGTCGTCGGAGCGCGACCTTGGAACGAAATACTTCACCGCACTGCTGGCATGGGTGCACTCGTTCTATAACAACAATGACAATCTCTGTCTATATTTTCTAAGAATGAGTATTAATGCTTGGGTAGTATTATGACAGTATGTGATCTTTACTGTTAGCATAGTATCTTGTTCTCCTTTATATAACACCTGCCCCCATATTTACTTCTCTCTTATAAAGATAAGACTGGTCTGATCTACCGCTGTAATTAGAAATGCCTTTGTTTTAATTAGACACGAGTCCTGCTCAGTTTAAGAGGTATCCTATCTGGTCTCAAGTAGCATCCATACTTGCTTACTGCACATAGCATATCACCCCACGATGACACATTTTAGCTTCCTCAATTATTCGTGATCAAAGTCAAAACTTTTATATCCCTCTACTATTAAAGAGAAAAGTCGTCACTTGGGTTTTCGTATTTTACTTAATGTAAGTTTCATGGATTAATTCTAAACAATTCAGTAGAGTATGTCTGATGTTTTTTGATGTTGCTTTAAGATGAGTCATTTAAAAGTAAAAGTTGAGTCAATGCATTTCATTTCATTAATTGTCCTAACTACTGCTACCAGCCATTCATATGCTACCGTAATCACAACTTTGAAGTTTAAAAGAATTCATCTCAAAATTTTATGTGTTTATTTTTTGTGAAGCGTCAACTTGAGACTGACGGACAACTTTTATCTAGGGGTTTATGACTATCCAAGCTTTTTATTTCTGTTATGTGGATGGTATACTTGAATAAAACAATAAAAATTGACACAAGCAATAAAGCAGGTATAAGAGATAGTTATCTGTGGAGGGTCATATATAACACTAGGCTATACATACACCCATACTTTAAACACTTGTCAAATGATTTCTATAGACAACTAACATCTTATTCAATGATACAAAACATACAAAACAAATTCATAAATCACATTTGACAATATCAAATCTTATTTTAAGAATAGCTATCTGTTACTTTTACAATCTTCTTCATAAATGGTTATCATTTATAAAGGGTGAAATTATTTAACCTTCGTTATCTGGTAGTTCATCTCTGGTTTGTTTGAAATAAATAAACTTTTAAAGTAAATCAGTTAAAAATCTGAATATCAAGTTACCAGGTGAATACAGATTCTCAAAGCAATCAATATAGACCTGTCTAGAAACTAATACTACTCTCAAACTTTTGTTTTTCTTTTTTGTTGTTTTTACAAATGTAACAGTTATCTCTGAATTTCCTACAGTACATGGCACCAGTGGACATGTGTGTGGAGAATTTATCAATTGTTCAACTTAACACAAAATTACAGTTTTCCATGTATAATGATTAATTAGAAATGAGGTTATTTTTTCTGAGATTTTTAACTAGATTATGAACTAGGTCTATTCAAGTCATTTCCAAAGTACACTACACATTTTTTTGTTGTTGAAATTGCTTTGACCTTCTTTTATTTAGATTAAAAATGTAACAATATATATTTTAGTCAATAGCACTAATGATACTGTTTTTTAAATAAAAAATAATAAAGATAAAAGTGAATCTTTGTGATCACTTCAGTTTGAGTTATTACTCTATACCAATCTTTACACAGAAGATCTATAAAACTGATCAAATAAAAGATTCATTAAAATGCAAGACATATTTTATCAATTGAAACATTTTATTGTACTACTTGAGGTTAAGGGGCCGTGTGTCAGATCGGGTAAAACAGCAAATTAATAAGGAACAAAACCTTAATTTTTGTGATCGATACATCTTTCTAAGCAGATAGGAAAACTTTAAAACATAATTATTTCCTTTAAATCCTATCATAAAAATTGTTTTGTATCAGAACTATTTTTGGTTAACTCCCATAGGAAAAAAATATATAAGGAATTTCACGCAGATGAAAAATTATCTATCAAGTGCTTGTTCAAATACAGATACGAGAGCTAAAAGGAAATTACTTCTTTTGGGTATCCCATCTACATATGGTAAAAATACAGTTGTTGGAACTTTATATCTAATTAAGGATTGACATTTCTGATGGTGCTATCTCAGGTGTTGTAAATCACAGAATTATCTACATATTTACTATCTATAAGATCGCCAATATATTGATTTTAGATAGATAGATCTCTCATTAATGATGATATGGCACAACAGTCTAATCTAAAAAACGTTATATAAAAATAACCACTTACAAACAATTTTAATTGATCCATGTTCATTTTTGACACTATTTTGTTTGAATAAAGACTAAATTCTATAAACTGAAGAAAATTATTTTTTCGATTCTTACCTTCATCAAGTGTTGCCCCCTTCATGGTGTGGAGATCATTCTCAGGATATACTGCGTCTCTAGCGTATAACAACATTTCCTCTCCTGGCTCAATGTCCTTTACTGTCTTGTAAAATACCTGCGATACACAGAATAAACCATCAATTAATGCATTTCCTAAATGTTTTAATTCAGATTTCAGATTTGAAATATTGCTGATTCTAATTGATGTGCACCTAGGTGCCAGCCTAAGGACCTAAGATCTAACTTGCCTGTTTGCCTGACCACAAGCCACTGACTGACTGGACTGGCCTGTGCTTCACTTTTAGTGTATTCAATGAACAGTTATCTGGTAATTATGAGCACTTATGACCTGCTGAGCTAAATAGGACACCTCAACATGTCTCCACACAGGCTTACCTGTGAGACACGTCCACTGATTACAGGTGAATCTCACAGGTGAAAATAAGATTAAATAATAATTTTTCATCAAAATAAATTAATCTTGTTTTGAGATAATATATTAAATCTAAGTCAAAATTCTTTTGAACTAAATTATATAATTTTTCAATCTTCTGATTTTCATGCCAACCACCAGTGGCTTTGAAATAATTTAATAATGACAAGTGAAATTTTATCAATTTATCCCTGTATTGTTTGAATAGAATACTGAGAGATTCTTGAAGATGAGTTCCATTGAATCGTCCCATCTGGGGACATTAACTATCCAGAAATTCAATTTTCTATGAATGTCTTGAGAGAATGGGAGACAAAAGTGTCAACTTTCCTGAATAACCAGTGAGTTATGAAACTGTATACGCTACAGCGGGCACCATGAAGACAATGTGGCATAATAGAGGCTCAATAAGATGGGATGTGGTGTCAGTCCAGAATAAGACCCATGCCACGCCCAACCCGCCACTAATGGACAAATTATTGCTCATCTATTTGGGCCAGCTTTCTATTATGCATTGTCCCATAGAAGCACCTTGTCCCTTTCAAAGGCCAAAAGGTGATGAACTTTTGGTCATCTTAGTCAATTTTGATGACACTTTTACTTTAATGAAAAGAGACATTAAAGGAAAATGATTATTTATCAGGTATATGTGGTTCAGGCACGACTGACTTAATGCTAATTTCATTCCACCCCTTAACTTCTGCCAAACATTCCACGTCTCATAAGAAAACAGATAGAGGAGAATTACCAGACACTCGCACAAAAACACCTTTGCATCTTAGTTAAGTATACTTTCATTGATGATCTCAAAGTTTTTTTGATGACATGAGATTCTCCTGAAATGACATGTTATTTACACAGAGTAGCTAATTCAATTGAAGTTGAGCTTTTGAGCAGCAATCACTCGAAAAATTGGCCACTTTTTTATCTCAATGTTTACTCCATTAAATACACATAATAAAGAGATAAGATAACCAAGCATTCATAAAACTTTATGTGACTACTTTCAAGTGCATCCAATTCCATCAAATCAATTAAACATGTGGGTTTTCCCACAACAGTTAAGAGCCCTACCTATTGTACTGACAAAAATAAAATGTATAGTTGACTGGGAAGTTTATGTTGGTTAATTTGTCAAGGTAGCCATTTGCGATGACCAGTGGACAGTTCTGAGTCAGGTACATAAAAAATAGATATTTAGTCAGGACAGCCCCCTATGACATTGGCTCTCATGTTGGGAGGTAACAGTTAATTAATTAAACAGTTGTGTTGTTTGATGTTTACTGCAGACATATGGGTCCCACTGTCTAGCAAGGTGTTAGCATGCTGGTAAAGAGGACCAAAAAACAACAGGACACTTCAAACTTTAAATCTACACCAAAAAATCAACGCTTTCCATAAAGACAAGATATTGATTTCTGGAGTTGATTTTCTGTTTGAACCTTTTGATTAATGACTGTGATTTTCTTATTTGGATGTTCAACAAAATGCGATAATTGATTATGTATTGTTTAAGGTGTAGCTGGTGTATTAATTACCTCGGATTGACAAGAACATCAAAGGTGTACCTGTTACCAAAGATACCCTCTACATATCTCAAGTGTCTTTACGCAGACACTGATTGGTTAGTTAGCAAACCATATGGCGGATTACACACCACTTTTAATTACATGCTTCATATCAAATAAAACACTCTAACATCAAACCTTTGTCTTTTATTGGAGCAAACATAATATAAAACCTCCAAGAAATGATATGAACTCTCCAACCCCTAAATCAGAACACAAGGATGGTGACACTAAAATCATGCAATATTTCAGGAAATGAATCCCATGAATCTTATATACAAAACAAAATTGGATTTTCATCGAATTACCCTTAATAAGCACAAACAATGTCAGAAAAGTGAAAACAATCCTATGAAAAAAAACTCTCCCACGCTCAGTGAGCATTTACTGTCCAAAGTGGTTGTTGATTGTTTGAGACAGAGTCCTGTCTTGACATCATGGGAATACACAAACACAAGGCAAACTCTGAGCCACCTCAATTAGAAAATACATGCAATTTCAGTTATCTGCCACTCTACAATTAAACATGCGATTCAATGTTTTTCTTCATAAAACACCACTGAATTGATAGAATAAGAAATATAACAAGTATGTTTATGTGTTACATAAAACATGTCCTTATCCACAGAAAAAATGCAAGAAAATGTTTGATTCTTTAGAGAAAGGGATGATTGAGTATTGACTGAATGAAACTTAAGGTAAGGTTAAAACTGTTGGGCCAGTCATGCAAGGACATCCCATGTAGAGAGAGGCAAAACACAATTGTCATGATCTCCAATCATTATCAAATTACCCACTGACAGTTTGTTCCTAATAAAGTGGTCCCAAACCTTCATGAGGCTCTATATACCTGGTCTAGAGAGATCGAAAATTGACGTAATACCCATGTAATACCCACGCTATTAGTGTCATGTGAGAGACAACAAGGCAGCGATGTTCATTTCCAACTCACAGTTTTACTACTGATTACTGATATAACATGATAACTGAGTATTAGGTGTGACAACTAAACCACAACATGCAATAATCGAGAAAGAAATGAGTAATTTTTTATTATGAATTATGGTTTTAAACGATAAGACGTTATAGTTCTATAATTAATTAAATTGATTTTGTGACATTTTGATGCTTCCCTTTGCCTTTCGAAATCATCAAGAAAAATATACATTCACATAATGAAAAATGCTTTAATTCAAGAGTCAAATGTAATAAATTCCAGTATTTAGAAAGTATTCAGATACCAAGGGTTCTAAGGATAATCTAATTTGTTTATTGGATAAATGCTGCATATTGACACTTGATGGGGATGAGCCTATTCAGCTAATCACTTTAATAGATAATAGTTTGCTCTTCTAGCTTTGATGATATTAGTTTAGTCTATTCTACAGTGCAGAGATAACATCACTTTCCAAGTATATAATTTATAACCAGAACATAGACTAAGGATTACTACCAATTAAATAAATATATGTTATTAATTAATCCTGATCAGTTTGATTTCTTCTGAACTTCTGTATGATATTTATCATGTCAATACATAACTTGAAGACTTTACCTGGACTTTAATGCAAAGAAGATCAAAGATATTAGTTAATAACGGGATCAAAGAAATCATCATGGGCTAAGAGAAGGGTTAATTAGGTCGGTAATTGATACATAAATGGACTTTAGAAATTGACGATGGGAAAATCAAATATCCAATAAAAACTGTAGAATTGAATATTCAAATTGTGTAATAAATTACAGTTTTACAAAATAAGTAACCAAAATTTGGTGGAATAACAATTTTCAGTAAATTAGATAATTTTGAGGTAGAACTCAATGACAAGTAAATTGCATTCAATTTCCTTCCTCCATACAAGATACTAATGATGATGTATAGTGATGGCTCCAAATATAATCACCTAACTTTAACAATTTTCTAAACAAACAGAAATTGTTATTATTGCAACTATGTTTCTTCCCAAGAAAAACTTCCTGAATGAGGTACAGTTTTAATTAATGTCACCGATGAGTGTCAATGAATCCCATCAATTTTAAAGTTGCTTTCATACATATCCAACGCAATTACAGTATGTACAATAATTAAGGAAATGTTCGGGTGTCAGATTTTCATCATTGAGGATGAGGGACGAAGTTCTCCACTTGCAATCAACGTGTAAAAAGAATGTCATATCCTGACTAGCTACTGATGGGACCCAAAGGAAATGGGATTAAAATTGAAGATTGATTCGTTTACTAAGTGACTATTTGAAGGAGCCTGAATCATAAACCGATGTATCGAACCATCCATTGATACCAGAGATTGCCTGAAATCTGCCAGCTTTCTCAAACAATATCACTTTTGTTGCCATGACAACCAGGTATCAAAATGATGGTTACCGAACTACAAGTCAATAGTCAAAGTTAAATAGCTTCAGCAAAAATCTATTCATGATTCCGGTGTCTCTATTAATGTTTCTTTTACTCAAATACCCTTCATTATAATTGTTAATTTCCTGACTAACTGAATTCCTTTTAATTTTTCCTTAAAGAGTTTGGTGATGAAGTTAACCTTAAACTCCTATCACAAATCAATGTGTAATCTATACATTCAAACCAGAAATCTTACAAATCATTAAAATATGACATGTAGAAAAAGCATAAGTACATAAGGGGAGATACAAGTGCATTAAAGGTATAAATTACTTTTTCACCGGGAAACCACATAACTGCATAAGGGCATACTAGGTGATTTTTCAAGTGAAGAAATTCTTGCTAATTAAGTCATATTTACCTGGTCATCAACTTGCACTGCCATGATGTTCTGTTGTGCTGGATCTGGGGCAGATCTCACGTATTTCATCCAATTTCCGCTCCCCGGTTCACTTGCGTCGATCCAACCCTTTACTTTACCAAAACTATCTACCAACTGAAAGCATACGAGAGGAGAAAGTTGATTAGTCATTTTATCATGTAGGAAAAAGTCGAAGTATTGTCACGGGTAATGTTCAGGTATTGTTTAAGTTTGTAGATCAATAGCTTCAGATAAAGAATCCGTGACATCCCAGCCAGACAAATACTGAAACATATCTAATCAATGAATGCAAACACACTGGCATTATTGTAAGAATCCTTTCGTCAATATCGTAGATAATTATCTAGTGTTAAACTGTTATGTTTTGGTCGTCCCAATGTTTGTTGAAATCAGTGGATCTTCCTGTCATGTCTTGGGGCTAGAAGTCCCAGCGACTCTTATATACAAGAGATACAACCTAAAATAACATCTTCAATCTATCCCTCTAACACAACAACATATATCATAATAACTTCATTTATCTATAGTATAAAGACAACAGTTTCATCTGATCTGTTCAATAATTTTCTCACCTTTAAAAGTAAAATAAACTTTTGTATAGAGTTTAATTCCAAGTGTGTAGCCACAGCTCACATGCTATAACCAGTCCTTTCACTTTGCTCTCTTGATTCAAATTAATACTGAGTGCATTTTCGTACTAAATGTAGAATTTATATGTGGAACAATCAGTGCATGATGTATGCATCATCAGATTGCAGGAAGTGATCATAGAAAATAACTCAATAGCCAAGATGACAATTTTGATTGGAAAAGTTCACCTTTTTATTTCTTTATGAATCTGTAGAAGAAGTTGCCATATGATAATTATGAGCATTTCCTGAGCTGACAATAGACATGCATTTATATCTCAGTTCTGCGAGGATCTATTGCCCCGCTATAAGGCATCAGTTACATGCCCGATCTCAGTAAATTATAAAACGAGACTTTGTGTTTTCACCTTGTATATTAATTACCATTTCTACGAGACATAGATGGATGGTTAAAACACAAGGTGAGGAATAAGTAAAAGGGTTGCATGCAGAACATGATTAAACTACCAACTTTTCTCAAATATCATGAAACCAGGAAAGACGTAATGGAAGATCATTCAAAGAACTATCATAACACAGCCTATAATTCAAGCAGAAACATCGAAATCTAATTAGCCCCGACAATCAAGTCCTATCCCATAATACAATGCATCACTTCATACAATAACACGCTACTTAAGATTGTCAGCGAAAATCAGAATGTCAGTTTTATGTATTATTATCTGATTTTCTTCTTTACTATCATTGTGATATAGGGACTATTTATTGGCTTTCTGAAGTCTATAATTATCAATTATCTGTGATAGTTTCCCCTCATTTAGGCTGCCCCACGCTAAGGTAGTCAATGCTCTGTGAATTACTTTCACTGTCAGGATAATAGTAAAAGATATATCTTTAATTTTTGTGATAAATTCAATATAGTGGCTTCCTGATACGGAGATAGGTTCTCTTATAGCGAAGGTAGATACATGGGAAACAACTTAAGACAGAATAATACCGCAGCAACGGATAATTAATAAACTTCTAAATCTCGCACTCTTCTTTAGTGAAACTTTTCTTTCTATGACTTATCAAAAGTTTTTTTCTATTTGATTCAGTGGCACAAAAGACACTTAAATGCATACAGATATAAAAATAAAGATACATACTTAGGAGGTGTCAGAGATTCAATAGTGTCACTACTTGGCTTCTTTACGCTTTATCTTATTTAAGTTCTGCCAATCAAATAACTCAAAAAGTATTAAAAAATCTTTACACTTTTAGACCTTTTAATCATGTCTTTAGTAGGGTTTATTTGTATAAGTATAGAAATTGTACTTCCTAAGGGCATGTAATGGGAACACCTACATGATAGTTAAGCAAGCAGGTATTTCAACCAAATCCACTTGAAATCTGAAATTTTATCGATCTGAAAGTTGAGCACAAATGACAAAAGTTATAATACATCACCTGCTATAATTAATAAATAATTTGGGTTGAAAAAACAGATTTTTTAAAACAATGTTCTCTCTTTTTACTTTTTTGAAATTATTCCCCTCTTGTCAAGTAACGACTTTGGAGTCATTAAAACACCCTGTTGATTCTGGGTGAATTAAAACAATGGCAGTCGCACATCTGCAGTACAACCACAAAATTATCTATTAACAATTTATATCTCATACTGATAACAGCCTATTCAAAGAATGCTTTAACAATTAATATTTTTTCATGAATGCAAATTACATGAAGACAATACTCAACGGTCTTGGGATTTTTGACAATAGCATGAGCAGGGTTGCTATAGCAACAGGAAGAGAGTGTCTGAAATGAAGCGGGAAGAGGATAAAAAGACGGGGATTGGGCCAGGGATGATATGGCCAAGCTAGGCAGGTGGTACTGCAGGGAAACAATGCTTGCTTAGATCATCATTGACAACTATGCCATCACCTAACGATATATCACTCCACCCCGCCCTAATGCCACGCAGCTCCCGGATTACCCCTCAACAAAAAACAGTGCCACTGACGCCAGATTACCCTAATCTAATCTCACATCACAAAAACTTAAATTTGAAATTACAGATAGAAAATTTGTATGACTTATAACAGATAAAGATGGCATTTTTATGAATTAATGGGAAATGTAAACATTAAATATCGGATCAAAATTTGAAATCTGACAATTATGGTAACATGTGGCTGATTATAACAGACAATGTTTTTTAAATGAAACTTTCCACGCTACATGCCATTTTATAATGTTATAAATGGTTGACTTGGATGATTAGATATCCCTAAGTTACATTAATTAACATGTTGCAGCTCAATTATTAACAACAGTTACCAGCTTTTTTAATTATCTAAGTTAATCTTTTAAATTACAAAATCAAATAATCTGATGTCTTACAGTATTTCTTGATATAATCATTTAATGATACTTTTTTATATATTTTCAAAATATTTTTAGAACCAATAATTTTGGAATAAAATAGTAAAGCATATTTCTTGATATATTTTAATAATTTAAACATTATTTACAAAACAAATAAAACAACGCATAATAGCATTTCAAATATTTTTGAAGCATTTATATATAGCAACTATTTTAAAACTATAATACCACAAAACTACTCTTAACTATAATTGTGTAAAAACTACAAAGCTCAAAATATTTAAGTTCGAAATGACATTTGAATGCAACCTATTATTATTAGCAGGTTATTTTGCACCTAAATGACTCATATCCTAAATATAAAAATATGAGAAAATCTTCTTAAATCTCTAAAACCCTTACCTGTTTCTATAAAGCTATAGTCATCCAGCATCATAATGTTCGCTATTTTATTCCGTCTTATTGCATTTGTTAAAAAGATCCTAACAGAAACAACAAAACTATTATATATTTACCTGCACAATCCTGTCCTGTCTCTGACTGTTGAAGTCTTTTTTCAATTTTCCCTCCAAGAATTTTTAATTAAGCGTCATACAGAATAGTGATTGTCTATTAATGTAAAGCGCATGTACATCAGATAAAAAGCATTCCTATAGAGAGTAGACAATGTCATCTGCCGCTAGAGAAGCCTTCAATGATGTTGCCTCAAAGGTCATATGATACTAATGTCTTTTGGAACTGCTGTATTCATGTAATAGATACAATACTAAACTATGCTAATTAAGCATGAATATTCATGAGGCAAGCCAATAAGGCAGTGTCTAAAATTCTACAGGTGTCTCAACTAGTAAAGCAGCTTATTTGCGGCATTTTCCTAACCAATCAGAACACTTGGCACAAGTCTAGCTACTTTCACAGTTATTAACTCATTATCATTATCCAACTTAGTGGCATTTTACCAGTCATTTTCCCAAAAACCATTTTCATGTTATATCCAATTTTAACCATGCAATACTAAATTGGTTAATTAAGCCCGTAACATCAAAGTTTGTTTTAACATTATAGTTCTGTTATGTCACATTTACTGTTATGAAGTATAGTAGCTTATGATGTTCATAAAGAAGAATTTTTGTGACTTGAAATATTTAATAAGAGTAGGCATTAAATCAGTGAAACCTGTCATTATTATGAACTGTCTAGTTAATGCATAACAGTAAAAGAAATGGGATGTTCCCTCTGTCATCCATTATCATACCTGGCTGCACAAGTAAATATATGAGTGTTTAATGAATTATGGGCAATTTATGGGATATTCTGACCATACACCCCAAATAGAGGTCAGCCTAAAGGTCATCTTTTACAAGGTAACTCATCTCTGAAATGACTGGTCATTAAACACTATATGAATTGAATTCCAAATGAAAACTTTCATACATTTAGCCCTGATACTCATAAAGGGTTTATTTATTATTTAGTTCATGGACTAACAAACAGAAATGTTTATATTTACTTTGATGGACTTCTTAAGATTTCTTGATACCATCTTCCTGTGTGTTGCAAAAACTTCCCCCTGGATATTGACTTAGCAGATAAAGAACAAAATCAACTTAATTCCAAGTGGGGTATTAAAACTTTTCAACAATTAGAAATTATAACTCACTAGAATAATAACCTGCCTCAGTAACTGTCAGATCTGAACATTCCTAATTGTTATTAGCCCAATAGAATTAACTGTGTTTAACATTTCTATATGAAGACCTTAATTACCCTGGATTTTCTTAAAAATTAACTGTATTGTTTACATTTATTTTTTGATGATATTTTGGCACTTCAGGAGGTGGGGTGAATCTCTGTAGGGGTGTGGTGTGGCATTAAGGGGGAGGGGGTGTCTAACAGTAACGAGATGTCACATGGTGAACACTGTTGGACAGTCTAGTATCCCCCAACATGCGGAGATAAAAGTAAAAGTTACTTTTTCATCCCTAAGATAAAAATCTATTAATATTTATAATCAATAAAAATATCAATTGATGATTTCATTCTAGTCTTTGAATTTGATGGAAGTCAGAATCTTGCCTTTGGCCTTCTTACTAATGAACTAATGTAGATACAGTACATATCTAATAAGAAATCTCATTATATCATCATCACAGTACCAATGATATCTATCATTTCTACGAAGCAATTATACTATATTGTTTCAACCTCTGTCACCTGAAAGGGCAGATATATTACATAAGGATTCATATATCTCGCTTTGAGACTATCAATCAAAAATATTATTTAATTAACGAAAGAAATCATAAATGTTGGATCAGGTTTTGGCGTCAGGGTATAATTTTAATGCCATGAGATCACCATATACATTGCGGCACACATGCAAGAAGATAATAACAGACAAATTCACCATACAACTGGAATCTCTAGAGATAGTACTCGGCCCATCACTCTTCAACAACAGTATTAAACATTGATGACTTGCCATCTCAGCCCGGAAACATTGTAAAACATGCCTTCCACTAATTACGCTTGTATCCATACTTTTTGAAATATCTCCAAAGCTTTATCAATTATACATGCGCTGTCTTCAACATGCAACTTCAACCCCATAAGGAGGATCTTTCCCTTGTATTTAATTAGGAGCCGTGTGTTCATGTTAATCAATTTGTATTTAACAGTTATCTTGTTGATGTTTTGCATGCAAAATACAGAGGCCAGCTTGGGGAGGGCAAAGACCCTGAGAGCGTGTGATAATTTTAAACTTTTAACCTAAATGGCAAACATACATATCAGCTAAATATACAACATGTAAACATGTATATTAAAAATGAATACTTAAAATGTAATATCTTATCTTAATATTTTATCATCTAAATAAATGAAACCATAATCCTTTGGCAATTTTTTACAGAACTATATAAAAAAAGATTATGATTATTATCAATTAGGAATGTCAATTTTTAATTCTTTATCACACAATTTATTCTCCGTGCCTAAGCTAAAGATCTTGACTCAACAAAGTGTCAGGTAAAAAATCCTGTCAACTTCTGTGTGTATATATAATCCTAGGTTAATCCGCTGACATGTTCACCTTTGCCCTAAGCTTTAAATCTTCTATTCTAACTGTTTATTTTTATTTGCACATTTATGTGACATCTCAGTATGTAATTTCTACACTTTGAAATCTTTTAACAAAACATTTTCTAAAAAGTTGAACTTTGTTTAATGAATTGAAATATTTATTTTGTTTCTAAAAAACAATAAATCAAAATCATATACACCTGCAAAAGTCAATACATAAATAAATAAATTAATATATAAACAATAAATAAATGTGATTTTAATTACCTCTGGCCAGTTATGTTAATGTTGATTAGGGCTTGAATCTCAACTCCTTACTGGTGGCCCCTCTTAAAACTGCTCTAGCCGGCAACTATGCACACTTGCTTTTATTGAAAACACGTCTTAAAGAAATGATTTATTACTTGGCTTAGACAGAAATTATGCTCATAAGATATCAATTAAACTATTGATCTGTGCGTTGTTGAAGATGCCATCTTAAATGTGATTAATCTATCAATATCTATGCCTCTCACAGAGAACAGAGTCATCAATTCAAATCTTCATAGAACTCTAATCCACGAAAAAACATTACAAGTCACATCACCAATAGGATTCTCAAAAGAGCGGCGGGTGATTCCCTTTGGCAGCTTAATGAAGTTGTGAATCTCCTCTGCTTAGCTTTATAAATGCAGGATATTAATTCAGCGCTAGTGTCTTCCTGAAGCATGTAACCGCGTCTCAGAGACAGTTTAGTAGAGAATTCTTTGAATCAGTATCATAACCCTATCTTTGAAACTTCTAGCGATGGCTATTATCAACTTGTTCTCTCTCTTAACATCTGCCGCATTAATTAGAGAAAACTTTTACCTCTTATTATGACAATAAAATCTTGCTTTCATTCTTTATTTGATTCATTACAATTTTACTCAATGCTAACTTTAGTTTTTATTTCAATTGTTTGAACAATTGAGGGGTGCTTTGGTTGTACAATAGAGCGTATTTAGACAACACTGAAGTTCAGGACATCAATATCGACAATGCTTTTTCATAATTCGATGTTTTTTCGTAATTCGCTGAATTGAGTGTGAGAATTGACTGGTTATTGATGACATCTGTAAGTTGACTTAACCATCTAAATGATAGATGGACTATCATAATACTAAAACAATTGAAAAATCTAATCTACAAAGGCAAGACTCATTAATCTTAGTTGATTACGAAGGCACTTTAAGAAGGCCTAGCAGCCAATGGGATGTGATATTATAGATCTTTGCCATATCCGTGATGGACGCAAAATGGCACTCGCTTGTGGGAACTCTTCGCTCACTGTCAGTTGGTTGCGGCAAAATTACAGCTCTTAATATCATCCTTTAAAAGCTTAGCAAATATACCTTCCATAGAGCAATTTATTTATTCTAATTACTGGTCAGCCTTAGATTAATCTACCTTTTCAGTGTCTTCGTTATGTCATAATTAAATCAATCTACGCCCTAACGATATAGATTCATTTCCGATGCTTCAGTCCTACCTGTCTTGTGTAATGCAAATGTTTCAATTTGTGTACTAGTGATTAGCATAGAAAAACATGAAGCACTTAATCGACCGAATACTTAATTCATCAGATACATACATGTAATCTAATGTATCAGCCACCTACAACGTCATATTGCATTGAACCATTTAGAATTTGATGAAGATGAACATTTAAGGATCGTGACATACAATTAAAAAGTAACACTTTGAAATGGATAGAGTTTAAAAAACTTCAGGGCTATCTGGTTTAAGATTAATTGCAGGGATTATAGGGGGTGTAATGGAATAATTGGATCCAGCAGGGAGTAGAAACAAGAATTGTGTTGCCTGGTAACAGATCAATCAAAAGCCCAGAAGAATAGTTACTTGGAAATAAACTAGATAGCATCAAATTCGACATCATTTATATGAGCATTAAATTATACAGCTTATACATGATATCTCATAAAAACATGTTTTGAATCTGCCACAAAGTGTCACAAAATGTGGTCAAACGGTTGCTATGTCTGACACAAATCAACCATCCATGACCAACTGCTATTCTTGTTTCCCATATATTCCACCATCAAGACTTTGACATGACACCGAATACAGATAAATGGCCCATTTTAAAAAGAAACCCCAGAATTCTTCAGTCTAATGCATGGAGTATCGGGTTAAAAAACCTAGTAAATTCTACACAGATAAGATCTCTAAAGCAGCAAAGTGTTTGAAAAACTCAGAGATCAGTTAATAATAAATCCGAGTCAATCCCATAATAACAACTAGCCTAACCCCATGTAAATTGTTTCAAATCTAACATAAACTGCTCATTGTCAATAAATCCTTCATTAATGTTAAACACACAATGAAAATTATAATCAAGCATTATACGTTAAGCCACTAACAGCTTTAATTCTCATGTAGCATACAAAAGACAATAGAACACCAATATAAGCATAAAAACGAACAAGAAATGTTTGAT